CCGCGCCACTCCGGAATCCTACAAGCCTCCATCTACCTCGGAAGTCGCTTCGAGTCTACTACAAGCGCGGGGGCCACACTACTCCGGGCACTACTACTACTTACTCCAGGCGCCGAGTGCACCTACCGCCGGCGCTACCTTTGGGCGCTGCAACTGCTGGCTCTAAGCGTTGCGCGCCCCTTCTCCAGGCGCTACGTGCGCCGGCTCCGGACGCTGCGTGTACTGGCTCCAGGCGCTGCGCGCCGTCGCTGCTAAGAAACCTTCTTCTACAAGCGCAAACGGCGTGTGCTGGCTTCAGGCGCTGCGTGCCGTCGCTGCTAAGAAACCTACTTCTACAAACGCAACGTGTGTCGCTTCGACTTTTAGGCCCCACTTCAACGCTATATTCCCCTATTCTCTCACCTTTATTTTTTTTTTATAATCTAATTGTACTCTCACTTCATCCATCATCATCCTCATTTCATTTTTTTTATAAAATTGTAAATACCTTTTAAAAATTTAAATATATTGTTTTCTGGCTCTACTTTTGTTGTTTTGTTGTACTTAGGTTAGGTTCTATTTCTATATTTTTTTTTATTGTCGCTTCACGACAAGCGATTCTGCCATAAGGACTATATCGTATAGGTGAGTAATGTACTCGCCATTGATGTTAATACCGTATCCTTTCCAGTCCAGAAGCTTGAAAACGTCTTCTAATGCAGCGGTGAAGTTTCGGGGATATAACGTCACCCTGTCTTACACCTCTCTGCAATTGGATAGGTTTCGTACTCTGGTTCTGTACTCGGATAGCCATCGTAGCCCTACTGTACAAGCACTTCAGCACTTCGATATACCGACAGTCAACTTGGCACAGTTGAAGGGACTGCAGCACCGCCCAAATTTCGACGGAATCAAAGGCTTTCTCATAGTCCACATACGCCAGACATAGTGGCAAATTGTACTCCTCGGACTTCTGTACAATTTGCCAAAGGGTATGTATGTGGTCAATGGTGCTAAAGCTCTTTCGGAAACCGGCTTGTTCGGGAGGCTGGAAGTCGTCAAGTCTGCGCGCGAGACGATTCGTAATGACTCTCGAAAACAGCACGTAGACACGGCTCAGAAGGGAAATCGGTCTGTAGTTCTTCAAGAGAGCGTTGTCACCTTTCTTGAAGAACAAGACCACCGCACTTCTGCTCCACGCCTGCGGTGTAATGCCACCATGGAGGACGGAATTAAAGAGCTTCTGAAGGACTTCAAATACCGGTTTTCCACCCGCTTTCAGAAGCTCCGCTGTAATTCCATCCTCGCCTGGGGCCTTGCCGTTTTAAGGTGCTGGAGAGCCATTCTAATTTCGCTCAGACTGACGTCCGGGATATCTTCAGAATAGTGTCGGATAAGACTCGCTCTTGGATCGTTACTCACACTTGCATGTGGCTCCAACGATGACGTGTACAGCTGCCCATAGAACCTCTCAATCTCACTCAAAATCTCATGTGCGCCGGAAACGCCTCTGCCACACTCGGTCTTCAGCTTTGACAGTTGGCTCTTTCTGGCAGACAGATCTCTGGCAAAGACTTTGGAGCCTTAGTTCCGCTCGATCGCTTCTTCAATACAAGCTGTATTGAAGTTGCGTAAGTCCCGCCGCATGCATTTGGAGATTTGACTGTTCAGTTGCCTGTATGCTGTCAAATCTGTTGAAGAATGTAGCTTCAACTTCCGTCTAACTGCCATGAGATTGAGAGTGTGATCGGAGAGTTTTCGTGTTCTTCTGCGGCGGGTCTGACAGAACTTAGCTCCGACCGCATGGACAGTTTCCACGAGCTTGTCATTCATATCGTCCACTTCATTGCAGTCTTCTAGGCACTAAAAACAGTTTCTTAACTCGAGCTGAAAGGTTTCGGGACTTTGGAACAGAGCACGAGGGGGACGGAGCGTTGACTTCATTAGACAATACCTCTCCAACTTAACGTTTAGGTTCAGTGTGCCTCTTACCATTCGGTGATCACTACCAGTTTTCACCCTCGCGATCACGGAGACATCACTGAACAGTTGTCGTCTGGTCGTCATTATGAAGTCAATCTCATTTTTTGTGGAACCGTCGGGGCTCGACCACGTCGACTTCCTATGGGGCCGCTTCTGGAAGAAAGAGTTCATCATAAAGAGTCCCTCTTTCTCCATGAAATCGGCCAGCAGCTGGCCCCTTGAGTTCCGTTGCCCTATTCCAAATTTCCCTACTTTCAGCTCACCGTTCTCTCTTGTGCCTAGTTTTGCATTGAAGTCTCCCATTAACACCGTATATTGGGTTTTGGAGGAATGCATGGCTCTAGAGATATCCTCACACATTTCCTCCACCTCCTCATCGGGGTGTGCCGAGGTTGGTGCGTAAACCTGTATGACCTTCAGCGAATACTGTTTCGTGATTCTGAGGTATAAGGTACGCAACCCTCGTCGACACACTCAATCTTTACAACGTTGTTAACGAGAGACTTGTGGACGATAAATCCGACACCTCCTTGGGACAGATGGTTGCCCTCCCGGTGATAGAGCAAGTTGCCGGATTCGAGGATTACCGTGTCCTACCCATCCCCATCCTCTTCGGACTCCGGATAATCCTATAATATGCCAGCGTAACTTGTCTATCTCTTCTTCCAGCTCCACGATCTTCTCGTCAGTCCTCAGGGTGCGTGCGTTGTATGTTGCCAGGTCGTATCGTCTTAGGTAGCAACCGAACCTCCACCGGTTCACCCAGTAAAAAGTTATGAGGTAACACACATAAAAAAAACATACAGTCGAATTGAGTACCGTCTCCCTTTTGGAAGTCGGCAGAAAATAACTCAATAAGAATTATTTACAATCTATATTGAATATTCTATTCTATTGACTTAGCATTGAGTTAGCGGTGTTGAGGGCCAAAAGTTCGAATCCCACGGAACAAGTATTTGTTTGGCCTACAAATAAATTGTTCCGGGTTCTAGACCCGGTGTTTGTAATTTTGCAATTTACAAAATAAAAACAAAAGTTAATATTAAAGTCTTATTATTTTTTTCAATTAGATGAAAACATATATATAGTTAACTCATTTTGATTTTAAACTTATGAAAAAAATCCAACAGTTCAAGCGTTCGCGATCGCGTCCGCCCGTGTCGCTGCGAAGACATATTCAAGGTTGGTCGCACGTTATTTGTTCTAAAATTCTGCCCACTTTAATACTTTTTGCTCGAATATTGTGGGAAGTTAGGTAATCATGTTTTTACTTATCTTATCTTATCTTCACGCACAATCCCTGACGGGGTAGCCAGAGAGAACAGATCGCCAAGTGTCACGATCCTGACAAACCTCTTTCGCTTCTTTCAGATTCATTATCTTCTTCATGCATGCACGTCGAAGTATCCGAGTACTTTTGACCCTACCCTCTTCGAGCAATTTGCTCACATGGTCTTCGAAAGTTAGTCTCGGTCTACCTCGACACCTTTTAATATTAACTTTCGCGCTATATATTTTCTTCGCCATTCGGTCTTCACTCATTCGCTCAACGTGCCCAAACCACCGAAGCACGCCCTTATCGATTTTTGTGATAAGGTCATCTTTCAAACCTGCCATATTGCGAATCTCTTCGTTTCGCTTTCGGTCGGCCATGGTAACGCCGCACATTTTACGAAGAGATCGCATCTCCACTGCATTCAACTTATTTTTATGCTTCTTCTGGCATACCCATGTTTTTACTAATAACTATTCATTAGATTTTCATAAATTTGCATGTGGCTCAGTAAAAAAAATCTTGTTTTAAATAACATTTTATTTAAGAAGTATTTAATCAAGTAATCAACAAATAAATAATATGGTATAATGCCCATTAATTTTGAGATTATGTACTTCACTAGTAAGTAATGACTATCCATAAAATTGCTCCACAAAATTGCCAGGGTAGGCATGACTTTATATGATATAGGTAAATGATGAGCGACAATGGGAATAGGTAGGTAGGTAGGTAGGTACCAAACAAAACATGACGCACTGTTTGAAATACTTAATAAGTTGATAAAAAAATATTCAGTCATAAGAATAAAGATATTATTGAGCAGAGTATGGAAAAAATGTAATATCAGAATAACAAAAGGGGTGGAAGTTTTCAAAAATGTAAATATGGGAATTTATTATAATATATTTTATAACATACAGGCATTCTACCACTGAACCACCGATAGTTACCGTATCATAGCGATGTACGGAAATCCACTATTTTATTTTTATAGGATCGGGTGACAAACGAGCACACAGTCCACCTGATGGTAAGTGGTTACTGTGACCCATAGACATCTACATCTATCCTCAATAAAGACTCAAGATGCAGATGCGTTGTCACCCGTGAGGACTAAGATGGAATGCCTCTTTGCCAGTAAAAAGGGTCTCCGGTTCTCTACACTCACCATACGAAACACAGCAGCGTTAAGCTGCTATTTTACGCTGGTTTTCTGTGAGAGCGTGGTCCTTCCCCGTTCGAGCTGACCCATTCGTGCTACAACCATAATATAGCTGCAGCATGACTCTACCACTACCCCATATTATCCCAAGTGTCGCGTAATCATAAGAGGCGACTGACGGAAACTGACAAATGACATAGCATATCGATGAGAAGATGCTAATAAACTGCGTTTGCCAACCCGCCTACTAAGCGCAAAACTCCAATATGAGGCAATTTATGTGGGAAGCCATGTTGTACGGTGAACTTTTGATTGCCTGTAAAATTATGAATGAATATTTTATGGATCGTCAGTTACATAAATTTCATGACTTTGAATAAAATAGGACACGAGGTAAGTATTAACTTATCAATATTAAAAGGACCAGTTGTAATATCACAAACACTACACTGTTACAACTAGCATTAGTACTATACCCATCCAGTACACCAATTATCCCAAACAACCATTACAGTAAGTTTGTATTAACTATTTGTATCCAATATTATGCCTAATGTACTAAAAATCTCTCTATTGAGCTATCTTTTGTGGTAAAACCACTTATTTCTTATTTTCTGTTTCGCGCATATTTTGATTATCATATAGAATATTTTTCGGTCTCCTAAGTTTATGAATATGATTTAATATCAGACCAAGTATCAAAAATGCGAACCACACTCCATACCAATAATGATACACTGATGAATAGTATACCCAGATCCTATCGAATGTTAAAAGTAGAAATGCAGCAGCTTGATAAGATTCCGAGTGAGATCTTAGGAACCACATCACAAAACCTATAATTTTCTTTTTCTGAAACGAGAAAATTTTGATTAAATGTAATTATTGTAATAATAACAATATTAATAATTGATTAAAAAAACATACCATTCCTGTAGCATCCTTGTAATAAAGTTTGTAGTATATATCCTCTGCCATTAAATAAAAAGGGCAGAAGTAAATACAAAAGAAATAACCAGCATGAAATCCATGCCATATAACTGACACAAATAATGCGGCATGTATCCTAAAATAAAAAAGTATCAAAATTTAAAATTAAATAGAAACAGGTTTAATAATAAACTACCACAATGTTAAGTACCATAAAAGTATGCTATAAATGGACTGGCAAAATGTATTTTGTTCCACTTATATATATATATATATATATATAATATATATATATATATATGTATGAATTAGTTTTAGTTAAATTTGTCTCACAGAATACCAGCAAAATAGCAACATATTGCCTGTCATGTTTCCGTATGGTAAATTAATAGAACTAGAGACCATTTTACTGATGGTTGTTAGTGATGACGAAACATCTGCATTTGGATTCTTAAAATAGTGAACATCCATCTGGTAGACTTGCTGCCTGTTTGTCACCATGACTAGTAAAAAAAATTTTACTTGTAAATCATAAAAGTAAGTAAAAAAATTTATCAATTTTATACTTAATTTTATCTTTCCGATTTAATTTTTATAAATCTACATTGTAATGAGCAAGCACAAAGGTTATGTGCAAAATTTCTGACCTTTCTAGGTCCAAGGGATTAAGCTGAGCGTTGGTGAGTCAGTGTGATTACAGTGCGTGGATGAATGAAAAGAGAAGACAAGTCCCGAAGGTAAAGATCACAGAAGAAAGAGAAAGGAGATATTTTCAGACTTTTCGATATTCGCACGGGATAACGAAGACAGAGCATTTATATTTTCGTTTTAAATAATGAGTCTTTGAGTACGGTACATAAGGGTAGACAGTGTCCAGTAATAGCACACGGTAATGTACACCCATCCCGAATAAGTAGTTCCTTAGGGAGCAACAATAAACAAAATTGCCGTATGTTCAAGTTCCACGGAAGCAAAGCCGCGGGCATTCGCTTGTTTCAAAAAATAATAATAATGATCTCCTTTCCAATGTATTACTATATAAAACTTCGACTAAACTTAAAAGTGAATAAATACTATTTTTTGAAAAGAATGTAACTAAGGCACCTATTGACATTTTATACTGTGTTACAAAAAAAATTAAAACGAGATACTTACTTCAATGCCTTCACAGGAAACCTCTTATAAACAACCATAGCAACCCAATATTGCACAGCCTTATTCCAAACCTTCATGGAATCACGTAAAGTAACAACAGTCTCACAGCCCCACACATCCATGGATTCAACTGTATTAAAATCATACTGAGTAATTTTTGCCTCTTCTTCAGACCTAATAACAATGATCACTACAATAAAACATTATAACACAAAAAATGGTGAAACATTAGCATTATCAACTTCTTATTGTATTCATGGAATGGTCACTGCATGTGCAGTTGAAGAAAATTTCATAAAGATCTTTACAGCCCACCACAAATCCATAGGCAAACATAAGCCTCCCCCATCGGTATTTTTTTTTAGGGTCGAGTGACACACATTCCACCTGATGGTAAGTGGTTGCTGTGGCCCATAGACATCTACATCTATCCTCGTTTGTGAATCAAAATGCAGATGCATTGTCACTCGTGAGGACTAAGATGGAATGCCTCTTATCCAGTAAAAAGGGTCTCCGGTTCTCTACACTCACCATACGAAACACAGCAGTGATAAGCTGCTATTTTACGCTGGTATTCTGTGAGAGCGTCGTCCTTCCCCGGTCGAGCAAAGAGCAAGAGCGAAGCTGACCATGCTTTGTGATAATCAATCCATCATCTCCCTACATGTTTCAACAGGTTGTCAGTCGTTACTCAAAGTGGAGGTTGCCCAACAATGCACTTGCCAGTTAACCGAACCGGCAACATTTCGTGACACGCCTGTCGTGTCAAGCGCCTAATTAAGTTTAGTTGACATAAAACATCAGTTGCAAACGGAAGGAAACTTGTTTTTAGTGGGTAAATACGTTTTTCTTGGAAATTGAGAGTAAGTGACTTTTTTTATGCAGAGATTACAAACCTTTTGTACTATTTTTTGTTTTATAAAAAAATAATTTATATAAGTAGGTACAGCTAAATCATCCTGGAAAACCTTGGTTTTTATTTAATTAAATTTTCATCTAATAATAAAATTTGTAAATATCAAACAATGAAGAACCTTAATTTGGAAAAAAAAATAAGGTTTATGATCCATTATTTAATGTTATACAGATGTAAAAGTAAAGTCGATCTGAAAACGGCTAATTAGTAAGAATAGCAAAACAAGTGTTTTCAAAAGGAAAAAAACACCGGCGCTATACGGCGGTGGATTGACAAAAGACAATTTATTAGCGAACTTTTTTTTATGCATAAATGGTTTCGAACTGTTTCAAGCAAAAATAAACCTTATACCATATCACAAGAGCACATGGTACTTCGTAGGTCTATTCGGCCATATGATAGTAATAAGACGGCAGTTCAACCATTTTAAGCAAAATTAAACAATAAGACAAACGCATTGTTTTTTTTTAACAGGAGACTTGTTTTCCAGAAATTTATTTACAACTTGAGTTTGTGAGCGATCGCAATGAGTGCTATTATTTGTTACCTATTAGACTATTTTTCCACAACATGATTTAAAACCCACAAAGTAAAAATAGTACCATGTACACGTTAAAAAAATGTTATCAACCCCTAAAAATTTCAAATTTTCAAAATATCCAGAAACGAAGCTGCAGGCATGAACTACTTGCAAAATAATGAATATTTTGTTCTGGATAAATCTTCCAAAAAAGCAATTTGAGCGAGTTATAACGATTTTTAAAAAGACACGACTCGCGTGTCATACGCCACACACACACAAAAGTAATAGATGGCACGCCAGGCGTGCCACCCGCACTGAACCGGTTAAAGACTGCAACTCGAGAATGATTTTTTCCATTGGTTACCAGTTCTTAAAGCGATATGGCCAGTGCATTGCTACTTCACCGTCTGAGCTATGTCAGTTAGTTGTATTCTTCTGCAGATATCCTTTAAGAATTTTATCATGCAGAGAAATTTCAGACATAGCTCACTACACTAACTAGCTTTCTAAGTGTCTTTGAATTTTATGCAGACAGCAATAAACTACACAACTGAAGTTTTATAAATCTTCTCTGGCAACAAGCACTAATCACACACTTTTAAGGATATGAGGTATGCCAGACGAAAAGATGTGAAGTAATTTCGTGAATGTGACCCATGAAAATTTAGCAACTTGCTTTGCTTTGTTAGAAGAGGTCAGTCAACATGACCTCTTGTCCGTAGTTTGACTTTACATAATCACACATTTTGTCCCAGGTACACATACTTGTTAAAAAGCTTGAGTAGTATTCCAAATAATTTTTGGTGTAGGTAACACATAGATGTAACAAAAACACGTATATTGTCTTGTCCACCTCAAAGAAAATTTACTTTCATCCTTTTTTAGTAAAGAAAGGAAATGCAGATTATGATATTATTTTATAAATAGGTTAATAAAACAAAATTAGACATGAGCATTAGGTAAAAAGAATTTTCAATTAAAATATATAATCTCAACATAGTAGAGTACTCACATTTTTTTAAGTCGCAAGTATCCTACAGTGGGGCCATGGCCAGTTCTATTTCTGCCCTGCACAGGATAAGCTCCAAGACCAGCTGATGTACAAACACTCTCGGCTAATGTCATACCAGAATAAATACGCTGCCTAAATGCAGCAAACAGTGCCCATGGATACAGCATTCTATAGAGAAAGCTCCTGTTATTATGATCTTCTGACAGCACATACTACAACATAACAATACAATTATATTAACATTATATAAATAAAAAATAATAACTATCACTGAATTTAATGGCGGTCAATAGAATATTACAATCTGTATAATATCATAATAATGTTTCTCTTTGCCCTGTATATGTTCCCATACAATATATCCAATTGTGATAAAACTGATGAGATGTTGTGTGCACCTGTGAATGTTTCTGACAAAACAGGCATTGTAATGTATGCCTGGCACAGCTAGTAAGCTTACAAACATTCTATATCTGAAAATGGGTCTCCATTCATGGGGTACATTTCCCGGGAGCAACACGGCCATTGTCCATCATCAGTAATGATTTGCTTAGGGGTATCATACTTTGGCCTTACTGATGTACATTTCTCATTTTGGATTGTAAAAGATCTATCTCAGACGCTTTTACAAAGGCAGTCTTGGGTATTTTAACAAGATTCTGCACTAGCCCATAAGGCCAAAACTACTCAAGTTTAGTTTGAAGTCCAAACTATCAACTAGACATGTGTCAATCGTGAATGATTGGTTCAATTGACCTAGATCGTATCAAAGTACTGATGATTACAATCACATTTTTTGAATGTACTACTACTTATTGTCTTTGTAAAGCAATTGAAGACAAAAATATAATAATAGATAAATATATAGTTATTATATGTTTCATTTTCATTTCACAAATATTTTACCATGATGAAACTTACCTCTAAAGGCCAAACATTAGATAAAGCTAGATAAAGAGAGACATATAATGGAACTATCTTCAATGTGTTAATTGTAAATCCAGTGCAGTCAACATACTTGCTGAAGGGCAAGTGAAAGTAATCATCAAATGTTCTGTATCTGTAGTATGGACCTAAAATGAATTTATTTGAACTTTATTTTATATTCTTAAAACCAATAACATTAGTTGCTTTAAAAAATCCAAGCACCTGTAAGTAACCCCACATAGTTAAAAGAATAATGAAACAAATCTGTAAAACTTGGGTTAATGAGTTCAAGAAATTCATCATCCTTGTCCGATACTCCTTTAGAGTCAGTTTTATTTTTATCCTCATGATCCTGCTTCTTTGCCTTTCCTACCGCTATCCAAGATCCATTTATTTCAAATGCAACTCCAACAACTCGTAAAACTATGATCATTTCTATTAAATTTGTCTGACCCGATGACAGTGGTAATCCAAATTTATCTGCCAGCCGAAAGAAAAATAAGTAACCAAAAATAAGAAAAAATGAAACGATATGACAGTATCTGAAATAGAAAAGAATGAAAGTTTATACTTTTAGTCAATAAATAGCAAAAAAAACTATTACCATAACACAAATAGGTGCTCACCTAACTGTAGCTAATTTTATGGCAGTTATACCGAGAATTGCTGATAAAATTGGGTGAATGGCGCTATATCCAGAAACAACTGTTATTAGAGAAAGACCGAGGACTGCACCAAACCATTTTTTTGTTTGTATTGAGCTAATATTTCTATAATACGGTCCAATAAATACACTGAATAAAAGAAGTCCTAAATAAATTAAATCATTTTTGTTTTTGGTCAAAAAAGTCAACATCTTCGTATAAAACCTGCAATCTGTATACAATATAAATAAAATCACGAAACGGTATGAATTAAGTAGTAATTATTAAATTTTAAAATTTTAATTTTAGGTTGTTTTCCAGTCCCGTAGGTACATTGTTATTATTGTTGTTGATTGTTTTTTCTATGCTCAAAGGTTGACACCGACATAGAAGTATAATATTGGTACATATCTATTTATCTATGGTATAATATTTCTATGATTGTTGAATTGAATGTCATTGAAATCAGGGATTGAATACCGGTACCAATTTCGGTTCTGGTTCTTCATTTAGGTTCTTATATAGATTCCTCTTTTCGGTACGGTTCCAGTTCCGGTATCGGTTAAGGTTTGGGTTCCGATGTACCGCTTCTAAATACCGGTTCCGAGAACCTTTAATCAAATTTCTCCAAATCCGTGGATTGGTATAAAAATTCCGTAGAATTCCGTAGATGCTATTTTAAAATATCCGTACCGTTGAGGATCGACATTTTTTGTTCTTATCATAGAATAGATTAATTTTTTGGGAAAAATTATTTCTGTCATGGAAATTAACTGTTTCCTTTTATTTAAATAATTTTTAGTAAAAAATAAAAAAAATAACCACACATTTTAATATTTGTGGATAGTTATACTAAAAAAATACGTTACATACTTGATTATAACGACTTATTAACACAGATTTTATTTTCTGGTTTTTGTTAGTTTATTTGATATATTACGGTGTTTCAGACTTGGGTCATTTATGTAACAATGAAAAACTATACAACTAAAAATTTTGAGAAATTCGAAAAAAAAAGATCGAGGAAAAGCGAACACTTATTCGGCAGATTTTTTTTAATAATTGTAAAAACTATTAGGACAGCATGGATTGAAAAAAGTGATAATTCAATCATTTACAAAAAAATTATAAGCACTTATATTAACTGCGTATTTTCCGAGAAGTGTTCTAAATTCGAAATAAACGTAATTTAATGCAAAATATCTAAGCTATTAAAATTTGAAATCGATTAACCTCACAAAAATTTGATATTTGTGAGCAAACATGGTTTTATTTTAATACAGATAGCATAGTATTAATTACTAAATATAATTTAATACAGACAACATAAAAGAAGAGAGAAAGAATGACATTGCCGGCAAGTTCACACTCATGATAAAAAAAATCCTTGTTAAGTTTATAAAAATTCCGTAGATTGCAACTTCAAATTCCGTAGTTCCGTAGATGATGACAAAATTCCGTAGATCTACGGAAAAATCCGTAGAGTTAGCAACGCTGCGTTGATATGCAACAAAAGATCCACCAATACAAAAGTGATGTTTTACAAACTCCTCTCTCCTCCACACGACCGCACCTCAAAAAAGTTTTAACTAGCTTTCGCTTTGGCTAGGAACCGGTAAAATAAAGGTTCTAATTTAGGTTTTGGTTCCTGTTCCGGTATAGGTACCGAAACTCCTAAATACCTGTACCGGTATTTTGGAACCGTTTTCAATCCCTGATTGAAATTGAATCAATCATTGATGTTTTATTTGTCAGATCAACAAAGCAACTATGGAGTATAGAGTACAAGGAGAACCATCTTATAAGGGGCGAAAATTGAAAAAGTGTCCTACTATTTACTGAAAATAGAGGTTCCAAAACCTACCACAATAGCGCTAGCCTCTGAAAAATTACGATATGAAAATAGCTGTTGTGAACGAAGTGAAGTCAGCTAAATTCAAATATTTAAAAAATTTCATGACTAGAGTAGTTAGTAAAATGCCAGTATACAAAATCTCAACTATTTATGTAGTACAAAACCAAGCGGATTGGTCGGTCCTTGTTTATTTCTCCATCTTATTCTTATAATATATTAATTACTTTTGGCGCTTTTTTTTTTAATTTATCCTATGCTACTGCAGCGCCACCCTTATTGGACACGTTTTTAGGGACACTTTTCTTATATAGAGATGTCCCATGATGGTCCTCCTTCTACTCTACACTCCATAAAAGCAACAAACTTCAAATTTGTCAAGTTTGTTGTTGTTACGATTTGCCAAATACGATAGGCAAAGATCACACAGCCTATCCAAAAACAATTGCAATATGTTTTGTGCCGTTTTTTCTGCTTTAAACAGGATCAATCATTCAAGTAATATGTACTACATACTAGAACAGCTAAAATCGTATTTTTAATTTAACGAAGCTGACTGACAGATGCTAATGTCACTTTGTGAAATAATGTTGCTAGGTTCATTGTAATAGTGATGCATTCAGTCAGTCAGTTAGTATACGATGACTTGATAATTATAACTAAAATTAAATTAACCTATCTTGATAAACATTGTGAAACTTGTTGACGAATATTATATCATTGAAATAAACAGAAAACAAAATTGTTAGTAAGAATAATAATTTAACACTATTGTGACTCGAGGGGGCGCTCTGACTTTCGGAACGCACCCTACGCCCACCGTGTAGGTCGCCATTTTGTGTGTCATTTGTCTTGTCATTCATTTGGATTCTAGCTTCTGGTCTGATCGCTCGAATATTTCCTCTACGCGCTGTTCTCCTGTTGCTTTTCTTTAGTTTCTTGTTAAGTTTTTTGTTACATTGTGTTTGTGTTGTTTGTTATTGTGTTTTTATATTATTTCGTACAAACGATATGGAACCTCAACCGAGCACGTCGAGGAAAAGCTCTTTTTCCCCAAAAAAGAAGAGACCACGAGCTTCTCTGAGCGTTACCGAAAAACTTGTGGTACGCAATGTCTACAAATACGTATTTGAGCAGGAAACTGCTTCGGTATTATCAACTGAAGTACCGGTAAAAATGTGTTGTCTTTCTAAGACAGGTGAAATTTTGGGAATCGGTATGACCACAGTATTCAGTGTCTTACACTTCTTAAAGAATACAAACAAAACGAGCAATTTAAGTCTCCTGAAAAACTTGGACCGAAACATAATTTGAAGAATAAATTAGACGATTTCACCTTAGCGGCTTTAAGGCGAAAAGTACACCATTTTTTTATGCAAAAGAGACACCCGCCATTGCAAAGGTAACTTAAGTGTTATGTTTTTACATCTTTGTAAAAATATAACACTTAAGTTTTACGATACATTGTGCGTAACGACGACTGTCGCGTCACTATCATACAAATCAAAGCTGCATATTTACACACTCACGCCCGCATAGCGTTTTTTTGAGATTCTATTTGACTTTTTTCTATTGCGTAGACTTTCTTACCCATAATCTGTTTAAATTACAGATTCTTGAGGTTGTAAATGATGACCCAGATTTACGAACTTCTCTTGGAGTACCTTGAAGAAAATTTTAAAACACTTAAATTTTAAATACGCCACAAAATCAAGAAAAAGCGTGCTAATAGATAGACGCGATATTGTTTTGAGGCACCAGCGATACTTTCATAAAATTAAAGATTATCGCAGGGAAGGAAGGTACATTTATTACCAAGATGAAACCTGGATCAACGAAGGTAATTAAAATTTTCTCGGTTTTATTTATCTATTACAGTGTAGGTATTGCATGCCACCGGTGAATTTAATGCGTAATTGGTGTTTTTCATTTTCTCGAAGGCCATACACCGAAGAAGCAATTGATTGACCAGACTGTACAATCGTTCCAGCAGGCATTCTTAGAAGGGTTGACCACTGGCTTGAAAGGGCCTTCAGAAAAAGGCAAACGGCTAATTATTAGCCATATAGACGGGGAAGAAGGATTTGTGGAAGATAGCTTACTTGTGCTTGAGGCTAAAAAGGAAAAGAAGATTACCATCAAAAGATGAATGCTGAGTGTTTTGAGGAGTGTTTTAGTGGGATTTGCCCAAACTAACACCTAATTCCGTAGTGGTGATGAATAATGCCCCCTATCACTCCAGAAAGTTAGAATCGCTGCCTACAACGTCCTGGAATAAACCAAGAATACAAGAGTCGATGGCGAGCAAAAATATCCCATTCGAGGCACAAATGGTAAAAGCTACTCTTATAGACATTGTACGGCAGCACAAACATGAGCACTGCGACAAGTATGCCGTGGATGAGATGGCAGCGGAGCGTGGAGTCACTATTTTAACTATTTTACGTTTGCCCCCTTACCATTGTGAGCTCAATCCCATTGAGCTGATTTGGGCGCAGGCCAAAGGGTATGTTGCAAGAAACAACAAAACCTTCAAAATGAAAGATGTAAAAAAACTTTTCGAAGGACTAAATGAAATGACTGCCGAAAAATGGAGTAGCTGCGTGGCTCACATAATAAAAGAAGAAGACAAAATGTTTAATCTCGACCACATGATCGATAGTGTCTCAGACAAGTTTAAAATAAATGTTACTGACAGTGACAGTGACAGTGATGATATTATATCTGATGACGATGAATAAAAAAATGTAATACTTAAGCATAGTTTTTTTTAATGAAATCCCTATGACTACATACACTATGAATAATTTTCGTCTGAGGAACTGACAATATGGATGTAACATAAATAAATCTAGACGTAATTTTTTAAACCTTCAGTTAAAAAAATTACCATTCTGTTATTTTCTTTATCAGTCATTCATTTTGTTTTCCGTTAAGTTCAGTTCAGACCTTATTAAATGCCTTTGAGATATAAAAGAAGAGGACCCCCGTGTTTTGAAATGTTTTTTTTGTCGGGTGGTGACTAAAGCCAGGCAAAATATATTCTTTTAGGCGATGGATTTGGTTAGTGCACGAGTGTTTGCCTCCAAATCCAAACTGTTAGTCCGGGAGGAGTCTGTTTATTTCAGTGAAGTGACGGAGGCGCTTTAGAATGATACGCTCATATAATTTACCCAATATAATGAGTAGACTTATGGGCCTGTAACTTGTGGATCGATAGCGCATTTGGTCGAGTTTCACCGTGTGTGTGTGTGTGTGTGTGTGTGTGTGTGTGTGTGTGTGTGTGTGTGTGTGTGTGTGTGTGTGTGTGTGTGTGTGTGTGTGTGTGTGTGTGTGTGTGTGTGTGTGTGTGTGTGTGTGTGTGTGTGTGTGTGTGTGTGTGCGTATATAGTACCTATTTTGTTTACATAAATAGAGTACCCACAGAACATTCGGAGCAGATTGGTACACGGGCTGCTGCCGCCTGCAGTCGGGTTCGAAATCATGACTGCAGCGACATGACGCGACGACATATCAACTTTGATTGGTTTTGACAGTTTTAGACAGAACATTCACTGCATACAAACTTTGATTGTTTTGACAGTTTTGTGTAGGCCGTCCCCCCATTAAATGAAGTGACGACCTGGTAAGACATGCAGGAAGTCGATGGATACAGGTAGCTCAGGACCGAGCATTGTGGCATTCCTTGGGGGAGGCCTATGTTCAGCAATGGACTTGTGATAGGCTGTAATGATGATGATAACAATTTTGTGAGCGGTCTCTTGGGGCAATTTTCTAATTAGTTTACGAAGGGCGCTTTGTGAGAAAGTATCAACACTGTTAACGTTTTAATATCTTAAAGGTCAGTTGCAGAAAAGTTTAAATTTTTACAGATATCTCAAGAACTAAAACACAACATTTGGAGCTTTTTTATCTTTTTTTTTCTTAACATTCAAATGATTTGCACTAATATTGTACTAGTAGACCACAAAGTATTTAAATACCAGTATTTCAGGATGAATGTATGACTATTATTCAGGGACCACCAGAAATCATTGCAAGAAAAATAAAGGAACATCTGAATTATATGTAAGTTACAAGTAACAATCATATTACTGACAAAAAATTACATTTCGTGTGATTTATCGATAATACTTACTCATACTTACTCATAAGATATTTGTCTTAGTTGCCAAGCTTGACTGGCGGGTACTCCGTACATACGTAATAAATTACGTACGTACGAAGTAGTATATTCATAAAGAAAAATCATTAAAATCGTTGAATATAACACGTAATTCTATAACCCTTTATTAATCGTAATCGTAAACCCCTTTTCACTGGAAACATGGCATTCCATCTTAGTCCACATTTCCATTTTGATTTATAACTACAAATAGATATAGATTTCTATGGGTCACAGCATTCACCTACCAGCAGGTGAAATTTGTTCTCGTATGTCACCCTTATTTTACGAAAAACGTACCAGCATATAAAAAGGTCGATCAGAAACTCTTATATAATATATTTCATTTTATAAAATTTGAATATCGCTTTAAAATACACGTCACATAAGACTGTGTGGGCGTGATCCCTGTGTCTTTAAATAATTTAAAACTGTAAGAATTTCGACGTTGATCTTGATCGTTGACGTTGACTTTGATTGACCACGGACCAGAAATCAGAAACCAAAAAAATCAAAAATGTTTTATTTACTTACATACACTATGAATTTTTTTCTATAATTTTCTATAATTTAATTTCCCACCGCGTGATTTAAAACATTTCATTATGAAGTCCAAATTAACAGATGAAGATAAAATCGATATTATCAACAATCTTAATATTAAGATTGGGAGTGATATTAATAATTTAGCAGATGCAATTGATGTTGAAGGAGAATTAATCCGAAAGAAGAAACATCTTCAAAGTAGTGTACGTGTTAATGAAATGTTTAATAAATACTTTACTACTGTTACATATACTACAAGTTCAAAATTTCAGTATTAATTTCCTAATATTACTTCATATTATTTTACTTTTTGATATTACTTACAGTTAAATGTAGCAAATGACGAAGTTCCAACCAAACTGTCATCAACCCTTAAAAAGGCGGAACATAATTCCAAACAAATTCAAAATCTCAAAATTAAAAGTGAACAGTTAAAGTTGAAAGTTGAAGATTTTCTAAATAGAACCAAACCTTTGAGAACAGAACTTGATAAAAGATTTTCTGCTATCAGCAGACTAGAAGGAGTGTTACTGTACTTGAAGTCTTTTGAAAAAATTGATGAATTGAGGTATCAAGTATTTATTATATGTTTAAATAATGTTATCATCTGTATTTAAGAAATTAAATATAACTATATTTTTAAAGTGTTATTAAGGTTTAACTTTTTATCGCCTGTTTTGCTAATACAATAGCTCCCAGATGAAGCAATGTACTGATGATGAGCAATTAGTTCAACTTTACGGAGAGTTAAAAGTTATGTGCAGTCAGTATAGTAAAGGACATCAAGCTGCTTATGTGAAAGAATATACACATTATTGGCATAATATTTTGAAGGATGGTCTCACCAAGTAAGTTGTTTTTAGCATAATCAGTAAATGCTTTTAGTCAGTTTTTATAAATATATTATTGATTTATTAGTAAATTATAAGGCTTAGCTTTCCATTGACTCCCGTCGAGTTGGGGGTTGATACATATTTTTACAGAAAAGTTTCACTATTATAAGCACACACACAAAGTTACAACATGCGGAAACGCGTAATTTTTGAAAAAAAAAATATTATTGAAAATCAATTATTCTTGCATTGTTTATATCTAGTCCTACCATAAAACTGACGTCATTTTGTAATGTCATTCTCGTCAGTAGAGATGTCAATTCTTTCCGAAAAAGGTTGATTTTTAAATCGATTCAAATCGTAAGCTGATGTATCGATTCACAAAAAATCGATTTCTAAAATATCTATATTTTTTTATGTTTGCATTTATAATGTAAATATAATTCCATTTTATGAGAAAAAAATCCCCTTCATCATAAAATATAGAGGACTGATTCAGAAGGATTTCTGTAAAAAAAAATATAGATATTTTAGAAATCGATTTTTTGGGAATCGATACATCAGCTTACCATTCGAATCTATTTAAAAAATCGATATTTTTCGGAAAGAATCGACATCCCTATTAACAATAACAATAAAAAATGGCGTCAGTTTTATAGTAGGATTAGATATAAACAATGCAAGAATAATTGATTTTCAATAATATTTTTCTCAAAAATTATGCGCTTCCGCATGTTGTAACTTTTTGTGTGTGCTTATAATAGTGTAACTTTTCTGTAAAAATACGTATCAACCCTCAACTCGACGGGAGTCAATGGAAAGTTGTACTAATTATAACAAAAGGGAATAAACATCAAACCAGTAGCAAGGGTGTTTTAGTCAGGGCTCGGAACCGGTTTAAAAAGAGCGGTTAATTTCGATTAATTACCGGTAAATTTATCGCTCCTTCAATTACCGGTTAAAAAATTAACCAGTTTTTATTAAACCTACACGATAAAGGTTACCGGTTACTTAACGGTTTCGACACCCAAATTAAACGGTTAATTCCGTAAAACGTAAATGCAGTTATGAATAGGACAGGTAGATTCACGTTGCGAGGTGCTTATGCGGCATCGCCGCATGCGGGCACACATCAATTATCTGCCTTCAAGCGATACATTGTTTTAGTCGCGATCAGGGTGTGTAGTGGGAGTTTGGCGTTTACGAAAAACTGGAAAGTATTGGAGAAGTTTTGAAGAAAGAAAGGCAGTTATTGTGTTTGGTTTATTCGTTAAGACTGGACGTGTCTCATAATGAAGAAAATAATTTATTCTTGTGTATCGGTTGTTTATTTATGATGGGCTGAAAAAAAGTAAATAGAATTCATTCCATGTTTACGTTTTAACAGTAGTAGTAGATAGAGCCACGCGGCAGCTTTTGCTATCGCATGGATGGGCCAGCTCGAACCAGGGTAGTACCACAACCTCACAGAATACCAGCGTGAAGTAGAAATTTACTTCTGCGTTTCGCTTGGTAGGTGTGGGTGGTCGGAGGCCCAATCCCCCCTTAAAGTATGGTAGCGGCATCAAATAAAAAACTACCCCAGGAGGGTACCAGAATCCTGGTGACGGAGAATCCTTCGCTGAGCACCCACGCCCAAGCTACCCTACTGTTCCTGAGCATGTGTGCTCAAGCTGCCCCGCGTATTCTGGTATACAGGGGAGTGGGGGGGTAGGGGGGTATCCTCAGAGATCGTGATCCTTGGCGATTTTAACGACCATCACGCCGAATGGCTCGGTTCACATTTAACCGATCATGTGGGGAAATTTGTTTATGACTTTGCCTTGGCATATGGTTGCACAGCTGGTTACTACCTACGCGCCTACGCGGATTCCAGATGTGGAGGATCATGCGCCTTCCCTGTTGGAACTTCTGCTGACCTCTTATCCGGACGGATATCAGGTTTCCGTTGACACCCCTCACGGCTCCTAGGGCCATTGTCTTGTCCGAAGGGTGGTGTCACTCACACTATCTTCGCGGTTGCATTCTGCAGGCAGCCGCCGTGTTTGGCACTATATATCGGCCGATTGGGAAAGGATGCGGTCTTAATTTTGCATTCTACCCTTGAGGGCGAATTTGCTTCCCGCTGGACAATCCCAGCAATGTTGCTGGTTCTGTCACTGATATGGTACTTGAGGATATGGAACTTTTTATTCCATCTTCTGTGGTTCCCATCGGGGGCTGACGACATCTTTACATTCCGAGACGTTGATGTATCGAGATGTAAACATCAGCGCTCTTCAAAAGAAGTATAATTCCGCCTCCAGGTTCTTCAAAATTAATTGCCAAGGCAAGGTCAGAGCACATCGGCGTAGTTGGTGAGAGGCTAGTTCGCCTTCCTTCGGTAACCCGTTCATTCTGGTCTCTTGCTAAGGCTGTCCAAGGGAACTTCTGTCAGCCCTCTCTGCAAAGAGAGAGCGACTCACTGATTCCATGCCGCAAAGGAGAAAGCCGATCTGTTAATCTCTCTTTTTGCGTGCAACTCGACTCTCGATGACGGAGGAATACACCGCCGACCATCCCGCGGTTTGAGTGCTCCATGCCAGATATGCGGCTTACACAGCACTCGGTTCCCTTCCATTGTGCTGAAGACGTGTGCTCCGAAGTAGAAACCTGTTTTAACGCGTCTTTTCCGGTACTTCTACTCCTAAGGCGTTATCCCAAATTCATGGAAGACAGCTTTGGTTCACCCGATCCCTAAAAAAGGCGACCACTTAGACCCGTCAAACTACAGGCCTATCACCAACACCTCCTTGTTCTCCAAAATAATGGAATCCATTATAAACAGTTTTCGTCGGGGTTCATCAGTTGGTGATATTCTGGTCTATCTAACTCATAGATGGGCGGAGGCAGTAGAGTCTAAGGGGTAGGCATTGGCCGTTAGTTTGGACATTGCGAATGCCTTCGATCGGATTTGGCACAAAGCGCTTCTTTCGAAGCTCCCTTCCTATAGGCTTCTCGAGAAATTGTGCAATTGGATCACCAGTTTCCTTGCTGATCGGAGCATGAAGGTCGTAGTAGACGGTGCATGCTCTGATTACAAGCCTATTAATGCTGGCGTTCCACAAGGCTGCGTGCTATCACCAACGCTGTTTCTACTGCATATCAATGATATTTTGCAAACTGGTAACAACGACAGCACTAGTGATGCAATATACACCGGCCGTGCCATATTTCTCGGGAAACGTCTTCGAGTACCAGAAAAAGTAAAGTAAAGTTGCAGCCTTTATACGTCCCACTGCTGGGCACAAGCCTCCTCTTATTTCTGAGAGGGTTTTAGGGCAAGTAAATGTCCGCCGCGCTACCCCAATGTTTGTTAGCGAACTTCACATGTCATCATCATCACCATTACAGCCCTTCACAAGTCCACTGCTGAACATAGGCCTCCCCCAAGGAATGCCACAAAGCACGGTCCTGAGCCACCTCCATCCATCGACTTCCTACATGTCTCACCAGGTCGTCACACCATCTAGTGGGGGGTCGCCCTACACTTCGCCTACCGGTACGAGGCTGCCACTCGAGAACCTTTCTCCCCATCGTTTGTCGGTTCTTCGAGCTATACGGCCAGCTCACTGCCACTACAGCTTACTAATCCGTTGGGCTATGTCGGTTACTCTGGTTCTACTGCGGATATCCTCATTTCTAAGTTTATCAAGCAGAGGCACTCCGAGCATAGCCCTCTCCATAGCTCGCTGAGCGACCTTGAGCTTCCTCATACGGCCAGCAGTGAAGGACCACGTCTCAGATCCGAAAGTCACCACTGGCAACACGCACTGGTTGTACAATTTCGTTTTTAGGTTTTGAGATATGTCTAACGAGAAGACGTGTCGTAGTTTCCCGAACGCTGCCCAGCCGAGTTGAATCCGTCAATTGACCTCTCGGTCGAAGTTGGACTTACCTAGTCGGACTATTTGTCCCAGGTAAACATACTCGTCAACAACTTCGAGCTTAGTGCTCCCAACAACTACCGGCATAGGTGTGACATGGACGTTAAACATGATTTTTGTTTTGTCCATGTTGATCTTAAGACCTATCCGTTGGGAAGCACTATTGAGGTCATTGAGCATAATGCTTAGGTCCTCCAGCGATTCTGCCATAAGGACTATATCGTCGGCAAATCGAAGGTGAGTGATGTACTCGCCATTGATGTTGATACCGCATCCTTTCCAGTCCAGTAGCTTGAAAACGTCTTCCAATGCAGAGGTGAAGAGTTTCGGGGATATAACGTCACCCTGTCTTACACCTCTCTGCAGTTGGATAGGTTTCGTACTCTGGTTCTGTACTCGGATAGCTACTGTACTAACACTTCAGCACTTCGATATACCAACAGTCAACTTGGCACCACTGAAGGGACTGCAGCACCGCCCAAATTTCAACGGAATCAAAGGCTTTCTTATAGTCCACATACGCCAGACATAGTGGCAAATTGTACTTTTCGGACTTCTGTACAATTTGCCGAAGGGTATGTATGTGGTCTATGGTGCTAAAGCGCTTTTGGAGACCGGCTTGTTCGGGAGGCTGGAAGTCATCAAGTATGCGCGCGAGACGATTCGTAATGACTCTCGAAAACAGCACGTAGACGCGGCTTCTGAGCCGCGAAATCGGTCTGTGGTTCTTCAAGAGAGCGTTGTCACCTTTCTTAAACAACAAGACCACCGCACTTCCGCTCCAAGCCTCCGGTGTAATGCCACCATGGAGGACGGAATTAAAGAGCTTCTGAAGGACTTCAAGTACCGGTTTTCCACCCGCTTTCAGAAGCTCCGCTGTAATTCCATCCTCGCCTGGGGCCTTGCTGTTTTTAAGGAGCTGTAGAACCATTCTAATCTCGCTCAGACTGACGTCCGGGATATCTTCGGAATAGTGTCGGATAAGACTCGCTCTTGGATTGTTACTCACACTTGCGTGTGGCTCCAACGATGACGTGTACAGCTGCCCATAGAACCTCTCAATCTCACTCAAAATCTCAGGTGCCCCGGAAACGATGCTGCCACACTCGGTCTTCAGCTTTGACAGTTGGCTCTTTCTGGCAGACAGATCTCTGGCAAATACTTTGGAGCCTTGGTTCCGCTCGATCGCTTCTTCAATACAAGCTGTATTGAAGTTGCGTAAGTCCCGCCGCATGCATTTGAAGATCTGTCTGTTCAGTTGCCTGTATGCTGTCAAATCTGTTGAAGAGTGTAGCTTCATCTCCCGTCTAACAGCCATGAGATTAAGAGTGTGATCGGAGAGTTTTTGTGTTCTTCTGCGGCGGGCGCTTGAAGAACTTAGCTCCAACCGCATGGACAGATTCCACGAGCTTGTCATTCATATCGTCCAATTCATTGCAGTCTTCTAGGCACTGAAAACGGTTTTGTAACTCGAGCTGAAAGGTTTCGGGACTTTGGAACAGAGCACGAGGGGGACGGAGCGTTGACTTCATTAGACGAGACCTCTCCAACTTAACGTTTAGGTTCAGTGTGCTTCTAATCATTCGGTGATCGCTACCAGTTTTCACCCTCGCGATCACGGAGACATCACTAAACAGTTGTCGTCTGGTCGTCATAATGAAGTCAATCTCATTTTTTGTCGAACCGTCGGGACCGGTGGGGCCTGTGAGGCCGCTTCTGTAAGAAAGAGTTCATCATAAAGAGTCCCTCTTTCTCCATGAAATCGGCCAGCTGCTGGCCCCTTGGGTTCCGTTGCCCTATTCCAAATTTCCCTACTTTCAGCTCACCGTTCTCTCTTTTGCCTAGTTTTGCATTGAAGTCTCCCATTAACACTGTATATTGGGTTTTGGAGGATTGCATGGCTCTAGAGATATCCTCATACATTTCCTCCACCTCCTGATCGGGGTGTGCCGAGGTTGGTGCGTAAACCTGTATGACCTTCAGCGAATAACGTTTGGTGATTCTGAGTATAAGTTACGCAACTCTCGTCGACACACCCTCAATCTTTACAACGTTGTTAACGAGAGACTTGTGGACGATAAATCCGACACCTCCTTGGGACAGATGGTCCTCCCGGTGATAGAACAAGTGAGTGCTCTGAGGAATTGTTCGGTTTAATTCCAGCCGCCAAATTTCACGAACGCACATCGCGTCAAAATTCACGATACCATCCTCACCATCTGTATGTTTGACGGGCCACCACTGTGCGTTTTACTAGGAGTTTTCTTCCTAGTACAACTTCTCTGTGGAATTGTTAACCACCGGCGATTTTTCCGGACCGATACGACTTAGGGACCTTCAAGAAAAGAGCTCACTCCTTTCTTAAAGGCTGGCAACGCACCTGCAATTCCCCTGGTGTGGCGGTTGTTTATGGGTGGCAGTAGTCACTTACCATCACATGACCCGCATGCTCGTTTGCCCCCTTTTCTATAACCAAACGTACGACGAGAAAACCCAAAAATCTAAGTGCTTGATTGAGGGCTGAATACGACTATCAGGGTGGTTTCTAGAGCACTCATTATACCCAAATTAATCCAATAACGGTACTTGGCACGACCTGGGACACGATTTAAACCCAGGACCAAATCATGATTCACAGTCACGCTAGTAACCACATACAAACAGACAAAATTATATAATTTCATGATAAAGTATGAAAGTTTGTAAAAAATTCGAAAGTGATTACTATATTATTTTGATCTTGAGGCGTTAGAAAACTTGGCTGCACTTTTAATAATTCGCTTTTATAATTCAATACATGTTCGTAGATATATCTGTGATGATGTAGTTAATTGAGAGTTATTAATAATTACTTTAAATAAAAGACAGGATTTTTTAGTGTATGTATTTGGTTACAGTCGACAGCAAAGTATAGCCGAATTTAATCATAATGATTTGTTAGATTCAAATTATTTTTCTTTATTAATTTCAGTATCAGTTAATTTAATTTCATCTATGTGGTTACCTTGCACTCTATTTAGAAAAACTAATATTTTTAGTAGCATCTTGCACGTACACAACATGATAAGATTTGCTCCAATTTCGCTTTAATGAGATGTGAAAAATGGTAATTTCTTCTGTTAGAATTCTCTGAACATAACAAACAATTTTTTGTCGTGTTTAGACATGACTTCTAGTTAAACTTTACACCTCAGAAGTGGTCATTATTAATTTTGCAAAGACTGAGATAGAGGTTGGTCGTAATTACGAGCTTCAGAATTAAAAAAAAATCTGTTAATCTGCCTCACTTTAGTCCTAAAAAGAACAAAAATACTATAACATATAATTTCATAAACTTTTAAAAATATTGTGTTCTGTTAAGAAAGTTCATCATTTATTGCGATATATTACTAAAACTAATGACATTGAAATAAAGATGCTAGCGTAATTTTAATAGAATACGTTAAATATAATTAAAGTCAATTTAAATATATAACGTCAAATTAAACTTGATATCAAAACTTAATTTTAAAGTGAAGATAACGCATAATTAATTGAAACAGAACTTACATCTGTTATTTATAATACGATCGTTGCGGAAAGATGAAAAAATATGAGGGAGTTACGTCACAAGGCAGTCGCGTTGATGCAATGAATATATCGTGCATGTGTCTAAAAACCTCGGGAATTAAACTGTGGCAGCCGTACAATGATGGGTGCAAGCGGGGTAAGGGAGAGGGGGATATTACAAAACTTGGTTTTAACCGGTTAATTCTTACTACCTAAACCGAAATTTGTGAAAAACCGGTATTCCGCAAAAACCGGTTTTGTGGTCAATGACCTAAACCGGTTTAGAATTTCAACCGGTTTCCGAGCCCTGGTTTTAGTTACGTCATACTTTCCATCAAGTGGATTATGTGTGTTTATTACTGTTTAGTTTAGTTTTCCCTTTTTTGTTTGTATTTATTACTGGTATGCTCAATCAGATTATTGCAGTTTATTTGATGGTTTGCTAGCATGGTGGCTAAACGTTTAGCTTTGGCATTAGGTGCCACAGATTCTAATTATACACAGAGTAAGGATTGGATGAAGTACTGATAATTCTCTAGGTGTTACAGATAGTCCCCTGTGCAGGTCATGTATGGGGGAGGAGGAAACAGCGGCCTTCTTTTTGCTGGCATTTACGGATGTCGCTATATATAGGGCTAAACATCTTGGCACCTCGGGATCACTCCCTGAATTTGCTCGTAACATCAAAGGTCTGTTAAACTTCTTCGGGGAGATTTCATGGCTTGAATAATCAATATTCCCGCCCACACGCAATATAAGTGCTTAGATGTGGAGTTGTGGAAAACACCCGTTGTAAGCTAAACTAAACTAAACTAGGTCTGGTTGTTTGTCTAACTTATGCATGTAAAACACCACTATAATAGAAGAAAAATATTCAGCTTTTTATAAATTAAAAGAAAAAAATTTCAAAAACAAAGTAACAGCCTATGTATGCCCTGCTGTTGGGCATGGAGCTCTTTTCATCTCTGAGGAGATTTTTAGGAGCAGTAAGAGCAGCATTGCTACAGTGTTTGTTGCTGTCTTCGCAACGTGTTCTTGAAACTTACATAATTTCTAAAATATGTAGATTTTGTCACAATGTTTTCCTTGTTTGTAACCATGTGCTAAATTACCACTTTCTAATAAATTTTAGTGCTTGGATGTATTTAACACATATTTTTTACGTACTATGAAATTCAAGCACCTAGCCTCTAAACTACTTAAGCGCCTTATCACAGATAACCTAATAAATGTCTATTATTTTTAGGCACTATGAAGATGTTTTAAAATTACTTAAATGGCCTTTTACTTCTTCTGAAAATTCTTTACCACCAAAAGATTTGCTGACAAAATTTACCAATATGACTAGATACCTGTTCCTAATACAAGAACCAGAAGACTTAACATCCAGTGCTATTTCAGATGAGTTCAATCTAGGTAATTTTATTTTTCTTACATATTTTGAGGTGTACAACATGCATGACAAACATGTACATGAGCAAAACAACTGTTTTTTTTTATAGGATAGGGTGACAAACGAGCACACAGTCCACCTGATGGTAAGTGGTTGCTGTGGCCCATAGACATCTACGTTTATCCTCGTTTGCGAATCAAAATGCAGATGCGTTGTCACCCAAGAGGACTAAGATGGAATGCCTCTTTTCCAGTAAAAAGGGTCTCCAGTTCCATACACTCATCATACGAAACATAGCAGTGTTAAGCTGTTATTTGAAGCTGGTATTCTGTGAGAGCATGGTCCTTCCCCGAGCCGATCCATTCGTGCTACAACTATACTACTTATATAGCTGCAGCATGGCTCTACCACGTTAATATGTATATTATATAATAATGTTCTGTTATCAGGTTGAAATATTTTTTTAAACAAAAACTATGAAAAGGGTTATTATAATATAAATGAATACAGAGGTAGAGAGTAGAGGTAGAGGTAGGTGGTAGAGCCACGCAGCAGTTTTTGCTGTTGCATGTATGGGCCGGCTCGAGCCGGGTTGGTACCACGACCTCACAGAATACCGGCGTGAAGTAGAAGCTTTGCTTCTGCGTTTCGTCTGGTGAGTGCAGGTGGCCGGAGGCCCAATTCCCCCCCCCCCCCCCCCCCCATCAACATGGTAGCAGAATTACACGAAGAACTACCCCAGGAGGGTACCAGCACCCCTGGAGAATCCCTCGCTAAGCATCCACGACCATGTTTTTCCGATCCTGAGCGTGGGTGCTCAGGCTGCCCCGCGTATTCTGGGGGGGGGGGGGCAAAATTCCGCTCAAAAGCATTACTGCTAGGGGCAAACTGAGCAAGAACACCAAGGCGACCCCTGCCACGCTATCCGTGAATTTCTGCAACATCAGGGGACTTCACTCTAACCTAAACGCCGTCCACTACCATCTCGAGACGGCGAAGCCGGCCTTGCTCTTTCTGACCGAGACGCAGGTTTCCTCTCCGGCTGATATTTCGTATCTCTCCTGCCCGGGGTACAAATTGGAGCATTCCTTTGTGCCTCGGGCTGGAGTTTGCGTGTATGTCAGAGAGGACATCTGTTCTCGACGCCTCGGCAGTCTTGAAGGTTCGGACCTGTCCATTCTTTGGCTACGCGTAGACAGCGACGACCATCCGCGCGTCTACGGGTGCCTCTATAGGTCCCATAGCGGTAATGCCGAAACAGACCGACTCATCGACCACGTCCAAATGGCTACAGATTTCTTGCTACAACAGATCCCATCCGCAGAGATCGTGATCCTTGGCGATTTTAACGCCCACCATGCCGAATGGCTCGGTTCACGTCTAACCGATCATGCGGGGAGATCTGTTTATGACTTTGCCTTGGCATATGGTCTGACACAACTGGTTACTTCGCCTACGCGGATTCCAGATGTGGAGGATCATACACCTTCCCTGTTGGACCTTCTGCTGACCTCTCATCCGGACGGATATCAGGTTTCCGTCGATGCCCCTCTCGGCTCTTCGGACCATTGTCTGATCCGGAGTGTGGTGCCACTCACGCTCCCTTCGCGGTTGCGTTCTGCAGGTTGCCGCCGTGTTTGGCATTACAGGTCGGCGGATTGGGACGGAATGCGGTCCTTCTTTGCATCCTACCCATGGGGGCGGGTTTGCTTCTCGCCGGATGATCACAGCGCTGTTGCTGACTCTGTCACTGATGTGGTGCTACAGGGAATGGAACTATTTATTCCATCATCTGTGGTACCCATCGGAGGCAGATCTCAGCCTTGGTTTGGTCGCTCCTGTAAGACTGCATTACGCAGTAAGCAGGAGTGTTATCAAGCCTGGGCTGCGGCTTCGGCGACTCGGGATGTAAATACCAGCACACTTAAAAAGAAGTATAACTTCGCCTCCAGGTCCTTCAAAAGAGTTATTGCCAAGGCAAAGTCAGAGCACATAGGCAGAATTGGCGAGAAACTAGTACGCCTTCCTTCGGGAACCCGTGCATTCTGGTCTCTCGCCAAGGCTGTCCAAGGGAATTTCTGTAAGCCATCACTACCATCTCTGCACAGGGAGGATGACTCACTGGCCCATGACGCAAAAGACAAAGCCGACCTTTTAGGCTCCCTTTTTGCGTCCAACTCGACTCTTGATGACGGGGGGAAAACACCGCCGACCATCCCGCGGTGTGAGTGCTCCATGCCGGATGTGCTGTTCTCACAGCGCTCGATTCGCAAAGCACTGCTCTCCCTGGACATCCAGAAGTCGAGTGGGCCTGACGGAATCCCCTCAATTGTGCTGAGGACGTGTGCTCCGGAGTTGGCACCGGTCCTAACGCGTCTTTTCCGGTACTCCTACTCCCAAGGCGTAGTCCCGAATTCATGGAAGACAGCTTTTGTCCACCCGATCCCTAAAAAAGGCGACCGCTCAGACCCATCCAACTATAGGCCTATCGCGATCACCTCCTTGTTCTCCAAAATAATGGAATCCATTATTAACTGCCAGCTCATCCGGTACCTTGAGGATCACCAGCTGATTAGTGTCCGCCAATACGGTTTTCGTCGGGGTCGATCAGCTGGTGATCTTCTGGTCTACCTGACCCATAGATGGGCGGAGGCAGTAGAGTCCAAGGGGAAGGCGTTGGCCGTTAGTCTGGACATTGCGAAGGCCTTCGATCGGGTTTGAAACAAAGCGCTTCTTTCGAAGCTCCCTTCCTATGGGCTTCCCGAGAAATTGTGCAATTGGATCAACAGCTTTCTTGCAGATCGGAGCATCAAGGTCGTTGTAGACGGTGCATGCTCCGACTACAAGCCTATTAACGCTGGTGTTCCACAAGGCTGTGTGCTATCACCAACGCTGTTTCTTCTGCATATCAATGATATGTTGCTAACTGGTAACATTCATTGCTATGCGGATGACAGCACTGGTGATGCTCTATACACCGGCCGTGCCAATATTTCTCGGGAAAACGTCGCTGAGTACCGGAACAAACTTGTGTCTGAAGTCGAGTCTTTGCTGAACAAAGTCTCGGATTGGGGGCGACTAAATCTAGTCTAATTTAATCCTCAGAAGACACAAGTTTGCGCGTTTACCGCTAAAAAGAACCCCTTTGTCGTATCTCCTCAGTTTCAAGGCACTCCCCTTCTTGCCTCAGCCAGTATCGGTATCCTCGGAGTCGACATATCGAGTAACGTGCAGTTTCGTGGTCACTTGGAAGGGAAGGCCAAATTGGCCTCTAAAAAGCTTGGCGTGCTCAGCAGAGCGGGACAGTATTTCATGCCGGCACACCGCCTGCTACTTTACAAGGCGCAAGTTCGGCCTCACATGGAATACTGTTCCCATCTCTGGGCAGGGGCCCCCCAGTGCCAGCTCCTTCCACTTGACCGCATCCAACGCAGAGCGGCTCGAATTGTCGACGACCGAGCCCTTTCCGATCGGCTCGATTCATTGGCACTGCGAAGAGATGTTGCATCCCTTTGCATTTTCTTTCGCATCTACCATGGGGAGTGCTCTGAGGAATTGTTCGGATTAATCCCAGCCGCCAAATTTCACGAACGCACATCGCGGCAGAACTCCCGATACCATCCACACCATCTGGATGATTGGCAGTCCACCACTGTGCGATTTAGAAGATGTTTTCTTCCTCGCACGACCTCCTTGTGGAATCGATTACCATCAGCGATTTTTCCGGACCGATACGACTTAGGGACCTTCAAGAAAAGAGCGTACTCCTTTTTAAAAGGCCGGCAACGCATCTGCGATTCCCCTGGTGTTGCAGTTGTTCATGGGCGGCGGTAGTCACTTACCATCAGGTGAGCCGCATGCTCGTTTGCCCCCTCTCCTATAAAAAAAAAACAAAAAAAAAACATGGTTGATAATAACTCCTGGGAATGAGGTAGTCTCTTCCAAGATGTTTCTAAAATAAATTTTGTAAATAGATAGTACAACCTCTTATATTGTATAATTTACTTTACTTTTTTTTTAAAGTCCCGCTGTGTTTCTTGCTTATTCTTCTTAGGACAGAGGTTTTTTCCGAACCAGTGGTAATGTAAAATATTACTGAATAAGAGCACAGAATAAATAATAGTACTACGTACAGAAGTTGCACTCTTTTGATGTTCACTGCTTGCCGACGTTTTAATAGCCTACATAGTTATTATTAATCAGATAAATCGCGCACGCAAGCTAAATAAAACTTTATCGCTGCGCGCGAATGTCCGTATTACTTTGCATCTTATCTCCTTTCTACGTCACAACGGACTTTCGGTGGTTGCTAAGGGCTGTTAATAAAGAGTAAAAAACATTGTGAAATGGAAAGTTACTTAGGTAAAGTACCTGTGCTGACTATAATCGATCATATGATCTAATATGTGAGTTCTGTGATGCCCAACGCATGCAACTTGCAAGGCCATTCGTCGGGAATCGCGATGCTTGGTTCGTATAGGTAGATAACGTAAACAACAAATAAGCCGGAAATACGATTCCTAACAGAAATATGATCGTAATCTACTTAGTTGAAAATCTTGTAAACAAAGTTTTAATTTCAGTATTTTGTGCTATTATAACTTAAAATATTTTAATTACAAAGACGAGTAAAGGTATGTAAGTAGGTACTTGGGTAGTTAAGCAAATTTCAACTAAGTTTTATAATAAGGTACTTAGGTATTACATCTGTAGTTAAATTATTACTTAATTATTTTTTCGCTATAAGTACCTATGTAACAAAAAAAATATTAAAAATTGGTAAATCCAATTGGGCATACCTTAAGCGCATTAAAAAAATTACGTATATGAATATAAGTTTGTGAACTCAAGACTTCTCTGGGTTCGCTTTAAATTGGGACTGACGAAGTTATTCCTTTTGGCTGTTTATGCGCCAGTAGCTTCGTCGTCCAGGGCTGAGCTGGAGGAGTTTTGGGAGAATGTAAGAGAAGTTCTAGATTTGGCTAGGGGAAACGAAAGAATTGTTGTATGTGGTGATTTGAATGGATGGGTTGGTACCGCTCGACCAGGGTACGAGTCGGTACTTGGAAAGTTTGGCGATAAAAGGGTTAACGATGCTGGCAAGCTTATACTGGCGGTATGCAAGGAAAAGGGTCTTCTTGTGACAAACACTATGTTTAATCACAAGAAAATCCATATGTATACTAGAGAAAGAAAGAATGAGAGAAGTATGATCGATTTGTTCCTGGTGGATGACCGACTGCGAAAACAGGTTATGGATACGCGAGTGTTCAGGGGTGCTGACCTGGGAACGGATCACTATCTAGTGATTACTAGATTTAGGGGTCTATTCGCGGGTTGGCGCTACCGGATGGCAGTGACAGAACCACAGTCGGTCTGTCGCATCCGAAGCTGGAAGCTTCAGGAAGCGGATACTAGGGACAAATATCATGCGAGGGTAGCCGAAAAGCTTGACACCATCGATGGCAGAAACGAATGTGTAGAAAGAACATGGCAGAACCTTAGGGATGGAATGGTAAGTGCAGCGGAAGAAGTGTGTGGAACAATAAAAAGAGGCAGTAGTAAAAGAAGAGATTCATGGTGGAATGATGAAGTGAAAGAAGCTGTAAAGAAGAAGAAGAAAGCATGGTTAGACTACTTGGCCTCTAGTAATGATAAGGATATGAGAGAGAAGATGAAAGAAACATATAGGCTGCAGAAAGTTTACACGAAAGCATTGATTGAGGAAGTGCGTGAAAGGTGTAGAATGGAAGCGGACGAAAGGTTGTCGCACAACTTTAAGGAGAACTCCAAACTCTTCTGGAAAGAGGTTGGAAGGACCCGAAGTGGTGCGACGGCCTTAAGAATGAACAAAGTGCTTTCGAGAACTAATGACGTCCTCTCAGAAAAATCGAACGTCATGCAGCGATGGAGCGAATTTTATAGAGAAATGTATGCGTGTGATGATCTTAGTGAGGGATCCGGGGATGACGCCGTGACTGGTACGCCAGACCCGGACCTCGATGACACTGAGGTCATCAGTATGAAAGAGATTGAACATGCGATTCGAAGTTTGAAATGTGGTAAGGCTGCGGGACTAGACAGAGTTACTGCTGAAATGGTCAAGTATGGTGGGCCTCGCGTCTGGGACAGCTTTCATCTGCTGTGCAATTTGTGCTGGCGGACGGGGGATGTCCCGGATGATTGGCGATCCGCAGTCATTGTGCCTTTATATAAAGGTAAAGGTTCACATTTTGACTGCGGGTGTTATCGGGCGATCAGCTTGACCAGTTTAGCAAGTAAAGTTTACTCGAAGGTTTTGACACGTAGGATGCAAGAGATATCGGAAAGATTTCTATGGGAGGCACAATGCGGATTTAGACCTGGAAGAGGATGCACGGATCAAATGTTTTCTCTCCGCATGATCACGGAAAAGCTTCTGGCTGCTAACCAGAAGATTTTCTGTGCTTTTGTGGATCTTGAGAAAGCATTTGATAAGGTTGTAAGGAAGAAAATGTGGGAACTGTTGCCGGGGTATGGTGTGGATGGTGATTGCTAAGGGCTGTGCAGTCTCTTTACTGTGACTGTAAAGCCTGTGTGCAGGTAGGGCATGACCTGTCACCCATGTTTAGCGTCCAAACGGGCGTAAAACAGGGTTGTGTCATGTCTTCCTGGCTGTTCATACTGTATCTCGACAGCTGTTTACAAAAGCTGAAAGATAGCTGTTTGGGTGTGAAATTGGGTGACATTAAAGTAAATTGTCTGCTGTATGCTGATGATGCAGTGCTTATTGCACCATCAGAGGCAGAACTGCAGGCATTAGTCACGTGTATGAAAGAGGAATGTGAAATTAAAGGTCTCCGTTTGAACGCTAATAAAACTAAGGTTCTGGTATTTGAAAGGGACGAAGAGAGAACGAAGTGTGAAATATGGGTAAATCAGGAATGTCTAGAACAAGTAAATGAAATTGTATACTTGGGGAGTGCTTTTAGCCGGGATGGAAGATGTGATTTAGATGTGAACAGGCGTGTCGCTGCCGGGAACAAAGTCAATGGTGCCCTGACTGCGTTAGTCAAAAGGCAAGGCGTAGTGAAGAGTGCACGCCTTGCAATACATAACGCAGTGTTGGTACCGACTTTGTTATATGGCAGCGAAACCTGGGTATGCCAGAAGAAGCATAAAAGCAAGTTGAATGCAGTGGAGATGCGATCTCTTCGTAAAATGTGCGGCGTTACCATGGCCGACCGAAAGCGAAACGAAGAGATTCGCAATATGGCAGGTTTGAAAGATGACCTTATCACAAAAATTGATAAGGGCGTGCTTCGGTGGTTTGGGCACGTAGAGCGAATGAGTGAAGACCGAATGGTGAAGAAAATATATAGCGCGAAAGTTAATATTAAAAGGTGTCGAGGTAGACCGAGACTAACTTTCGAAGACCATGTGAGCAAATTGCTCGAAGAGGGTAGGGTCAAGAGTACTCGGATACCTAGACGTGCATGTATGAAGAAGATAATGAATCTGAAAGAAGCGAAAGAGGTATGTAAGGATCGTGACACTTGGCGATCTGTTCTCTCTGGCTACCCCGTCAGGGATTGTGCGTGAAGATAATCACGTATAACATGATTATACGGAATTTTTAAAGTAGTTTAAATACATTTCGACAGCACTATCCGCTTCAACACCCTCGAAAACCATGAAAATGACACCCATGATGAAAAAATTTATACCTATTGCAGCCGCCACCTTGGATTTACATTTCGACAGCACTATCGGCTTCAACTCTCTCGAAAACCATGAAAATGACACCCATGACGAAAAAATTGATACCTATTGCAGCCGCCATCTTGGATTTACATTTCGACAGCACTATCGGCTTTAACACCCTCGAAAACCTTGAAAATGACACCCAAGATGAAAAAATTGATATCTATTGCAGCCGCCATCTTAGATTTACATTTCGACAACCCTATCCGTTTCAACACTCTCGAAAACTATGAAAATGTCACCCATGACAAAAAAAATTATACTACTTACTTTTAGTACGTACTACTATTATTTATTGTGCTTTTAAAATATTGTAATAAAAAAAATCTCTTATTATTATTAGATCAAGTATTTAAGAAATTTGGTTATTCGAATATTGTGTATTTGTACAGCGATCTTTTTGAGCCGCTGCAAACAACCGAAACAATGTCCACTCACGACGGCGACTGAAGCCGAACTAAACTACTCTGTGGCGGTAGCTCCCCATTTACAGAAATAATTTACATAGAAGGCTACCAAATCAACGAAAATTTCGCCATTTAGGAGACGAAAAAAATGAATTATAGCTAAACAAAACAAAATTACACTGCCATTTACATTCAGTGGGTTCCCACATGATAGATGAAGAGATTAAAAATTAGATTGAGTTCAACAAGATATTTTCAAAAGATATCGTGTTTACAAGCCTTGGGGCCATGATAAATCCACACCATAAGCCACTAAAACCCTTTTTTTATTTAAAAATAGCAATTAATCGATTTAAAAAGAAAATATTAATAAGTTCAACAATCATTTATCTTTCTAACAATGTGCTTTTTATATCATTTATATGTATAATATGATTGCTAGATACGATTTTATTCGATAAAACGTTGGAATCTTAATTTTTAGGCGATAGTAGAACATAGCTTGCGCTTTCGCTTAAGGTATGCAAAATTTACCTTTCATTATCCTTCGATAACTCAAAAAATTGTATATATGAATCGTTTTAATTGCTCATTAAGCATCCATCCCCGCAACAATTATAGTAGGAATAACGTTTTGCCATTATAATTTATCAAATACATATAGGTAATATACATATATATTATTCTTAAATTACATTAAAACTTTTTCAACTATTTTATCCTACAATTAAATATACTAAATACTAAACAAAACTATTTCGACGAGTATTTCAACAAGTATTTACAAAAAATTATTTACTTAAACAGCGTTAAAAAAACTTTAACATTCAATCGTAGAGCGCGCTAGCCCCGACTGCGATCTACCCCTGGGGCAGCTCGCGATTGTAGGTAATTATTTCACGCAGGTAGCAAGAGTGACAAAAGCCTGATAAGAGTTACATGTAATCTATATTGAATAAAAAATTATTCTAATCTATTCTGAATTTTTCTTGCCGTGAATTTTGGTCCACTTCACATGCCCCGCCAAATGCTTTTGCTTTATATTGTTAAGAAACTCCAATTGTGTTGCTAGATTGTGCAAAAATCAAAACAAATATTTAGTAAAAATTCTGTATATCCTTCTGTGCATAGCGATATTAATTATACCTACGATACTTACGATACTAATTATACTTTTCAAACCAGTGGTAAATAAAAATATTGACTTTAACTTTTTTAATTAAATAATTTATCTTGAATAAAGATTATTCTTTTCTTCTTGTAAGTTGCCTCCTGGATCCCTTATGTATATATTTGCCACGGCTGCCATGCTTGGCAAGCAGATTGGCAACCACAGCTTTTTATTATTTTGAGTTGTTACCAGGAAGATGCTGCACTTCTGTTTCATTTCCCTGTAGCCTTTTAGACATCCACAGGTTAATATGGGATAGTGGATAGTCTAAAGTTGCCACTACACAGCAGCTGAAACTATTACTTGTTTGTACTTCTGTAATAAAGTTTATATGTATAAATTACAATTAAAAATGTAATTATTAAAAATTCATTAATTCATTACATCCTATCAAGAGTCCACTGCTGACTATGGGCCTTCCTCATAGTACATCCTCATAGTATAATGTACAGAACTATTGTAAAATTATATTAAATCTCTTAAACAATAATCCCTCTGGGTTTCTTGACAGGATAGTGGTATTTTTCAAACCAGTGGTAAATAAAAATATTGACTTTCTATAACTTTTTTAATTAAATAATTTATCTTGAATAAAGATTATTCTTTTCTTCTTATAAGTTGCCTCATGAATTCCTTATGTATATATTTGCCACGGCTGCCATGCTTGGCAAGCAGATTGGCAACCACAGCTTTTTATTATTTTGAGTTGTTACCAGGAAGATGCTGCACTTCAGTTTCATTTCCCTGTCGCCTTTTAGACATCCACAGGTTAATATGGGGTAAAGTTGCCACTACACAGCAGCTGAAACTATTACTTGTTTGTACTTCTGTAATGAAGTTTATATATATAAATTACAATTAAAAATTTAATTATTAAAAATCTAATCTACAGAACCCAATCCATGTTTACCTGTGAGAATTTTACTTCGACCTTTAAAAAAGAGGTTTGCATTCCACTTCACGGGTGCACGTCAGACAGCGCGCATTGACAGGCCGGAATGGTTTTTAACACAAACACTTACTTGGATACGAGACCATCAAACATTTGTCAAGAATCATGTGCAACCAGTTGCTGATAAACTTGAAATGAAGAGTGTTAACGCTGTGGTGAGTGTTTTGTGCTTTTAACTTTCAATAACGACACATTTACTATTTAAAACAAATTTTACGGATTTTATTGCATTTTAACTTATTATTAACTTACTTCAAAAAATTAGGAGGATGAATTCGAGCATTCAAGCTTTTGATATTTCTTAGTCCACTTAAAAGGGTCGAAAAATTAGGCTTTTAATAAAAAGAGTAAACCGACTTCAAAGTACTTAAAAGAGGAAAATAATTTCCGTATAATAGCTTCAGATACCTGAGCCCTGACACTTGATTCTATATACACTAATTTTAATTTACTTAATACAATCAGGCATTACTTTGCAGGAATTATCTATACATATAATAAAACTATAAATAGCAGACGTCTGTACATTTTATATTTTTGTAATAAAAGTGATTGAGGAGTACTAAAAATAAGTAATTAAATACATTTCTACCATTTTTAGAATTTTCTGTCTGTGTGTCTGTTTGTTTGTTAACGTATCACGTATAAAGTACTAATTTCTATCATAAGAATCGTTAAGGAAATTATAAAGTGTATCTTCGGGTTACATTTAGTCTTTATTTCATTAAAATCAGTTCATTCCATCAAAAGTTATGACAAATATTTTTCTGAAGTATGGGTCTAAGTATAGGTACGAATTTGTTCGATAGTGGCGTTGAATGAGTCATCAAGTACATTTTTTAAATTAATATCATATTATAAATCATAATTAAATGATGTAAAATAATGTTCTATAATAATATAATATAATTATATCTACAACGCAGTAAACAAAAGTATTACATAAAGAACGTAATAAATATATACAAAAATATATTAACCTTATTATTATCTAAATATAAAGTACAATAGTTAACCAATTTCATCGATAGATGGTGATGTTGCACAAATGTGATACAAAAATATCTGTTGACGATAAATTAAAAAAAGGCAGGTTAAGGTTTTTTTTTGTAGATGAGTTTCATATTTGCTTCTAATCTTTATATTAACGCTGCCCTACTGCGTGTTGACAATCTCATTAATTTTTTACCGCCGAGTACTCTATGTGGTAAATAAAATTTTAAAAGAGCTATTAACAATTTCGTTTTTCGCCGAGGATCAAACTTCCTTTTTTGCTTACTATGCAGGCACTGATTTATAAGTTCTTTTATGTTTTTTATTGTATCAATCAAACAGCGCCATCTCTCTTTAAATCTAAACATATAATAAAAATGGTGATAACATGTTGTTTGTTTCTGTACATTGTATAGTATATTAATTTGTGACTAAAATCATTATGGGGGCTGAAAATCATTAAATAAGTACATTTTTATAATTTTTAGAATTGTACTGTCTGACGGTCTGTCTGTTTGTTTATGAACCCATGACGTTTTGAGTAAACATCTTTTTTTCAATGAAATCCTTAAGAAAATCATAAAGCGTATATTATCGAGTTCATTTAATCTTTGTTTTATTAAAATTGGTTAATTCTATCGAAAGTTATGATAATTATTTTGAAATCTAAGTTCGAATTTGTTTAATGGAATGGCTTCATAAAATCTCTGAAATAGATATAAAAAAAATTCGTGTGAAAAAAAACGTTCTATTATAATATATTTGTACTTAAAACACAGTAAAAAAAATATGTTTTCCTTAAATTAAAAAAAGATGTTTTCTCACAAAGAACGTAATAGATGGCGTTGTACAAATTTTTCTGCCTTTTCTGAATTACGTTATTAAGATTTTTCGCCTGTGAATAACGTCCATGAGCCCGATGCCGAAGCCCAGCTTCATCGGGCAAAACATCGTCAGAAACAAAAACCAGAAAAAAGAGTACATAGGCGTACATAACGCCAAAGTTATGCAACAAAACTCGACTAAAAGTAGCAAAATTGCAATAAAATTTCGTGATATTGTTTTATACCCAGAATCCCTCTAATACAAAATAACTTTTTTTCAGTTTTAAGATAGGGATGATCGATGTTGCAGAAACATCGATGATGACATCAATGTTGGCATGGATAGCTCAACATCGATGTTCGATGTATAACCTACTCAAAATATCGATGTTGACCATTATCGATGTTTTTTGTATATGTGTAGATACACATTGTTTTAAAATTATGTGGGTATACACAGAAAGGGAAAAGTAACAATTAACTTGAATATCAATTTACGTAGAATAATTATTATGCGACAACCGTCAACGACACTACAAAATAAAGCGAAAGCAGTGACCATTGTGACATTACGTGTCACACGTGACAATTAAGTTTGACACACTATAATGATATTTTTCTTAGGATAACGATGCGTTCAGGAATTCTGAATTATTCAAAATTTTTAATCTTCAGAGCAGATGCAAGATTTAGATGGATTTCGCGGGTTCGCATTGTTTGCAAGTGCCCAATTATCGATTTTGGGTTCATTGACGTCGATGTTTCGATATATGACATGTGTCAATTAAAACTTCGATGTTAAAACATCGAAGTTTTAATTTTTAACATCGATGATCAACAACTAACAACGAACATCTCTATTTTAAGCGTGTTTCCCACTCAGCGTGTATTATGCGACGATCGTAAATAAAGCGCAAGGTCAAACTTTACGCGTTGCAGGAGTGGACATCAGTACTGATTGTTTTACACATGGCCAACTTTATGTTCTTTTTCCCGCGTTATTAGTCCCCGTAACCATTTTCTGTAAGCCCCGGCTAAGTCTACTTCTAACGTCGTTTACACTGAAGCTCTCTATCATAAGCGACTTAGAACTTTAAGCATATCGATTTATTTTATTACCACTTATTGATACAGTAATGATATAAATCGTTATCTTACCCTAAACGTCAAATTCTTTAAGTAAAACCTATATAGTTTTACTTAAACTTCGCGTATATACGCGAGCTATGCCGCGGGCACAGCTAGTATTAAATATGTTAACATCTCTAATTTTGTTTTCAGATGTTTAATTTTTTTACACTACTTATGTATAAGTATGACTAAAATTAAATGTGATAAAATTCGTATAATTAATTTTTTTTAATGAAATCGTTATGAATTTTGCTGCACTTATGTTCAAAAGGGGTATTAGCACAGGCGCAATAAATTTTTAAATTGTATCATCATCAACAGTGAATAAAACACCAAGCACACATTTCACTGCATGGCACAGACTTTTTAACTTTCTATATACTTAGTGCTAAAATCCCACTGTGGTCAAAAACTTCCGGCAATACTAGTGTTCATATACTGGATTTTATAAAAAAGATTTCATTGCCAATGGTTTAACACAGTCTTACCGGATCTAACAAGATGGTGATTTAATAAAAACTCATGTTTCCCTTTTCGTCTTCCTCTTAGCTTGTGACTTAATTATTATTATATACCATCTCATGCTTTATGGAAGTATTTGGTGAGTGCTCATGTTCGGCATAATGTGCACATTAACAGACACTGATGTAACATTATCTTATAAGACTTTGGGAGAATTTAAAATCATATCTTAACAAAATTTGGACACCTTGGTCTGTGTTAAATGACAATCTCGAGTCTAAATTCAAGCTTTAAAATGTCAAAATTTGAATCTAGGCTATAATATTGTGTTACACAAATTTTACTTACTACTTAAAACTCTAGATCGTTCCTAAATATCAGCCTAAGTTTTTTTTTTATATTTAGTATAAAGGTGATAATGAAACATACAGTCTACCTGACCGTAAATGGATACTGTGGCCAATAGACTTCTACATCTGTTCTCGGTTAAGAACAAAAATGCAAATGCGTTGTTACCTATAGTTTTTGAATTCATTATTACATTTAATATAATATATAATAATAATAATAATATTTATTTATTTCTCCCACTTTTTATACAGTTTCATTTCTTACATAAATAGTTTAAGAGTTTTAAGTTGTTGTGGGAGACAGGAGCCTAAACTAGGTAACCCTGTGCTATGGGTCTCCTGGCTCCCCCTCTTGGCTTTATTACAATTCGATGAATATATACATAGACATGAAGTGAGCGTTGCCTGTGAAGAGCGAATATAAAATTTCTTAGGTGTAAATAACAATAAAAGGCATATTGATTATATATAGTATGCAATATGTTTAAAATTTAAGTATATAATCAAAATGTTATATAAAAGCATATACGTATACATATATAAATATACATGAATGTGTGTGTGTGTGTGTGTGTGTGCGCGCGTGCGTGCGTGTGCGTGTGTGTGTGTGTGTGTGTGTGTGTGTGTGTGTGTGTGTGTGTGTGTTTCTAAGTCACTATTCCGCTATTTCAGTAAATTCTCTGTTTTTTCGTAATCTAATTTCATAAGCCAATCTGTTAACTTTTTTTTACATTTATATTTTGTTAGTTGAAAAATTGAGTGTTGTCTATTAATTTTATTATATAACCTGCCTATTCTGTACCCATAAAACTTTTGGGCGAAAGTAGATTTTGCTTGTATCGTTTCGCATACCTCATAATTTCTTCTCCTGATTTGTATTAAATTAGGTGTGAACTCAGTGCAAGTGTGTTTTCTTTAGATTGTAGACAATATATATAATTGCCGTACCTACTGTAAGCATTTTAGCTTCCCTGAATAAACTGGTAGTTGAGAAAAATTTTGGCTTATAAAGTGCAACTTTTAGAATCATTCGTTGAGCTCTTTTCAATTCAAGCATGTGCGTCTTATTGGAACCTCCCCAAACGGTAATACCGTAGGTTAATATAGATTGGCACAAAGATATATAAACAGTTTTTAACAAAGTCCAATTTGTGACATGTCTTAAATTTTTAAAAATGTAAGTAAGTTTTCTGACTTTTTGGGTTAAATTTCTTATGTGCGCTTTGAATTTAAGATTATTATCTATTGTTATACCTAAGTATTTAATTTCTTGTGTATTTATTATATTAAAGCAGTTGCAGTTTGAACTAGAAAATTGATAACATGAATGAGCTATAATTTTATGATTGTTAATATATCTTGGTAATTTGCGAATCGAAAACGTAATATATTTGGTTTTATCAACATTAAGTGAAAGTGAATTTATGGCTAGCCACTGACAGACGGTATTAAAACCTTTTTGTGCAATATTAAAAACTTCTTCCCATGAATCCCCATAAAAAGTTAGTGTAGTATCATCGGCATACTATATTATTTTACAATTTTTATATTTAAGTTACAAAGTTCATTAATGTAGCATAAAAACAGCGTTGGGCCAAGTGTACTGCCATGTGGGATGCCGTAACTAAATAGTTGTTCATCGTTTACTATGTTACCTATCCTAACACGCTGTGTTCGATTATGTAAATAATCCATAAGAAGAAGTAACTGCTTATCCCTTATGCCCAACATTTCTAGTTTTTCAGTAAACTTATCGAAAGAGACTGTATCAAACGCGTTTTGGAGGTCAATAAAAATGACTAGACATTTTTTTTACTATCCAATTTCTCAACAATAAAACTTGTTAAGGCGTGTACAGCATCAGTTGTTGACTTTCCCTTTCTAAAACCGTATTGAGCATTCGAAATTATTTCATTTGCTTCAAGATATTTAATAAGCCTACAGTTAATAATCTTTTCAAAGATCTTAGAGAGGGAAGGTAATATTGAAATAGGACGATAATTTGAGATACAGCCTCTTTCGCCAGTTTTAAATATGGGAATGACTATAGATTTCTTTAATGAAGGAGGAAAGATGCCTTTTGATATACATAAATTAAAAATATGTGTAAGGGACGTACAATTAAGTCTTTAAGATGCTTTAATACTCTAGCAGAGATCCCATCCCATCCTGCACCGCTGTCTGACTTAAGGCCTAAAATGTGCCTTCCGATTTCTTCTTCACTAGTGTTTAGGAGAACAAACGAGTTACACTTTGATGTTCTTTTATTTATTTTTAGAGGAAGTAAGGGAATATTTAGTGGAATTTTATTCGCTAATTCAGCCTATTTTAGCATTTTAGCAAAGTATTCATTCACCGCGTTTACAGATTTAAGGGGACTTATTTTAGCTTTGAGAGGTTCCAGCGGTGAATTCTTAGGATGGTCAAGATTATTAATTTTTTTATAGCACCAAATTTTTTTATTATCATTACCGGCTATTTTTAATTCGTTGTTTTCATAATTTCTTTTACATTTTTTAAGAATGTTATTACAATAGTTTCTATATCTTAAGTATGTGATTCTTAGTATCTCATTATAGGGGTCTTTTTTTAATTTAAAGTGCATTCTGTCTCTTGTTTTTATGCGCCTAAGTAATCCTATTGTTATCCATGGTTTTATTGTTATTTTGCTTCTAGGTATTTTTATGTTAATAGAATTTACATTTTTGTAGGAGGAATTCAATGCTGGTCTAATAGCATTGGCGGCGGAGAGACTTCATACAGTTTTGGGATTATATATTACTCAAGGAGCTAAGGGAGAGATTGTCGACATCGATGGAGCTTTTGCGCATGCTATTGATGAAACTTTGGGTTTCCACAGAGAACTATCAGCTATTACAGACATTGAAATGAATAGCGTGTTAGCTGTGCTTACTAAAGCAGAAACTTTTGTGAGATGGCTATCCGTAGAGAAGAAATGTGCGTGTTTTGTATTTTCTACTATTTTGATCATTGACTTCTGTAATTTTAACTGTGTTAGTGGTTATATCACGTCATTTTATTGATTAACCTTCTTGTTTTACGTTTGTTTCACAAATAAAGTTATTAATTTCTACAAAAATGACCCTTAAAACTTGAAGTTGACAGAATAAACAATAGTGGACACAATTTACGTTGTAAAGGCGGTGTAAGAAAATCCAGACAGAGGGAAAGAAATCAGGAGATGGGCAGCGGCGTTTTTCTAATCATCATTACAGCCCTTTACAAGACCACTGCTGAACATAGGCCTCCTCCAAGGAATGCCACAAAGCACGGTCCTGAGCCACCTGTATCCATCGACTTCCTGCATGTCTTATCAGGTCGTCACTCCATCTAGTCGAGGAATGCCCTACGCTTCGTTAGCCTACGAGGCCGCTACTTGAGAAACTTTTTTCCCATCGGTTGTCGGTTCTTCGAGCTATATGACCGGCACATTGCCACTTCAGCTTACTAATCCATTGGGCTATGTCGGCCACTCTGGTTCTACTGCGGATATCCTCATTACTAAGTTTATCACGCAGAGAAACTCCGAGCATAGCCCTCTCCACAGCTTGCTGAGCGACCTTGAGCTTCCTGATCCAACCAGCAGTGTAGGACCACGTCTCAGTTCCATAAATCATCACTGGAAACACGCACTGGTTGTACAGTCTCTTTTTTAAGTTTTGAGGTATACCTGACGAGAAGGTGTGCCGTAATTTCCCGAATGCTGCCGAGCCGAGTTGAATCCGTCGATTGAACTCTCGGTCGAAGTTGGACTTACCTAGTCGGACTATTTGTCCCAGGTAAACATACTCGTCAACAACTTCGAGATTAGTGCTCCCAACAACTACCGGCGTAGGTGTGACATAGGTGTGACATGGACATTAAACATGATCTTTGTTTTGTCCATGTTCATCTTAAGAGATATCCGTTGGAATGCACTATTGAGGTCATTGAGCATAGTGCTTGGGTCCTCCAGCGATTCTGCCATAAGGACTATATCGTCGGCAAATCGAAGATGAGTAATGTAGTCGCCGTTGATGTTAATACCAGTCCGTTCATTTCCAGTCCAGAAGCTTGAAAAGTCTTCCAATGCAGCTGTGAAAAGTTACGGGGATATAACGTCACCCTGTCTTCCACCTCTCTGCAGTTGGAAAGGTTTCGTACTCTGGTTCTGTACTCTGATAGCCATCGTAGCCCTACTGTACAAACACTTCAGCAATTCGATATACCGACAGTCAACTTGGCAGCGCTGGAGGACTGCAGCACCGCCTAAATTTCGACGGAATCAAAGGCTTTCTCATAGTCCACGTACGCCAGACATAGTGGCAAATTGTACTCTTCGGACTTCTGTACAATTTGCCGAAGGGTATATATGTGGTCTATGGTGCTAAGGCCTATTCAGGAACTGGCTTGTTCGGGAGGCTGGAGGTCGTCGAAACTGCGTGCGAGACGATTCGTATGACTCGCGAAAACAGCACGTAGACGCGGCTCAGAAGAGAAATCGGTCTGTATTTCTTCAAGAGAGCGTTGTCGCCTTTCTTGAAGAACAATACCACCGCACTTCTGTTCCACGCCTCCGGTGTAGTGCCACCACGGAGGACGGAATTAAAAAGCTTCTGAAGGACTTCAAGTACCGGTTTTCCACCCACTTTCAGAAGCTCCTTTTTTAAGGTACCTTACCGTTTTTAAGGTACTAGAGAGCCATTGTAATCTCGCTCAGGCTAACGTCCAGAATATCATCGGAATAGTGTCGGATAAGACTTGCGCTTGGATCGTTACTCACACTTATGTTGCTGCTTATAGAACCTCTCAGTCTCACTCAAAATCTCAGATGTCCCAGAAACGACGCTGCCACGCCACACTCGGTCTTCAGCTTCGACAGTTGGCTCTTTCTGACAGACAGATCTCTAGCAAAGACTTTGGAGCCATAGTTGTTCCGCTGGTGGTTCCGCTCGATCGCTTCTTCAACACGAGCAGTATTAAAGTTGCGTAAGTCCCGCCGCATGCATTTGGAAATCTGTCTGTTCAGTTGCCTGTATGCTGTCAAATCTACTGAAGACTGCAGCTTCATTTTCCGTCTATCAGCCATGAGATTAATAGTGTGATCGGAGAGTTATTGTGTTCTTCTGCGGCGGGTCTTGCAAAACTCCGACCGCATGGACATTTTCCACAAACTTGTCATTCATGTCGTGCACTGTATTGCAATCTTCTAGGCACGGAGTAGGCGTCTTCCTAATAATGACTAAAAATAAAAAAAGCTGCCGTTGCCAAGGTAAGCGCGTTAGCAACGGCAGTTGCCCCCTCTATGAGGCACTCTATGGGGAGGCCGATGTTCAGCAGTGGATTTAATAGCCTGTAACGGTAATGGGCACAATTTATTGGTCATATAGATGTTCATCTAGTGAAAAACACTCAACCTTGACAAACGAGCAATTAGAATCCACCTCTGCCTTAAGATTATTATTTAATTTTATTAAACTGAAGAGAAAAACGAACTCTATGACTATCTTATGGTAAGTGACTGCTAGAGTTCATGGGCACTTGCAGCCAACTTCAAACAAGGAAGTTAACAGCTACGTTGTTACCACTGACGACTAAGATGGAATGCCTCACAGTCTGTAATTTTAAAGTTTAAAAGAATGATAACTAAGTTGCTAACTGACTCTAATGATTTATAAATTATGTAATAATAATACTTACACTATTATAAATTGTCCAATTGTATTAAAAAAAATACTGGCTCTATACAATTCAGACCAGAAAACAGCAGTGCAAGCAATTGATAGCAGAAATAGCTAAGAGTGTGGTTATTACCCAAACGGACTCTTAGGCAGAAATTCTTTTCTGTTTTACCACCCAGTAAAATTAAGTATCTAAATACAAATGCGTCTTCACCCTTGAGGACTAAGATGGAATATCCGCAACATGACAGCTAACACGTCATTAGAGCTAGGGAGGAAAACGTAACGGTGATTGGTGAGTATGGAGGCGGCGTGCGGGCAGCGAAAACGCATTCCTATCATGCGGCTGATTGTTTTGGCCAAGTTGTAAACATTACACTCGGTCAAACTAACCTGTTCGAGCTGCATATACAGCTGCAGCTTAGCTTTAGCAATAATTTATCTACTAGTTATTTTACAAACTCTACACCAGTACCAGCCTCTCACGTATTGATGTTACTCAGATGCACTATCGAAAATGGACGAGGCTTTGGGCAACGAGCAGTGGAGCGAACCAGTTGCGGCTGGAGTTAGTGTTGCCGTGGGTTCCGTGTTATGGGTTCCGCGCAGTGCCGACTGGTTTATAGCCCTTTTGAAAACCATAGAAGACCGATATGCGATGTTACCCCAGCCAGGACATAGGTAGGTAGTTAGTTTGTAGTATAATTGATATAAGCGAGTTTGTACCTTATTGCCTGCCTTAAAATGTCTTTCTTTGGATAAATAAGATGATATCATCTTATATGGTAGCAACATTTTTTATTTTCACTTTAAGCTAGTATCAATCCTATTTCTTAAAATATAATGTGCATAATGCATTAGCTTTAAATTTTAGGATTTTAAATTTAAGATAATAAATTTACGTCTAAGTGGGACACCAATTTACCAAAAATCTTGTTACATATTTTGTATATTGTGTTGTTATTGTTATTAATTAAGAATAGCTGAAAGAATATTATCTGTCGTAATTTTGTAAGTAGTTCAAGTTTATTTTGTATGCTTTAATTATAGCTTAAACATCTACAAATATAAAATACCTAGTCAGGTCATAAGTATTGTCACACAGTAAAAACTTTTCTTTTAGAATGCTGGCCACAAAAAGTTTATTGAATTCGAATTTCGAATTTTACATGAAAATAAAACTGTATACTTTTTAGAATTTTACTCATTTTTAAATATGGAGTGGACGCTTAAAGAAGACCGTGTTGCAGTTATTGCGTTGCATCGTTGCGGTTACGCGCCAATTCAAATTTTGACATACTGAAAGATTTGAATATAACCAAAAGATTCGTTTATCGTACCATCAAACGATACAATGAAGACCTTAGTGTAGATGACAGGTCAAGAAGTGGTCGCCCTCGGTCTGTTAGGACTCCAGCAGTGATAAAAGCTGTGAAGGCGCGAATTCAAAGAAATCCCAAACTTAAGCAGAAACTGTTGGCCCTTCAGATGGGGTTAAGCAGAACCACGGTGAAAGGGGTGTTAAATGAAGACTTAGGGCTTCGGGCATATCGAAGAAAAACATGTTTGAATGCTCGTCTAATGGACCTGAGACTGAAGAGATGCCGCGCTTTGTTGAAGCGGTACGCGGGAAAAAAAATCGGGAAATTCTTTTTTCGGATGAAAAATTTTTTACCGTAGAAGTGAGCTATAACAAACAAAATGATAAGGTGTACGCACACAGTAGTGAAGAAGCGAGCAACCGTATTCCGCGTATCCAACGAGGTCATTTTCCATCCTCGCTCATGATATGGTTGGGAGTTTCTTATTGGGGCTTAACAGAGGTACATTTTTGTGAGAAAGGTGTAAAAACGAATGCAGTTGTGTATCAAAATACAGTCCTGACGAACCTTGTGGAACCTGTTTCTCATACCATGTTCAATAACAGGCACTGGGTATTCCAATAAGATTCGGCGCCAGCTTATAGAGCGAAGAGCACACAGCGCTGGCGAGCTGGCGGCGCGTGAAATCGACTTCATCCGGCACGAAGACTGACCCTCCTCCAGTCCAGATTTGAATCCGTTAGATTACAAGATATGGCAACACTTGGAGGAAAAGGCGTGCTCAAAGCCTCATCCCAATTTTGAATCACTCAAGACATCCTTGATTAAGGCAGCTGCCGATATTGACATGAACCTCGTTCGTGCTGCGATAGACGACTGGCCGCGCAGATTGAAGGCCTGTATTCAAAATCACGGAGGTCATTTTGAATAAACTTTAGTGTCATAAGAATCTATGTTTTGTTAAGTTCATTTTGGTTTATAAATGGTTACATAATGAATAAACTTTTTTCAATTATTTTATATTAAACATGTGACAGAATTTATGACCTGACTAGATATAAAGGAACGGGTTGCTATATACTATAATATAAAATTAGAGGAATCTTATTATGTTGTATATAAAAGATTTTTTGAACTTAGAAATTTATTCATTTAAATATAATCAATAATAAACATTCAATATAAACATAACAAAATTCATTCAATGTCTAAATGTAAAGTATTATTTTAACCTATACTGTAGTAAGTTCATATTTACTGGTACGTACCGCATTACGACATCCATTTTATTATTAATAGCAGAACACTTTGATAACAGTTTAACGAAGATTCTATTTTTATTCTATGATTTTAAGTAAGAATTAGTATCAGGAATTTTCGTAGGTAAATAATTGAACATTAATAGCAATATCGTTATTTAGTAGCGGTGTAACAGAATCCACTATCTGATATCATTCCGTATGTGTTGTAAGAGGTGACAGAGGGAAACAAACCAGTAGTGTCTTCCTAATAACAATAAAAACCGCGGTTGCTACCCGCCTGCCAAACGTGACAGCTATGAAAAATATCCCAATTATGAAGCAGTCTATGGAGAGGCCTATGTTCAACATTAAACTTTGATAGTCTATAATAAAATGTAAATGAATGGAAATAGAAATGTGCATTTTTTTATAGTATCGGGTGACAAACGAGCACACAGTCCACTTGATGGTAAGTGGTTACTGTGACCCATTGAAATCTATATATATCTCAATAAAGACTCAAGATGCAGATGCGTTGTCACCCGTGAGGACTAAGATGGAATACTTCTTTGCCAGTAAAAAGTTACGCTGGTTTTCTGTGAGAGCGTGGTCCTTCCCCGGTCGAGCCGACCCATTCGTGCTACAAACATAATATAGCTGCAGCATGGTTCTACCACAGAAAGGATTTAAACATTGAGTAAATTTAACGTAAGGATTTAAACATTGAGTGTTAATAAAATATAAATAAATTTTGTGACAGCTTATATTCTATAAGTAAAGAGCACTTCTTCTATACCAGCATATCAAAGTGCACTGCTGGACTTTGGGCCTTTCTTGTTAGGGAGGATTTGCCTTAATCGCAACGCTTGGTAGACGAGGACAGGCAGTACCTGACGTCCCGCGCAATATGTTTGGTATTACTACGAGGGGCACACTGAAATGATCGGGAATAAGTAAAACCACATGCACGGTATAGCTAAATTGTATTTATTGTTTTTCGAAGTATTCTCTGTTCAACTTAATACACTTTTCCATTCGTGAAAACCAATCATTAAAACAGTAATTCCAGTCTGAAGTTGATGTTGACAAAATGGCTGATTTGTACGCTTCCACAGCTGCTTCGGGGTCTTCAGACCGTTAACCGGTAATAAATCTTTCATTCTAGGGAATGTAAAGAAGTCGTTTGGGCTCAGGTCAGGACTGTACGGAGTATGGCTCATCAGCTCAACGTTTTCCTCCTTCAAAAAATCATTTGTCTTCTGAGCCGTATGGGAGCTCGCATTATCGTGATGTAAGATGATGCGACGTTTCGGGTTATTTTTTCGGAGTTCGGCTATCATTTCTGGAAAACAAAACCGTGATATACTACTCAGCGGTAACCGTTCTGTGTTCTTGTAAAGGAATTATAGCAACATGCCCCTTTTTCGATACAAACGTAGCGACCATTTTCTTTGACACGCTGCGGGAGCGAACCACTTTCGTTGGTTTGACCTCGTCTTCGAAGACCCAACCTGCTGACTGATGTTTTCTTTCAGGTTCGTATGAATAAATCCATGATTCGTCACCTGAGACGATATTATAAACGGCATTTGACTTCTCTCCGTTAAAGCATTGCAGAGTATTCCGGCACCAATCTACACGAGCCGCCTTTTGCTCTTCGGACAAATTGTGGGGAACCCAGCGGGATACTAGCTTTCTTACACACAGCTCATTATGTAATATCGACTGAATTGCAGTCATTCCGATACTGATAACAGCCTGAATCTGCTCGTATATCACATGACGGTCATCTAATATAATAGTTCGCACAGCTGAGATGTTTTCAGGCGTGACCGCTGTTCTTGGTCGACCTGCAGAAGAAATAGTGCTGAGCGACACACGACCGCGTCGGAACTCGGCATACCATCGGTATATTGTCGTTTGACTCGGTGCTTCAACATCATAAATCGAAACAAGTTCGCTGAAACATTTATCTTGAGATAAGCCGCGACGAAAATTGTGATAAATTATGACACGGAATTGTTCACGCGTGAGCTCCATTTCTGTTAACGACGTGTCAACTTTAAACCAACATAGTTTTTGTTTTTAAACATATTTTTTTGTTTGAATGCCATTATGATTCTAAGACACCAGTATTCAAATTCTAAAAAAGATTTTATTGTAACTCAATCCGAAATATTCTATTCCCGATTATTTCAGTGTGCCCCTCTGTATAAAACATATTTTTATGTCTCTACTGTTCAACATATGCTGAAGGTAATTTGTAGGATTAGAAACAAATTTAGAAGATCACACTAAACAGAAAATGTAACATACATTTAAAAGTGATACATAAGAAAATACGCACTGACAAAACGAATAACAAACATTTTTAGAAGTCAAAGGGATGACACAAACTGTTGAACTGCAGGTTACAATTCCTCGAGCTCCAACTGGAGTTGATAGAAGAGTGGCGTATTCGTCTGACGCAACTCATGAGTGCGGCGATGGACTCACTCCAGCCGGACTCCTTCCTGACTGCGTCAAGCCCACACCCACTAACGGCCGTCATAAACGCCGCCCACTACACCCGCATGGTGTTGTTACAGTGGGCGCACTCACTGGTAAGTGTCGTGATACTGTATGTGGATAAGTACTATCGGTGTTGCTAGTAACCTTATTTGAAGGCAAATTAACGTTGCTGCTGTTGTTAATATGAATTTCTAAAGTTTACTGCTAAGTGTGGTCCCCTCTATAGGGCAATTTGTGGAGGAGACCTTAGTTCAGCAGTGGACTTTATAGGTAGTATTACTTTATTAATTAAATAACAAGTGTTACTTATTAGTTTCAAATTTACTTCCGTATCATTTTCAAATTGCAAACAATTTTTGGAAGGCAAATACGGGACCTCGAAAAGAAAGCAAGTAAATCAAAAGAGCGCATAGCAAAAAGCGCACAAAATTAGAGTCATTTCTCTTTCGTGTACGCAAATTTTGCAGATTCCAAGAGAGGTCATCTGAAATTGAATTCGATTCTCCAAATCGAAAACGCCTCCGCGTGTGCACTTTTAAAGACGCTTTAAACGCACGAGTCACCTGCCTACACCGTCCGTAACATCTCGTCTGGTTTCTGCGCCATGACCTGTAATAGTTTTGAGTCAAGTTAAACGCGATGAATGATGAATAATGAAATAAATACAAGCTGGTTATATTAGTCCCCGATATATAGTGAATATATCGGTGATCACAATTTTTCTGATTGTTTGAAATAAACGCGGCAAAGTGTTCACACAATGCCCTACTGATGATAAGCATTACTTGTTGTTCTTGATAAAGGTGCGTATTATGTGTGCTATAGGATGTGGAAAAGAAGAGTAAGGTTTTTGGGTATATGTATGTATGTATTTAGTAAACCATCTTAATTTTGTGTATGTTGGGAGACACATCAGTGTACACTGCACCCCAGAATGTAAATTTTTAGTCTGTCAATTGTTTTTACTAATACTGTTTGTTTACATTTATGTTCCTTTTCTACTTGCAGCACTACTTACAATTGCATTTCTATCGGCGTCAGTTCGAATATTTTACTCAACAACAACATAGGGACGATGAAACTGAAACAACAACTAGTTCCGACAGCGATGAAGATGACGACTATGATTCTGAAGAAGATGAGGCCAAGAAACGGTCTAGAATAGGTATTAAAATAGTTTGGAGAATCAAAAAGTGCACGCCTCATGAACGTTTCCTTTAATTTTGATGAAAAAAATAAATTATCAAAATAAATCGATTATAAAAGCTATAAAATCAATATAGGCTGTATGGTACATGTGTTCGTTTTCTATCAAGGGCTAAAGAAGAAAATAAAAGCGCCTATAAATTTTTAATAGCAATAAAAGAACAATGGCAGAAAAATAGTTGACAAAAATTTTCGCGTCTTAAGTTATATATAAAATGAGTTTTATTATTTTTCTATGATTTTTCAAATAAAAATGTATTTTAATTAAAGCCATAGAAAAAAACAAACATTTTTGGGAATATCAAATGACTTAAATCATTTTACTCTATTCAAGTGTTGCCATTCAGTATATTCATACTATTTTCGTATAAACTTTGTAAGACTACCAACACAACACACAAAATATTTTTATATTAAGTTATTATTAGTAATAACTATACTATCAGTAATAATAAAAATAAAAGTGATATGGTGGAGAATAAGTCTTTTACAAAGAACTTCCTACAATAATACATTATCTCAATCATAGTACTATGTAACAATTCCATTTAATGTTATGGCAACACTAGCTAAAACAAAATGTCACTGTTTTTTTACTGGCTTTCCGGCTCTGGGTTCTAGCACTTCTGAGAATGTCACTATGACACAAAGGCCCTGAAGCCATGCCAGAAATATACATTTATAGTATGCAAATATATAATAGAGATACAATAATCTAAAAACTCTCAATTATGTATTATGTATTAAGCTAACATCAAACAACCACAGGAAGCATGCCTTTTTCCAAGTGACATAAGACATAACCTAAAAAGGTTCAAATTTAAATATCTTTTTTTGACGCCTTCTCAGGACAAAATTCTTTGACAGAGTTATTAAGGGACTGACGCTTGACATTTAAGGTATTTTTGATATATAGACGCCACCATTCCTTCTCAACTAATTTTACGTATGAAAGTCTGCCATTGTTCTTTACAAAACTTGAAAATCATTCTATTAACAAACTACGCGTACTAGGCTATTGATATGAAATAGGGAACCAGTTGACGTAATTCTGAAGCTAATAAAAAACCCTGTCTCGATACGTAAATTTTTAAGGGAGTTATCGTGACCACATACAAAATCAATATCGGGACGTCCACGTAAAATTTTTTCAAACCGTTTTTTATCGAAGTAGCAATATAAAATGATTTTTTACAAAATATAAGATGGATTAATTTGTGTTTTCTTGATATACGGCTACTCATATTATCGTATAAGTGCAATATGGTTATGATAGAGGCATTTTAATACCTTAAAATTGATTGACCTTGACGTGTCGAAAGTAAAACACTACCTAATAACGTGGCGTGTAATATAAACCAATAAAAAGTGTAGAATTTTTTTAAAAATTTTAACTGATGATATAATTTGCTCGTTAAATTATGTTTCTTAAGTTGGCCATTTAACTGTTAAGAGCGCAGAAACTTTTGCTATGTATTTATTAGTTAACCATTTGAATCTATAAACTTAAAGATATTACATACCGCCTCGTCAACCATCAAGATGTTTTTACGAATATTCCAAATTTTTTCTAATCTTCTTAAAACTAACTTTGAGGCGTATCAAATCTACAGTCCTGAAAGTTTATCACAGCAACAAAATTTTGTTAAAAATTAATAAAATCCATTTCCACTATGATACATTTATCATTATTCTGAAAGAGTACTTTAATGTATGTATCTATCTCCAAAGTTATCGTGAGAATCGTAACAGAAGCATTTTAAGCTTAGCTTAGCTAAGCCAGGAATGGTTAAAGTGAATATTAGTAATGTTGCTAGTATTTAAAAAAAATTTGTAATTACATCATATTTCATCAAATGAAATCTTTGGCAATATTATTATTTTTTCTCGAAATAAGCGTTGCGAAAATTATCCATGGACTTACTTACGTATGCAAGCATGCATGCCATAGCATAATATTTCAAATAAAAAAAGTTAAAATCGAACATTACAATAACTTTTTGGGAAATTAAACATTTCGTCAAAATCTGAGCTGAATCGATAAATTTAAAGGTCGGGGCCCGGCCTAAGAAAGATAACCGACCATTTCGAGTTGGCTCGCGCATGAAGGATTCCGTACCATCGTAATACACATTTCTAGTATTTGTTGTTAAAGCGGCAACAGAAATACACATTCTGTAAAAATTTCAACTATCTGCCTATAACGGATCATGAGATACAGCCCGCTGACAGACTGACGGATGGACAGCGGAGGCTTAATAATAGGGTCCCGTTGGTTACCCTTTGGAAACGGAGCCCTAAAAACATAGTCATCGTGTTTGATATTGTCGGTAATGCCGACATAAACAATAAAATTACTAAGTGGGTTGTCACAAGGGGAAGTAATACAAAATAAAAAACAGATTTTTTTATTCCACGTAGAGCACGGCAGTTGTCTGTTCTTCGAGCTATATGGCCGGCCCACTGCCACTTCAGCTTACTAATCCGTTGGGCTATGTCGGTTACTCTGGTTCTACTGCGGATGTCCTCATTCCTAACTTTTATCACGCAGAGAAACTCCGAGCATAGCCCTCTCCATAGCTCGCTGAGCGACCTTGAGCTTCCTCATACGGCCAGCAGTGAAGGACCACGTCTCAGTTCCATAAGTCAACACTGGCAACACGCACTGGTTGTACAATTTCGTTTTAAGGTTTTGAGGTATGTCTGACTAGAAGATGTGTCGTAGCTTCCCGAACGCTGCCCAGCCGAGTTGAATCCGTCGATTGACCTCTCGGTCGAAGTTGGACTTACCTAGTCGGACTATTTGTCCCAGGTAAACATACTCGTCAACAACTTCGAGTTTAGTGCTCCCAACAACTACCGGCATAGGTGTGACATGGACATTAAACATAATCTTTGTTTTGTCCATGTTTTTGGTATCTCGCCAAAGCGGTCGAGACAAACTTCTGTCGGTCTACACTGCCTCCGCTGGTAAAACCAGATGGCTCACTGGCGCATGCGCCTAAGGAGAAAGCGGACTTATTTGCTTCTCTTTTTGCTTGCAATTCGCGTCTGGACAGTAGCCACAGCGTACCATCTCAATTACCTCACTGCGGTACCTCTATGTCTGAGGTCCGTGTCACCAACAAGGAGGTTCTTAAAACCTTGCGAAGTCTAGACGTGAACAAAGCTAGTGGACCTGATGGTATACCAGCTATAGTTCTAAAGCTCTGTGCACATGAGTTGTCTCCTGTGTTGCTTGTTCCGCCTCTCATTCAGGACTGGAATAGTGCCTAAATCTTGGAAACTGGCCAATGTGCAGCCTGTGCCTAAAAAAGGTAGCCGTAACGACCCTGCCAACTAACGGCCAATTTCAATTACCTCCATACTCTGCAAGATTATGGAGCGTATATTGAACGCCCACCTTATGGCATACCTAGAGCAAAATGATCTCCTCAGTGATCGCCAGTACGAATTTCGCCGAAATCGTTCAACTGGGGACTTTCTAGCGTATGCCACTCACATATGGGGCGAAGCCCTCGAGAACAGTGGTGAAGCACTTGCTGTTTCCCTCGATCTTTCGAAGGCTTTTGACAGGGTCAGGCACGCTAGTCTATTGGGCAAGCTTTCAGCGTACGGCTTATCCCTTGGCCTAATTATCTGGGTGAAGGACTTTCTGAGTGAACGGTCTCTCCGGGTCGTCGTTGATGGCTGCTCATCCGATACTGTGGCGACTAACGTCGGTGTTCCTCCGGGGTCCGTTCTCTCCGCAACTCTCTTCCTGCTGCATATAAATGATCTGCTCATTCCCGGTGTCTATGGGTAGGCAGACGACAGTACAGTTGTGGAGAGATACCAACCAAGCGCCCGGGCCAGTCGGGCTCAAATCCAGTCAGAAAGAGAGGCTATGGTTGAGCGTGTGAGTCTCACACTACAGGCAGTCTCCGAATATGGCGATGCCAATCTCGTGAGATTTAACGCCTCCAAAACACAAGCGTGTCTTTTTTCCGCTAAAAGGAGCCCGCTCACCTTGGCTCCTACTTTCCGGAATGTATCCTTGGCGTACACTGACCGCCTTCAGTTGTTAGGGATTGAATTTTCTCCGAACCTAAACTATGGGCGGTTCATTGAGTCCAGAGCCAAAGCAGCCGCAAGGAAACTTGGTGTCCTTGCAAGGGTGCGGCGGTACTTCACGCCGAGGCAGCTTCTTACCTTATATAAAGCGCAACTCCGGTCGTGCATGGAGTACTACTGTCACATATGGGCTGGTGCTGCAAAATGCCACCTGGCAGCATTGGACTCAGTGGAGAGACGTGCTAAGAGGCTCATTGGTGACCTTGATTTGGTTGAAACTAATCTTGTCAGCCTCGAGCACAGGCGCAGAGTAGCCAGTCTCTTGGTATTCTATAGAATGCATTTCGGTGAGTGTGCGCAGGAATTACACGCCTTAATTCGTCACACTCCTTTCCACCATCGGACAACCAGACGGTCGGCGGGTCTTCATCCCTTTGTTATCGATATTCCACGCATTAGAACCAAACGGTTTGCTTCGTCTTTTGTAATGCGTACAGCAAAGGAGTGGAATAATTTGCCAGCGTCTATCTTTCCGTCCGAATACAATCTAGGCGTCTTCAAGGCAAGAGTGAATAGGCTTTTGTTACGATAAGACAGTGCGATTTACCATCTAGGGCTGCATCACCACTTACCACCAGGTGGGATTGTGGTCAAGCACTGGCTTATAATAAGTTAAAAGAAAAACGTTTAAACAAATTAAATAACTTAATCAAACAATAAGTATTCAGAAATAATGAAAATAGGTTATTATAAGCAAGTTACAAAAAAATATATAAAAAATAGTTAACTATACATATGCAATATAAGCAGTTTATAACGTATATTTGAGTAATAACAATCTATTTAACACTATATTTTTTATTTGAATACATATTGAAAACAAATTGAATAGATAAAAGGACATACACACCAAATTACGTCATTAAGATTATCGTCGAAGTAAGTTAATATTGCCGATTTCTCAATTTTGCGGTAGAAGACGGCAAAGAAAATTTTAAAGTGTATAACTTTAATTATGGCCATATTTCCACGAATGTTAATTTCTTTTTCAGTTATCGTATTATTTTTTAAGCCTGCTTTTAAGCGGTATTAAATATTTGTTCGTTTTTAACCTTACTCAACTACCCTATTGGGATTCCATTGAAATATATCTACAAATGTGCAACTGTTAGATATTTTCGATTTTTGAACTACTATATTTAAAAATATTGTTATACCGCCATTTTACCGCACAAGTAGTGTGGACTATTTTAATTTATTTGCAACGTGACAAGACAGCCATGCCATACAACCCCCGAACGGTTGTTGGTCGTTGTACTTCGATGACTGACTGGTAGTTACACGGTTTTTTACATTGTACAAGTCGCGGCACGTAGTCTAGCGCTGAACGAAACTTGTAGGGGACGCGCCAATTGAATTGCACGAATGCGACTGGAGAGCCAATCAGCACGTGCGAACGATACGCACGAGCAAATCAGCGCGTGCGAACGATACGCACGAGCCAATCAGCGTCACTTATGCGCAATAAGTCAATCAGCGCGACTTATGCGTAATAACGGTCACCGCTAGACTTTCGTGCCGCTACTTGGCCATAGATAATTTTTAGCTACGCTTATCTCGAAAAAATTTATAATATTGTCGTTGGACTGATTTCATTCGATGAGAAATTATGTAATTACAATTTGATTTTTTTTAAATACTAGCATTTTTTTTATAGGATAGGGTAACAAACGAGCACACAGTCCACCTGATGGTAACATTTATCCTCAATAAAGAAACAAAATGCAGATGCGTCGTCACCTGTGAGGACTAAGATGGAATGCCTCTTTACCAGAAAAATGGGTCTCCAGTTCTCTACACTCACCATACGAAACACAGCAGTGTCAAGCTGCCATTTTACGCTGGTATTCTATGAGAGCGTGGTCTTTACCCGGCCGAGCCAACCCATTCGTGCTACAACTATACTACTAATATAGCTGCAGCATGGCTCTACCACATAATTAATACGTGGTAAAACATTCCCTTTAACCATTCCTAGTAAACAATTTTATATAGCATGCACTTCACCGATTTGATTTTGTATTATGCTTTTTAATATTGTTTAATGTGTGACTGATTACAGAAAGCGAAATAAACGAGGCCATGTCACTGAATGAATTGGAGTTCAAAGCCAAAATGATGGCTTTGAGTGAAATGTCTCGAAGGACTTCGCTCATGCATGAGCAAAGCCAATATGACATCGTAAGTAAAATCTTAAGTTAACACGGTGGCTTTAGTACACATATTCGTAATTATGAACTGGAAACGGTTTGAATAAATCCCAGCCAATATCAATATTTAACTTCTCTTTGGAACTCTTAAATAATTAAATTAATAATGATTTTTTATATTTACGCGAACACTACACATTAAATGAAATGTTTAACGTCCCAAATTCATAGTTAGCCCGAAAGTTTTTGTAATTTAATTTTTTTTTGTTCGGTCTACGTAGATCGGATCAAAAATTAATTCCCGGCTGCTACATTTAAATTGTTTTTCCAAAAAATATCCATTCTTCTCTTTTTATAACAAAAGTAAACAAAACATAATGTTAGTTTATTAACAATTCTTCTCGTGTAGAAGTCTGACATTTTGAACGGATAGTAGATATTGCGTTCATAAAGGCTTTGAATAAGCCAAAACTGTATAAATTATTTGTTAACCTTCGATTAAGTCTTAGATTTAACTTCTTTATTCTTACTTAGGCAATTTTGAGAACTTACTAATACTACTACAGCTTATCACAAGCCCACTGCTGAACATAGGTCTCCCCGATAGATTGCCACAAAGTACGGTCCTGAGCCACCTGCATCCATCGACTGCCTGCGTGTTTCATCAGGTCATCGCTTTATCTAGTGAGGAGTCTCCAAACACTGCGCTTGCCAGTGCGAGGCTACCACCCAAACTAAACACAAAACTTTTCTTCCCCACCGGTTGTCGTTAATTTTTAATTTGTTGGTGTTAATTTTTAATTCCAAATTGAAGGTTGTTAAATAGTTGTACTCTGTTTTTATTCACCTCTTGCAACAATTTGATAACCAGGCGGCTCCCATCGCGAACTTAGCAGTGGCGGAGCCGCTTGCCTGCGAGTTAGGGCAGGAGGAGGAAGCGGGGGTGTTTGCGGAGGCGCCGGCGCTGCTGGCGCACCTACGTGACGCTGGCCTCTCCTCATTAGCCGATCACATACTGCTCGAGTTCAAGGCCACCATACGCGATTATAAGAAACAGAAGTGAGTTGTTTTCATCGTTGGTATCATTATCATCTTATTTATACTCATGATCAACTTGTTACAATTAATAGTTACAATATGTAATATTTGAAGGACGTCTTGTTGGCATACTTTCGGATTAAATTATAAAAATCCCCTTTGAGATGAGCAGCAGCGTCTTCCTAATAATAATATAGAAAATATAAAAATCTGCGGGTTTGCACCAGCCTGCCAAGTTTTTTTACTTTATTATTATAACTAGGTTCGCTCTTGACCTCCATCTGGCCCAAAGACAAAGTTGAGGTCTACGATGGAGCGAGTTTGTTCAGGAGAAGCCTGTTAACACGCACCTTGAAGAGGTTAATGCACTCGGAAAAACAGACGCCGGCAGGGCATTCCACTCCTTGACCGTGCGCATTATGAAAGATGACTTATAGCGTTAAGTGCGAATGTTCCAGTGTGGATGGTAACCTGCAATATTCCGATAGGAGAACGGAGATGGCGGTATGAGCTTATGAAGCTCATGGGCACACTCCGAAGTACAATCTGTAGAAGACCGACACATAAGCAACTTGGCGGCGGTGAGCTAAGCTGAAGCTTAGTTTCCACCAGCTTTTTATCACCGATAAGCCTCTTGGCTCTGCGTTCCACTGAGTCGAGTACGGCAATTTGATAATTTGCTGAGCCATCCCAAAGGTGACTACAATACTCCATGCATGTTCAGACTTGAGTATTGTATAAAGTTAAAAGCTGTCCAGGCGTGAAGTATCGCCTGGACAGCTTTTAACTTGTGGCCTGTGTTTTGGCGGCATTGAAAGAGACCAGATTGTCATCACCCTATTGGGAGACGAGACTTAAGGTCGCATTTATCTGGCTCCACCATAGCCTCTCTAATTGAACGTATTACTGCCCATCCGTCTTTTGCAAAGGACATCTCTCTTCATGAGAATCTCTCTGTGACTGTGCTGTCATCTGCATACCCAACAATACCTGGTAGAAGTAGGTCATTGATGTGTAACAGGAAAAGGTCGCAGAGAGAACAGACCTCTGAGGGACTCTGGCATTAAGAGCAGCTATCTATACTACCCTGATTAAACGTTCACTCAGAAAGTCAGTTATCCAGTTGCAAAATTCGGCGGGGATGCCGTAAGCAAGAAGCTTACGCAGCAGACTTAACTTTAAATGTAATGGATTTCCCCAAAGTAACGCCTGATTCTATTGATAATGAAACTGATCGGCACTGACTGACGGCCATATTGGCGAACTTATTTTATAGAAGAGGAGCAAACGAGCCATGCGGCTGATTTAATGGTGAGTGTCGACCGCTACCTATAAACAAATACAACACCAGGAGAATTGCAGGTGTGATGCCGGCCTTTTAAAAAGGAGTAAGCTCGTTTCTCATAATGCTCTGTTGAGCAGGCCAAGCTTTTTAGAGGTCAATTACTTGAAGGCGGTATTATACTCCTTTTTAAGAGTGCCGGTGTTTGTATCCCGGGAAGTCTGGTAGTGGATATTCTTATACCGCCACTATACGGTAAGTTGCGCATATTATGTAGATCAATAATAATCCGTGTTTACTATACTGTGGATTTGACTAATACGGAGCGGAGTGAGTGACGACGTCATTTGGACTCGTGTTGGGTCCGCTCTCTGACAAGCGGCCGCTATTAATGAAATGAAAAATAAATGGTGGCGTGGGTTGTTGTATCAGATGGCACGCGATGCTGACGGTGGAGGAGCGGGCGCTGAGCGTGTCGGGCGCGCTGTGCGGGCCGCTGGCGGCGCTGTGCGCGCGCCTCGCCGCCGCTGCCGCGCGCTTAGCGCCTGCACTCGCCGCCCGCCTGCGCGCGAGCCTCGCCACGCACCTCGACCTCTTTCTGCTGCAGGTGAGCGCTGAGCGAGTCGCGCGCTGTGCGGGCCTTGCCGCCCTGCAGCCTGCTGCACATGCGCATACACGTACACACACCGCCACACGTGCGCGCACACACGCGCGCACACACGCGCTCGCACACGCACACACAGCAGCGCATATGCACGCACACACGCATTTATGACAGTTGGCGCAAGTATAAAACAATGATTTCACTCAAACTACCAGAGCTATAATGCGCGTACTAAAGTCAAGTTATAATAACGTAATGCGCTAATCATCATTCATCATTACAGCCCTTCACAAGTCCACAGCTGAACATAGACCTCCCCCAAAGAATGCCACAAAGCACGGTCCTGAGCCATCTGCATCCATCGACTTCCTGCATGTCTTACCAAGTCGTCACTCCATCTCGTGGGGGGACGCCCTACACTTCGCCTACCGGTACGAGGCTGCCACTCGAGAACCTTTCTTCCCCATCGGTTGTCGGTTCTTCGAGCTATATGGCTGGCCCACTGCCACTTCAGCTTACTAATCCGTTGGGCTATGTCGGTTACTCTGGTTCTATTGCGGATATCCTCATTCCTAAGTTTATCACGCAGAGAAACTCCGAGCATAGCCCTCTCCATAGCTCGCTGAGCGACCTTGAGCTTCCTCATACGGCCAGCAGTGAAGGACCACGTCTCAGTTCCATAAGTCATCACTGGCAACACGCACTGGTTGTACAATTTCGTTTTCAGGTTTTGAGGTATGTCTGACGAGAAGATGTGTCGTAGCTTCCCGAACGCTGCCCAGCCGAGTTGAATCCGTCGATTTACCTCTCGGTCGAAGTTGGACTTACCTAGTCGGACTATTTGTCCCAGGTAAACATACTCGTCAACAACTTCGAGCTTAGTACTCCCAACAACTACCGGCATAGGTGTGACATGGACATTGAACATGATCTTTGTTTTGTCCATGTTCATCTTAAGACCTATCCGTTGGAAAACACTATCGAGGTCATTGAGCATAGTGCTTAGGTCCTCATGCGATTCTGCCATAAGGACTATATCGTCGGCAAATCGAAGGTGAGTGATGTACTCGCCATTGATGTTGATACCGTATCCTTTCCAGTCCAGAAGCTTGAAAACGTCTTCCAATGCAGCGGTGAAGAGTTTCGGGGATATGACGTCACCCTGTCTTACACCTCTCTGCAATTGGATAGGATTCGTACTCTGGTTCTGTACTCGGATAGCCATCGTAGCCCCACTTCAACACTTCGATATACCGACAGTCAACTTGGCACCGCTGAAGGGACTGCAGCACCGCCCAAATTTCGACGGAATCAAAGGCTTTCTCATAGTCCACATACGCCAGACATAGTGGCAAATTGTACTCTTCGGACTTCTGTACAATTTGCCGAAGGGTATGTATGTGGTCTATGGTGCTAAAGCCCTTTCGGAAACCGGCTTGTTCGGGAGGCTGGAAGTCGTCAAGTCTGCGCGCGAGACGATTCGTAATGACTCTCGAAAACAGCACGTAGACGCGGCTCAGAAGGGAAATCGGTCTGTAGTTCTACAAGAGAGCGTTGTCACCTTTCTTGAAGAACAAGACCACCGCATTTCTGCTCCACGCCTCCGGTGTAATGCCACCATGGAGGACGGAATTAAAGAGCTTCTGAAGGACTTCAAGTACCGGTCTTCCACCCGCTTTCAGAAGCTCCGCTGTAATTCCATCCTCGCCTGGGGCCTTACCGTTTTTAAGGTGCTGGAGAGCCATTCTAATCTCGCTCAGACTGACGTCCGGGATATCTTCGGAATAGTGTCGGATGAGACTCGCTCTTGGATCGTTACTCACACTTGCGTGTGGCTCCAACGATGACGTGTACAGCTGCCCATAGAACCTCTCAATCTCACTCAAAATCTCAGGTGTCCCGGAAACGATGCTGCCACACTCTGTCTTCAGCTTTGACAGGTGGCTCTTTCTGGCAGATAGATCTCTGGCAAAGACTTTGGAGCCTTGGTTCCGCTCGATCGCTTCTTCAATACGAGCTGTATTGAAGTTGCGTAAGTCCCGCCGCATGCATTTGGAGATCTGTCTGTTCAGATGCCTGTATGCTGTCAAGTCTGTTGAAGAATGTAGCTTCATCTCCCGTCTAACAGCCATGAGATTAAGAGTGTGATCGGAAAGTTTTTGTGTTCTTCTGCGGCGGGTCTTGCAGAACTTAGCTCCGACCGCATGGACAGTTTCCACAAGCTTGTCATTCATATCGTCCACTTCATTGCAGTCTTCTAGGCACTGAAAACGGTTTTGTAACTCGAGCTGAAAGGTTTCGGGACTTTGGAACAGAGCACGAGGGGGACGAAGCGTTGACTTCATTAGACGAGACCTCTCCAACTTAACGTTTAGGTTCAGTGTGCCTCTAACCATTCGGTGATCGCTACCAGTTTTCACCCTCGCGATCACGGAGACATCACTGAACAGTTGTCGTCTGGTCGTCATAATGAAGTCAATCTCATTTTTTGTCGAACCGTCGGGGCTCGACCAGGTCCACTTCCTGTGGGGCCGCTTCTGGAAGAAAGAGTTCATCATAAAGAGTCCCTCTTTCTCCATGAAGTCGGCCAGCTGCTGGCCCCTTGGGTTCCGATGCCCTATTCCAAATTTCCCTACTTTCAGCTCACCGTTCTCTCTTGTGCCTAGTTTTGCATTGAAGTCTCCCATTAACACCGTATATTGGGTTTTGGAGGATTGCATGGCCCTAGAGATATCCTCATACATTTCCTCCACCTCCTCATCGGGGTGTGCCGAGGTTGGTGCGTAAACCTATATGACCTTCAGCGAATACCGTTTGGTGATTCTGAGTATAAGGTACGCAACCCTCGTCGACACACTCCCGATCTTTACAACGTTGTTAACGAGAGACTTGTGGACGATAAATCCGACACCTCCTTGGGACAGATGGTCGCCCTCCCGGTGATAGAGCAAGTTGCCGGATTCGAGGATTACCGTGTCCTCCCCCTCTCTTTGGACTTCGGATAATCCTATAATATGCCAGCGCAACTTGTCTATCTCTTCTTCCAGCTCCACGATCTTCTCGTCAGTCCTCAGGGTGCGTGCGTTGTACGTTGCCAGGTCGAGTCGTCTATGGTGGCAACCGAACCTCCACCGGAGATTCTTAGCACCCCCTGCCCCGCCGTTACCATGGTCGCCACCGTAGCCAGGAATAGCGGGGCCGCCGGGGACTGGGGGCCGTCTCTTTGTTACATTCATAGGGGGGTATTTGCCATAGTTGCCACGCTTGGCGAGCGGGTTGGCAACCGCAGTTTTTTTATTGTAATTTTGGCTATTATCAGGAAGATGCTGCTGCCCATCTCCTGCCTGTTTCCCTTTGTCGCCTTTTACGACACCCACGGGAGGATATGGGGTAGTGGATATTCTTGACCGCCACTACACGGCATGCGCTAATAATATAATAAAATAAACGATGTAAAATCTAGACATGCATATAATCAAATAGTGAAAAGTATATTATTTTAAACTGAACCAGTGAAATAATGCACGGTAATGCATTATTTCACTGGTGATGCAATCAGTGGTAGAGCCACGCGGCAGCTTTTGTTGTCGCACGGATGGGCCGGCTCGAACCGTGGTGGTACCACGACCTCACGACCTTACAATACCAGCGTGAAGTAGAGGTTTACCTCTGCGTTTCGCTTGGTGAGTGCAGGTGGCCGGAGGCCCTTTTTACTGGAAATGAGGCATTCCATCTTAGTCCTCACGGGTGACAACGCATCTGCATTTTGATTTGTAATAGAGGATAGATGTAGATGTCTATGGGCCGCAGCAACCACTTACCATCAGGTGGACTGTGTGCTCGTTTGTCACCCTTATCGTATAAAAAGAAATGCTTATCAATGACACGCTAACTACAATGTTCAATGCCTAGCTACATTTATAGTAGTATTATCAGAATAGTATATTTCATTACGAGTGCGGAAAGCCTGTTATTGCAAAGAGTTCCGACAAATGTCTACCCGAGCCGAGGCGCAACCGAAGGTGAGGGTTGACAGTCGGAACAAGTTGCAATGACGGTTCCGCACGTGTACTGAACAACTATTTGACTCTTTGACTTAACTAGTTGCGAAAAAATTAAGCAATTTACAAACAACTAAACTCGCAAAGAACATTTTTGGAGAATAGCGCCAACCGTAAAAGAATATAAGCAGAAATTTTTTTTGTTTTCTTCACCCATTCTGGGTAGGCAAAGGGAATTATGCCCATACACCCAAGTCTTCAGTAGAATTTTTTTATTGATATGAAATGAAAATGTAATTTAATGAGATGAAATGAAACGATACCAATGAATCATAAAAACTTCTATGAATTTTTTTTAGTAAAAACTTCGTAGTTGGTTTTTCTTTTTAATAGACATTATTTCGACAGTTGGGAAAGAGAACGCATGAGTTCGGAAAAGGTAAAGAAAAAGCACGAGTATGTAATAGCCCACATCCCGAACGCTATACGTCTCTGCAATACGCCACCTTTTGACCAACTGTATTAAAAAAGTATTTTTAAAATATTATAATAATTTTAGAAATATATTCATTTACAGGAAATGGTACTAGAAACATGGTTCAATACGGGCGGCACCCTGCAGTTCACTCATGACGTCAAGAGGAACCTGGTGCCAGCTTTCGCGCCGCCGAATAAAGCCGCCTCACAAATATGCCAGTTGCCCAGGTACGCGTATTGTACATATATATTATTCTTTCAATTTATTGGCGCTTCTTCAGGGTCGCATTCTGCACGAAACAAGTGCTTGTGTGGGATACAAATAATATAGTTTTTGTCCTAAGTCTGGATGATTATCCGTGCGCAATTATGTATTTGATGAAACATCTCCAAGATATAAGAAAATGATACTGTGGCGGAACGTTAATGTTCTTATTTTTTCTTTTTTTTCTGTTAAGAAAGTTACCCCTACACTAGGATTTTCTCACATATTGTGGAGGAAGTTTACATATATAAATTTCGTAAGTACAAACATTCAGACCCGGATTAATTATTTGTAGGCCATACAAATACTTGATCTGAGATCCGAACCCACGGCTCTTAGCGCCTTGCTAAGTCACTGTTCATTTTGTGAAAGTTTATGTCAAAACAGTTTTATTAAACACTAGCGATCCGCCCCAGCTTTGCACGGTTGATTTCTTGATCTCGACAACAACGCCACCTACCGGGTCCAATTGTGAATTTAAACCATTCTCTAATCAACTTAATCACACACACACAAACACACACACACACACACACACACAATTTCATCAAAATCACTTCAGTCGTTTAGGAGGAGTTCAGTCACATGTGTGTATGTGGACAGAAGAATTATACCATAATATGCATGTATTATACATATAAACTATAAATTTAGTATAAACTAACGTTTCGAGAACAACACAAACAACACTTGCAAAATCTCAGCTTTTGAAGTGAGTGTTTATAGACGTAATGAATTATGATTAGGTGCGTAGTATCTAAATAAATTTCACCTCAGAAAGAAATCACACATTAAATCATAACATAAGCACCTACGGGTTAAATCATACATCTAACCCGTAGGTGCGATTGCAATGTGTATCTGTCTAAATGGTGTGTTTTGGAGTAGGTACAACAACCTATCCATTTGAGTACAAAACAATTCGTACACAAATGGATAGGAAAAATTATCACATTTTATAATAATAATCATCTGAATGGAAAGCAATTGAATTAAAAATGTTTACAAATACGTGATATCCTGCTCACTTTTGAAGAGATTGGACATAATCGATAGAATATAGTATACGTGGTAGAGCCATGCCGCAGCTATATTATAGTTGTAGCATGAATGGGTCGGCTCGACCGGGGAAGGACCACGCTCTCACAGAATACCAGCGTAAAATAGAAGCTTAACGCTGCTGTGTTTCGTATGGTGAGTGTAGAGAACCGGAGGCCCTTTTCACTGGAAACGAGGCATTCCATCTTAGTCCTCACGGGTGACAACGCATCTGCATTTTGATTCTTAATCGAAGATAGATGTAGATGTCTATGGGCCACAGCAACCACTTACCATCAGGTGGTCTGTGTGCTCGTTTGTCACCCTATCCTATAAAAAAAAAGTATCTTATCGAAATATCCTTAACAGGCAAAGGTACTCAACTTAGTAATATTTTATTATTTTTTATTATTGGTTCCGTAGCTAAATATGTGGTGTTGTTAAACGAGCACACATTCCACCTGAAGGTAAGTGCATTTTCATAAAATATTGATGTTCGACAAAAATGATTGAAAATAATAAATGTGAAGAATTGGAAAGAAAATATTCGACTATACAACGTGCCGTGCCGCTAAAAGTGACTTTAATTTAACACACAGGTAGGGCTAGTGTCCATTAATCATAAATAATTTTGATAAGTTAAAATAACTCGGAAATTGAAATTTTTGTTTCAAACAAATTTAATAATAAAAAAGTAATTAAAATTGGGATTACCCTTGCAAAAACTCATTCATGAAATAACTAACCTAGCTGGCTTACGTTAACTCGGAGCGGCAACGCGTCTCTTCGCGCGCTGGCAACCGCGCAACGATTCTTGTACCTTCTCGTAATCAGTCCGATTCTTTGACGGCTTATTATCAAAGAAACCGAGCAGCGCCGGAGAGTACTTACAGCGGAGGTGCTTATCATATCACCCTCTCTTGTTACTATTAGTTATAACTGTCATTACTAATCACTACTTTTATTTGTGTTTATTTTAAATTTTCTTATTTTCAAGGAGACCACCGTCCCTCAATTTCTCAAACGCATTTATTATTCAACGTTCTACGCGTACACATAGTCTTTGATGCACCCCCAGAAAAAAAAATCGAGTTGTCTGGCGATTTTGCTGGCCACCTACGAGGTCCAAATCTACCAATCCATTGTGCACCAAACGTGTCATTTACCCACTGCCTGGCTGTTGTTACAGAGTGTGCTGGCGCGCCATCTAATTTCTTTAATTTTTTTTTTATTTTTAGAATAATACTAATAATGCTATTAAACATTACTATAATTCCCTTTAACCACTTCTGGTAAGCTTAAAATGCTTGTGTTAGAAGTGGTTCACGACAGTAGTCGAATAGCGGATTCGAACCCACAACCTTTCGAGTTCGCGGTCCGCGGCCTGCCATTAGGCTACTGACGCTTCAATTGGTACCACATTCGTTGGTATCGATGGACGTTTAGGTTGTTTGTGTATTCTGACACCGTATCATTTAGTAGATTAACAAACCTCCCGCCGTTCAAAGCCCCATCAATGAATACGGGTCCGATGATGATGTCACCGTGAATAGCTGCCCAAACGTTTACTGAAAATCTGTACTGATAGGCTGACTCCAGCCAAACGCGCGGATTTTGGTTTTTAGGTGCCCAATGGTGCAGATCGTGATTGTTCCACATGCCGTTTCTGGTGAACGTGCTTTCATTAGTCCAACAAATTTGGGAAAGAAAGTCACTGTCGTCTTCAGTTTTACTCAGTGGTTAACTGACAAGAATTCACTCTTATTAATTTATCACGCGATAGCAGAGTGTTTACTTTTCTAAACTTGCATGGGTGCCACTTTTCGCGCTTTAATATCCTATGGACGATTCTGTGATGGACTTGAAAATGACTAGCGCTCTGGCGGAGGCTAGTATTGGGTTGGTCCTCGAAATATTGTATCACATTTTCAGTTAACTAGATTGAGTTTTGTCGTGTAGGCGGTCGATCAGGGCTTTGAGACCTAGGATCCACTGGCTGGTTTTCGCGGATGCGCTGAAGAGCTCCTACAGTAGTGCGAGGGTGAGTAGGGCATTGTCTTAAATGACCATATCTCTCGCGATATGCCCTTATCGCAAGGGCGGAATTTCGACGACATTCTCCGTAAATTAGAATCATGTCCGCATATTCAGCTGCTGTGTAGTTCGGATGTGTATTTGATATTACGATCACAAGTTTACACTTACACTTACAATAACACAAATAAAAACGAGCGTATCGCAAGAGACGTAAACATACCATAATTAACCATAATCTCATTACTGTTCTAATTACACAAAAATTAATAAATAAATCAATAGGAAAGCCTGTTTTTCGCGGAAAAGTTCACAAAAATATTAGTCGACATAATTATGCACACTGCTGTGAAGAAGTGTGTCAAGGACACGGATTCGGCTAGCACTAAAAAAATCAAAAAAGAATTCCATTTTGGTGCTGAGGCGGGGGGGGGGGGGTTGCTTCAATAGTATTACTTATTCGTTTTAATTTCAATAATGCGATTTTATGATCCATGAGTCCGTGACCCAGGCAAATGACCGCTGCGCGACAGTTCTTTAAGTACAGGTTGCTCTAAGATGCTATTTTCCAAAATTTTAAATAAATCCGTAAATAATAAAGTGTAATGGAAATATAATTTCTTCATGAAACGAAAATGGAAAAACGTATATTATGTGCATTTTTTCTTTAAAGTACTTGCTGCACGTTGTATGCAGCAAGTACTTTAAGAGGACTACAAGAGCCAAGTGACCTTGAATTATGCACGCACACATTTACACAACCCATGTGAGCGCCATCTAACGACAGTGAGGTTTAACACTAACGAAGTTACGCCGGAGTGTTATAATCATGAAGCAAATATAAAGAGGAGACGGCATATTCAACTGTGCACTGTGATTCTAAGTAGGTCCTGACGTCATCATAGTGGGCGTGTCTTTAGTTAGTATACTGTCAGCACTCGTCCTGTGCGCTTATGTGTTGAAAATCGCAAATCGGTGTATTTTACGTAGTATTAAGAGGAAAAGGATGAAGTGTTGTATTTTATCGTGTAAAAACTACTCAGATAGACGCTCTGATGCTATGGATGGCATCACATTTCATTTGTAAGTAATTTTAAACCTAATTTATTAAAATAGTTCTAGAAAAATCTCTTTCCGTCGGCTTTCAAATATAATTAAATATATTCGACACTAGATGGCGACACTTTGTGTCATGTGAACTAAAAATATATAGGAACGTAGAGCTCAGTATTGGTAAAATAATTATACGAAGTTGCTGAAATTTGTTTTGCATTCAGACAAAGAAATTTTAATCGCCAAAATGTTATTTTTATAGTTTATAATCATTTTGTGAACATACCGCCATCTACCGTCTAGCTAGCTAAACTACATTGCAACATCGATATGGAACGATTCGAATAGTTTTACTATTTATCGGTAGATGTAGATGGTGTAAATTGGGCGGGGCTTTGCATCTCCTCACCCCGCAAATTGTCACGCGTTGTTACATAGTGAAACTTAATTAGAACGTCTCCTCTTTATATTTGCTTCATGGTTATAATAGACGAAACGCAGGTAAAGATAAAGATCGAACAAAGAAATAGATGGGACAACGAAATTATTATATAGATTTTTAATTTAATGTTACTTGAAAATTTAAGGATGTGGGTGATTTTGAAATAAAACTGCGAATTAGTTTTATTTATGAAAATTAAATTATTTTTATTTATATAATAATAGTAATAAACTTTATTTATATAAAAGTGATTATACGATGGCTGCACTAAAAGTATCGGGAATGGAATATTCACTGTTTCTGTCAAATCAAAATCTTTTTAATTGAATAGTCCTTGGTTTTAATAATCGAATACCGTTTATTTATTTAAAAAAAGATTCTCGGTTTTGTCACAAGGTTTTGTCAAACTTGTTTAGTCGTTGAGGAAATGGAATTGACTCGAGAAAATTCAAGAGCGATGATTTATTATGACTTTCGAAGTGGTTTAACACAAAAACAGTGTGTTGACCGGATGATTTCTGCATTTGGTGATGAAGCCCCATCTAAAACCACAATTTATCGCTGGTTTGCTGAATTTCAACGTAGACGTGTCAAGCTCAGTGATGATCCCCGTCAAGGTCGTCCAAAACTGCAATCACCCAAGAAAACGTTGATGCTGTGCGTAAGCTAATTGAGGAAGATCGATATGTGACATACCGCGAAATTCAGGCAACTTTAGACATTGACATGAGTCAAATACAAATAATCTTGCATGAACAATTAGGTGTAAAAAAGTTGTTTTCCCGATGGATACCGCATTCGCTCTGTAAAGAGCAAAAAGCGGCTCGCGTTACTTGGTGCGTCAAAACTCCCGAAAGATTCCACGCAGGATCCTCAAATGCTGTATACAACATCGTATCAGATGACGAATCCTGGATATATACGTTCGAACCCGAAACAAAAAACCAGTCACGAGTTTGGTAGTTCAAAAATGAGTTAAAGCCAACAAAAATTGTTCGTTCACGGAGTGTTGCAAAAAAAATGGTGGCCACGTTTGTCTCCAAAACCGGCCATGTTACGACTATTCCTCTTGAGGGACAAAGAACGGTTAATGCAGAATGGTATGCTAGCATTTGTTTGCCACAGGTCGTTTCTGAACTCCGTAAAGAGAACTACAACCGCCGCATCATCCTCCATCACGACAATGCGAGTTCTCACACCGCACACAGAACAAAAGAGTTTTTAGAGCAAGAAAACAGAATTAGTAGACCATCCGCCGTACAGCCCCGACCTAAGCCCTAATGATTTCTATACTTTCCCTAAAATAAAAAATAAATTGCGTGGACAGAGATTTTCATCACCTGAAGAAGCTGTGGACGCCTACAAAACGGCCATTTTGGAGACCCCAACTTCCGAATGGAATGGTTGCTTCAATGATTGGTTCCATCGTATGGAAAAATGTGTCAAATTTCGCGGAGAATACTTCGAAAAGCAATAAATATATTTTTAAATAGTAATGTTGTGTCACTTCCTTGATTACCGAAATTTTCATTGCCGCCCTCATAGTATATGGGTAGGACATTACATCGTTTGTACTAACTATAAAATATTATATTCAATCTAGTGGATGTAGCTCTGTTCTCCTAGCTAGGTTACAGAATAACCGTTAAGGAGTAACAGTCTCAATCCCCGTAATAGTAGGTATATAATAAGTAAGTACATACTTACAGTTGTAAGTGCTACAATGATACAACATCTAATTTTCAAATTATTAAATATAAAATTGAGAAATATATGCGCATGTATGTGTGTCTGTGTGTGAGTGTGTGTGCATGTGTATGCGTGTGTTTTGGCGTGTGCGTGTGTGTGTTTGTGGCTAGGCATGTTACATTACAACGTGCGGCTGATGTTATGAATATTACTTTTATATTATAGGCTTCTTCCAGTACACGCTTCGATGGATAATGTTTACTTATATCAATAACTTCACAATGATGATTTTCCTGTGGTACTGTTTCCAATCTATGCAAAAAATTGAATATTTTAAGTTATGTAGATGTCAATTCTAAATATTATTGTTCTATGGTCCACAAGATACGTAATAAAAATGTGCATTTCGTTTATTTTTTGTATTTGCTTCTGAAAAATTGTTAAGCTACAAGAAAATACCTAACATTCTTACATAATTATAATTCCTACTTATAAACAAAATCGATAAACCTAAACTCTTACAGATGATTCTGTTATTTCGTCATGCCTATTTGTTAATTTATCAATAAGCTGCGGTTTTTTAACAAAAACATTAGGTATATTTAGTTCTTTTTTTATTGTTATTGTAGCTTAGAAAAGTTTTAGGTAGGTACTTACACATTGGAAATACTAACTTTCGTGTTGATATTTTCAACTTTCTTTCTCCTGTAAACAATAATTACATTTCAAACGTTTTTTAGTTATTATTTATAAAAGTAATTAATAAAATTATCTAAACATGTAATACTTAAACTAAAAAATAAAAAATAAAATTTGACGTCATATTCCTGGAATCGAATCTGGGCACTCTCGAGTGCAAACTGCAAAATATAGGTTTATTGTTATAAAAATAAATATGTTTTTTTAGTTATTATTTATAAAAGTATTTAATAAATTTCTCTAAATATGTAATACTTTAAATAAAAAAGAAAACAGAAAATTTTACTTCATATTCTTGGAATCGAACCCAGGTACTCTCGAGTGCAAACTGCAAATCCATAATTCTACAAACTGCGCTACTGTAATACACTAAGTTTCCTAAATTCATAGGTTTATTGTTATAAAAATAAATATATTTTTTTAGTTATTATTTAGAAAAATATTTATTAAATTTATCTACATACATAATGATTTAAATAAAAAATAAAATTTGACTTCATATTCCTGGAATCGAACCCAGGTACTTAGGTATACACTACGTTTCCAAATCATAAGTTTATTGTTATAAAAATAAATATTTAGTAATAATAAAATGTTCTTACCTTTTAATATCGTTCATATGTTGGGCGTTTGAGTTATATGAACTTTTTTAGTCTTCGTAACGGGTTTCATTTTTATTTCCCATATTTACCAATTATAATTATTAACTTAATTTAAATTAATCTAAACTTAAAATATTTTATATTTACACGAAAGAGGAATATTTATGAAAAGAAAAATATTTATGAATATGAAACAATGAATTTAAAAATAAAAATATAAAAAAACATTAAACAATCTTTACGTAAATAATGCGGCAAAGAGAGCGACACGTCTATATAGCATCGGGCCTCGGCCAGCAGTGTCGGTACACAGGCGTTTACGCACACATCCGTACATATTATTTCAGAAATAAGAAAATGCGATTTAAAGAAAATCTATTAATTTTATTAAAAAATTAAAACAGTATTACGTTAATATGTTGCTTGTAGAATATTCTGACAAAAAATCAAAATGGATTGCATGTATATTAGTATGGTTTTTACTCGTTAAAAAATTTTTAGAGGTATCTTTATGATTTTTTTGTATCGTATCAAATTAGTAGTATCATGTATTCATCACACTATCTAATTAGCATATATACTAAAAAATATAATATATTTTTCTCATTTAGTTTACTGCATTGGATGATATACTTTAAGGCAATATAAATCTTGCGTTTAGCTCCTGTAGTCCCCTTAAAGAAAAAAAAATTCATAGATGTGCCGACCGTGTTGTGACGGTGTAAGAATATTCACTACCCCATAGTAAACAAATAAAAAAATAAAAAGTAAGGTAAAATTTTCATTACGAAGGTAGAATAAATATAATTAAATGAAATAATAAAATTAAAATTAATATTCATAGAATATATGAGTTTAATATTAGTATTAATATTCATAGAAGTTTATTTTGCAATAATCAGCCAAATTTGCAGAGAAGGTTCAGAATAAGTAAAATAGGCAAATGGTCAAGAAAAATTAATAAAAAAAATCTCAAATATTCTGTCATGTTTATCTTTTAAGTTAAAAATGACTGGTAATACATTAAACTGATTGTCATTCATAAATACCTGACGCGTATCTGTCGCGCGTCTTCCCACGTCGCTTCTATTTACCGTTATATCGTTAAGTACGTATGTCCGCTCGCTCGGCTGACAGCTGACAGTGTTGACCGTGACCTTATTTTCGTGCGCTTCGTTACCAATTACGTAATGAATATATTCGAACCGCGGATACTATGAAACTATGAAATGGTGCGATATTACATTTTAAGCAATTAAAGTTTACGTAGTACATACAAAGATGCTAAAGTGAGTCCGCGGCAAGAAATGAACGTACTTGTCGTAATTAACCTACCAATCGAAGAAAATTTTTATAAAATTGGTTATCCCCATAAAAATACACTACATATTTAAATGTAATGTTCAATAAATGTTTTTAACTTATATGTATGTACATAATGTTAATAAATGATATTGAGTATTATAATGTCCAAAAATATTTTATTCTCTCGTGACAACACCTGTATATTTGCGACGACGGCGTAAATAGTAAACCAACGCGGGCGGCGGCATCGCCAGATATCAATGACGTTTCACAAGTGTTAGGTCTTTAAACTGTGATAACAGTAATTCACCATTATAGATATTATATTTTTCTAAAACGGCACTTAAAATTAGTTAAATAAATAATATAAAACACGCTGGCGTCGACCACATGCATTGTACAGCAGACTTAGTGGATTGCGCTGGCACACAGTCGTTTCACAACTGTTAGACTCTCTTTAAACTGTGTTTACATGTTATTTGTAATAATAAAAAAATATTAGCACATTTAAAAGTTTTTAAAAATTTCTTACTATACGCTTAGTAAGCTGAATGGGCAATAGGTAGGCCATATATAGCTCGAAGAACCGACAACCGATGGGGAAAAAAAGGTTCTTGAGTGGCAGCCTTGTACCGCTAGATGGTGTGACGACTAGGTAAGACATTCATGAAGTTGATAGATGCTGGTGGCTCAGGACCATGCTTTGCGGCATTCCTTTGGGGAGGCCTATGTTCAACAGACGAGTTGTGAAGGGCTGTAATAATAATGATGATGATGATATTTCATTACAGCTTATAAAAGTTCACTGCTGAACATAAGGTTTTGCTGTAGTTGCCACGCTTGGCAGGCGAGTTGGCAGTCGCAGTGTTTTATCACTTTGAGTTGTTATCAGGAAGATGCTGCTGCCCATCTCGTCTTTCAGTTTTCCTCTGTCACCTCTTACGAAACACCACGACATGGGGTATTGGGTATTCTTATATCGTTACTACACGGTACTATAACAAGTATTAACAATTCTTTGATCGTTTTAGACTTCTTGAGGCGTGTAAACTTCTGAACATGGACTATGACGACGCTCGGCGCCTCCGCTCGATTCTCGCAAAGCAGCCAGCTGTGGGAACTGAGAGCCTCACTAACCACGGCATAACGCACATTCAGTTCAACGAAGCCCTCCAGATCCTTAGCCAAAGGACAGATCTTAGCGATGCCTCGACACCGTCGTCTGTTATGGAATTATTCTGAAGTTATGAAGGAGGAGGCGTTTAAAGGCATTACTAAATGGAGAGAAAACAGAGCACTTTTTAGTTGTCTTTTGGGAATAGTTTGTTTTCGATTTGTTTTTGTTTTATTTAAAAGATTTATTTATGTTTTCTTGTTATAATTTCTGCCTTAGAATTGTCAATTATATGTTTTTGTAGAGAACGTAACACATAAACATTAACAGAAATTTTGAAACGATTTTGAAACGTAATGACGAATTTTTGCTATTAATTTCTTACTGCGTTTTGAAATGAGAGCTTACCAAAAATGTTGACAAAAATAAGGCCATGCAATATTATCGTGCCTGCCAGTTCATTTTATGTATTTAAGGGAAGGTGGTAATTTCCTAGTAATGAATTCACTGACATTATTAAAATAATCATTATTTTTTTTACAAATTATTACAGTTATTTCACGCAATATTTTTTCATAGTAGTCCGTGTAACAATGAAAGAATTTATTTTTATAACATGTTTTTCTATTTAATTTTTTTTAATTTTAATATTAAGAAAACATATTGATGTATTATTGTGTCTGCTTTAAGCATATTTTTTAATGTGTGCAACCAGCAAGCAGCAGGTCTTGCAAGACCAGTAGTTGCGCATTAGCGTTTCGCGTACATAAATAATATGCCGAGGTGTTTCGACCAATAAGAAATATAATCAGCGCATCCTTAAATTGATACAAGGCAAAACATACTCTGTGGAATTTATCTGACTATATACTATGAAAAACAATATATCTTAATAAAACAGATATCAATTCTTTTAATTATATTTACAATAAATTTGCTACAGATTAGTAGGACGCTACTGTTATATTTGTTTTTGAATAAATAATTTATTATTAGTTAAAGTGGTGCTCTGTTCGTTTAAGGAAAGAGTTGTGAGCCTCCTCCTTTGAACAACATAATTATACAAAGCTGTATACAAGGCATGTCGTCAATCGTATGCAACTGGGCATAGTTTTGTGTTGACATACTGTATGTTTGATATTGTTCGTGTAATTTATTGTAGTTTAAGCATACCTTCTACGATTACTTCCGATCTTTATCCGGTTCCTTTATTTAAGAACGTTTCGTTCATTTCCTATAATTGTTTTGTTGCTTACGGAGTGCTATAAAGAACAATGGCAGAAAAATAGTTGACAAAAATTATTGCATCTGGAAATAAGTTATATATAAAATGAGTTTTATTATTTTTCTATGATTTTTCAAATAAAAACGTAGTTTAATTAAAGCCACAGAAAAAAACAAACATTTTTGGGAATATCAAATGACTTAAATCATTTTACTCTATTCAAGTGTTGTCATTTACTATATTCATACTATTTTCGTATACTACACTTTGTAAAACTACCTACCAACACAACACACAAACACAAAATATTTTTATATTAAGTTATTATTAGTAATAACTATACTATCAGTAATAATAAAAATAAAAGTGATATGGTTGAAAATAAGTCTCTTAAAATAACTTCCTACAAAATACATTATCTCAATCATAGTACTATGTAACAATTCCATTTAATCCAACACCAGCTAAAACAAAATGCCCTTCTGAGATGGTCACTGTATGACACAAAGGCCCTGGAGCCATGCCAGAAATATACATTTATATTATGCAACTATATAATAGAGATACAATAATCTAAAAACACTCAATTATGTGGGTAGGTACATCACGTGGAGAATGTATTCAGCTAACATCAACCAACCACAGGACGCATGACTTTTTCCAAGTGACATAAGACATAACCTAAAAAGGTTCAAATTTAAATATCTTTTTTTTAACGCCTTCTCATGACAAAATTGTTTGACAGAGTTATTAAGGGACTGACGCTTAACATTTTAAGATATTTTTGATATATAGATGCTACCATTCCTTCTCAACTAATTTTATGTATGAAAGTCTACCATTGTTCTTTGATATGAAGGTTTAATGTGAATGATAAAAACAAATCGTCAATCCGAAATAACCGTGTCTGAACCGTACCTAATGTCGATGGTAATGATTTCTATACTTATCTATACAATTTATATTTATATAGATAAGTATTTGTATTAGCAGTTTCGTAAATAAACGGTATTTAAATGCCCTTCGTGCATGATCTAACGTACTGCGATGGGAAATGAAAAGTTTGTTGAATGTAAGATCAGGGTATTTATAGTTAATCCGCGCACGTCATTCACTGGCCATTGACAAACTTAGACAGTCTTATGTACCAAGAGACGATGTAGTGACACGCTTATGAAAAACAACGTGAGTGATGTGCGCTCGAAGACTTATAAGGCTTATTGCACATGGCCGATGTTGTTTTATAAATTATTAAGGTAATTGCAAAATTAGCCTAGAATAGTTTAATTGAATTCAGTTGGTTACCACGATATTTATTTATGCTTTATTGATATTATCTTAATTAAAAGTCTTTTAGCATTCACTCCCAGTCACTCTCCCCGAAAAAGTAATTATAGCTTTTTATAACATATGCTATTAGCCAGCCACCTTACACCATAAACTAAGAATTTCATATCCCACTAGATCGTAAGTGGTGATGCATCCGAAGATGGCAAAACGCACTGGCTTAGCTTAACAAAAGTCTATTAGCCCTGGCCTTGAAGACACCTACATTATAATCGGATGGAGAGATAGATTCCGGTAAATTATTTCATTCTTTTGCCGTAAGCATTATGAACAACAAAGCAAACTCTTTGATTCGAATGCGTGGTATGCCGACAACGGAGGGGCGAAGACCAACCGAGCTTCTGGTGGAACGGCGATGGAGGAATTAATCCTGTGTAAACTATCCGAAATGTATCCTGTAAAACAGCGAAAGGCTAACTACTTTGTCCCTGTGTTCGAAACTGGAAAGATTGGTACTAACCATATTGGTGGTACCAATAAGCCTTTTAACGTCACCAATAAAGCCTCTTAGCACGCCTCTATAGAGTCGCCGCTAAGTGGACATTTTGCAGCAACAGCCCATATATGGCAGCAATACTCCAAGTATTTACTTGGTAGAGCCATGCAGCAGCTATATTATTGTTGTAGCACGAATGGGTTGGCTCGGCCGGGGAAGGACCACGCTCTCACAGAATACCAGCGTAAAATAGCAGCTCAATGCTGCTGTGTTTTCTATGGTGAGTGTAGAAAACCGGAGACCATTTTTTACTGGAAACGAGGAATTCCATCTTAGTTCTCAGGGGTGGCAATGCATCTGCTTTTCATTCTTCGAAAATCGAGGGTAGCTGTAGGTGTCGATGAGCCACAGCGTCAACTTACCATCAGACGGACTGTGTGCTCGTTTGTCACCCTTATTCTATTAAAAAAAAATGCATGACTGTACTTGCGGTTTATATAGTGTAAGCAACTATCCCAGCGTGTAGTATCGCCACTTAATTCTACAGCAAATATTTGCTTTGTGACTCTTTCCTCATCATTTCTTTTTACGGGTCCACGTTTATCGCGTTCTACACATTATATAAATTGCACAAGAACAAACAGCCAGACCGGAGCAGTTATTTATAGGTAGTTATGTATATGCAAATGCTTTTTCCATTTGGAAACCGAACCGGTGCGGCGGCCTGCAGCGTCGCTGTCAAACACACCGTCCCATCAATTTTTTGAGCAAACTTTATTAGTGATAGCTTCACGCTGGTATCGTAGCTTCCGATTACATGTTAGTGAAATTTGGTTCAGATTATTTGGATCATTATTAGTCCGCGTATAGGCCGCGACAGCCTCGTAAACAAGGCATATGGCGTACAATAACATTGGCATTTTCGGGAAAAACAGTAACATTTTCCCTTTTACAGTGAATTTACCGCTGCTTGACGATAAATATAAGTAGGGTTGAAACTGCCTAGATAAACTCCCAGGCATAACATTTTTTCTTTATAGAATAAGGGTGACAAATGAGCACACAGTACACCCGATGGCAAGTGGATACTGTAGCCCATACACACCTGCTATCCTCGATTAAGAATGAAAGTGAAACGTTGTCAGCCCTGAGGACCAATATAGAATGCTTCGTTACTAGTAAAAAGTGTTTCCGGTTCTGTACGCACACCATACGGCATACGGCAGCATTAATCTGCTAGCTTACGCTTATACGGTATAGAGAGCCAGTATAACAATAGGCTGTGTGGCATTCCATCTCAGTTGTCAGAGGTGACAACGCACCTGTGGCTATCTTTGTTTGACGGATCCGTGGCGCAGTGGCTTAGCAATGAGTTGCTGCGCTGGGGGACGCGGGTTCGAATCCCGCACGGAACAAGTATTTGTATGGCCTACAAATAATTGTTCCTGGTTTGGATGTTTGTCTTTGTGCAATTTGTGTTTGTAAACTGCCTCCATGATACAGGAGAAAATCCTAGTGCGGTGGTAACGTTTTTTTTTTAATAAAAAATAGTTGGCTGCAGGTTTCCACGGACGGCAGTAGTCGTTTACCATCAGAGGTATTATTAGTCCACCTGACTGTAAATTCCTTTGGCACTTCAATTGTAAAAAAAATAATAGATTTTTGCGTTTTCCCTTGTCGCCAGGGGCATTGTAGATACATTTTACATAGATATAAGATTATAACATACTTTTTTAAATATATATATATATATTTTTTTTTTAAATGACTTCATAAAAACATCAGCCATATGTACAAAGCCTTAATATGAACATCAAAGTAATCTTTAGTACTTAAAGTAAAATTCTGTTTAATGTAATTTGATTCTTTGTGAATAATCTATGTAAAAATTGTAGATTGTCTTTTGTTATTTATTTTCTCATTTTCATCCATTCAATAGTCCACTACTGAAAATATTGGTTATTTATAAATAATCAAACCGTCCTCTTATATGGAACATATCTCCTATGGAAAATATGGGTAACCCATTGGGGAGATATTTTCCATAGTGGCTACGCTTGACATGCGAGCTAGCAACCGCAGTCTTTTTTTATTTTCACTCCTATTTCATATTCCTCTATCGCCTCTCATGGCACCCACTCACTTCCATAACATTTTAAAATTATAAATGATACAGTATTTATATTTACGTCATTTTATTTAACAAAATAGAATTGATGCAATGTTTAATAATATACAAAACTATAACCTATTATCTCAGATATAATATTATTATAATGATAATACTACTACAGCGCAAAATGCTTTAATATTTAACTATTAATAACGTTTTTAGAGATAAAACTTTCGAATGGCACAAACACGCTCTGAAACAAAACTAATTAACTAAATAGTTATAATTTGTTCACAGCCTTTTACTTTTGTTTTCTTAATGTGAACAAAGTAAAGTGTGGAAATGCGTACGTACATTAAACAATAATATTTACAAACCAAAACATGCGTTATAAATTCATAGAATGTAAATACATCATTATCATTAAAGTATAATAATCAACAAACTTACAAAATATATTATAATGTTGTCCAACTCAAACTTATTTAGAACTTCTTGTCAAACAAATAAATCTTAATCAGTATAATGATGTTTTTAATTGTTAAATGTATCAACTATATCTCAGTGACGTCACGCCGCAGTTCATCGTAATTACTATAAGCTAAAGCTATCACATAGTGGCACTGGCAGCTTGATCTTATATTCAATGAATTTTAAGACCTCAATACTTTAAGTTTTTTGTACTTCATAAGCAGGATTGCCAGCAATCAATAAAAAATCCTGACTTGGAATAGTTATTGTACTTGAAGTAGTATTAGGGTTTCATACGTTATTTTGAAAACAATGTATATAACACATTGTTTTAAAATAGACGTATGAAAATCAATACTCGAAACCTTTGTTCTTTTAAATTAGGTAGAACATACAGTGATGCTCCTTATTGTCCTCTCTAGGACATTTACCAATTGTACTCCAAAAAGAAGGACAGATCCTAACTAAAGCCTAATCTCATTATTCACCGAGTGGGTTGTTGAGATTTCAATCTCCTGTTGTTTCTTGTTTTCCTGGGAAGTTCTGTTCCACCATTGTTCCTCTCCAGACGCCCACGCCACGAACACCAAGTTTGTAACAATGAAAACGGCTAGAGTTATCCAAAATACTAATCGCCATTGCACAAGGGTACTCTGTAAGGAAAATAAAAGTATATTAAAAATACTATTTCTAACAATATGGCAGCTGATATGCCTTTCTGCCGCGCTCAGTGTCACCATAAACAATTATCCCATATATTGTACTAGGTTGATAAATAAGTTTTAGGAATAGCAGACTTATCAATGAGTTATAGAAATGAGTTCAATTTTTTCGAATCTTAAATTCGTTAGTAGCCAGGGCCAGAAAAAACTAAACTAAACACTATACCCTATAATATTTTTTTTCAAACTTCACGTTTGGGAGAAATTTGATTCGTATGCAAAATGGTGAAACTAACTTCGTGCGGTTATTAAATATACCTGCCTGAATTTTTTTCTACAAAAGGTGTTTTTGAAGAATTGCAGTCTACTTTGGTAGAAAATGCTCCGTCTTATCCGTTCTACAATGGCATATTGGTACGCTGAATTTAAACGCGGCAGAACCGTTTGCAATGACAGCACTTACTCCGGTCGGCCAACTACGGCTGCTATGCAAGAAACCGTTTAAAAAAATAGAACAAATTGTTATGGTAGATCGAAGTGTGACCATCCGTTATTTAGCTGAGATTCTAAATTTTTCGTTTGGGACAATTCAGTTTCTTTTAACTCAAAATTCAAAAAGGGCCACCTTTGGGCGCGCTGGGTTCCTCGAATGTTAACAGACGCCCAAAAGAAAGCAAGAATTGACATTTCAAAGCTAAATTTAACAATGATTGAAGAAGATCCAGATTCTTTTAGCGTTCGTTCGTAATCGTGCATGGAACGTGGGTACACCATTTTGACCCGGAGACGAAAAACTAAAGCAAGGTGTGGAAAAGACCGTCTTCCCCGCCAGCCAAGGGATTCAAGGTGTCTGCGTCCGATAAAAAAATATGGCCTCTGTCTTCTGCCCTATCCTAGAGCTTCATTGCGTTACCATAAACTTATTAATCAACCTAGTGGGTACACACAGTGGGTATACATATATATATATCATCATCATCATTACAGCCCTTCAGAAGTCCACTGCTGAACATAGGCCTCGCCCAAAAAATGCCACAAAGCACGGTCCTGAGCCACCTGCATCCATCGACTTCCTGCATGTCTTACCAGGTCGTCTATATATATATACCACATTGACCACAATCCCACCTGGTGGTAAGTGGTGAACAATAGTCTATTCACTCTTGAAGACGCCCAGATTGTATTCGGATGGAAAGATAGACAAATTATTCCACTCATTAGCTGTACGCATTACAAAAGACGAACCAAACCATTTGGTTCTAATGCGTGGAATATCAACAACGAAGAGGTGAAGACCCGCCGACCGTCTGGTTGTCCGATGGTGGAAAGGAGGGGGAGGAATTTAAGCGTGTAATTCCTCACCGAAATGCATCCTATAGAATACCGAGAGGCTAGCTACTCTGCGCCTTTGCTCGAGGTTGACAAGATTGATTTCAACAAAATCAAGGTCACCAATGAGTCTCTTAGCATGTCTCTCCACTGAGTCCAACGCGTGCGACTTATCAAATCTATTGTAGTTGTATATGCTTATAGTATGTAATGAGTATATGTACGAATGATTGTGTTGTTTCTTTTTTGCCACCGAGTGTATGGTATCGTCATGAGGCGGTGTAAAGAATCCATCACGTCATTTCGTCTCGTAGGTGTCGTGAGATGGTACTCTAAAAAGAATATCAGAAAAACCTCATGTACTTACTTTGATTGGTGTAGGTGGCATTACCTTGTATAAGCCAGATGTAAAATAACCAGACATACGATGGGAACAGCGTCGATAGTGCGATACAACTGGTACTGCGGTCGTCAAGCCGCATGGCAAAAGTGGCGATTAAGGCGAATGTTCCTAATGAAAGAGACTCATGTCCAACCAAAGATCTATATATGTATGGTGGACCATCCTTGTTAAGCTATTTATATTTCCTACTAATATTGTAAACGTAAACGTTTGTGAGGATGTAGGGATGAATGGATGTTTGCTACTTTTCCACGCAAAAACTACTGAATGTATTTTAATGAAACTGCAATAATATAGCTCATACATCAAAACAACACATAGGCTGTAATTTAATAAATATATTGTGTAAATTGGTTCGTGCGGATGCGGTGCACAAACTGTAAGTTACACAAATATAATGTATGGTGGGATTGTTTCTCTTTATGTGTAAGCCGTTATTACCATAATAGTGAACCATAAATAAAATATTTTTTTTTTACTTTATTTCCAATGCACATTTTGCAATAAAAAAATGGATTTTATCAAAATAAATACTTTAATCGCTTCTGATTTTCAAATTAGATTGTCTTTTAAACTACGTAATTTGGTCAAATATTTTAAAAGTAACGACGATACAAAATTGTGCAATCCGGCGCGCGCAGGGCAGTCGAGCGTACCGTACTGCGGGCGAGCTGGGGGAAACCATGAGTAAACATCGCATATCGCCGCGTGAGCAAATGTACTTCTTCACGCTTAAACCTCTGAAGAGATTTAGATGAAATTTGGTATCGAGATAGTTGTAGTTCCGGTGAAGGAAATAGGATAACTTTAATCATGGAAATCATCCCTAAAGAGGGTGATGGAATTTACTATGAAAGTGCGATGCGAGTGCGAAGTTTAAATTATAATATCTACGCGGACAAACTCGCGGGAAAAAGCTGGCATATAATAAGAATATGATAGAACTGGCATGTAAACAGAGTTAAGGTGAATTATTTGTACTATAATAGAGGTAACTAAACCTAACTAAACCAGGGATTTAATTTGATAATCGTACCAAAATGTCTTAACTCTTCACAGACTGGTAATGGAAGCATTACCAGTGCTTAGTACCATCTCTTCTCACCAATCCACTTGCCTAGAGTGCGAAGAATGGGCTCTAGTGGTCTAATAAAACTTGGTGCTGCACAAATATTGATGATCGACTGGTAGTAGAACTTAAGCAAGTGCCGGGTGCCTTAGTAACTAAAATCAAAATTGATTAAATATCAGATAGTAACTTACATCGGGTGTCAGTAGTCCAACCAAATAGGGTGCGATGATGCCTGTTATAGCCCCTACGCCATTCACGATTGCCATAATGGTGCCCGCGTAATTACTGCTCAGATCGAGCGCGTTGACTTTCATTCCCGGATAGAAGGCGCCCATAAGACCCATGGACGCCGTGAATAAAATCACGACAGTTTCTGTGTCGCAACCGGAGTATGAAGCGAGTATCATGCAGATGCCTGGACCGACAGATGCTACGGAACAAAACATTTATTTATTTTACTAGAATAGAATACCCAAACCCTATACGTAACTCTGAAATTATCAATTAAATTATTGCCATTGTAGTGATGTACGTGAATCTGTTGTCTTACTTCATTCTATCCGTGTCGTAAGAGGCAACTATAGAAAATGCCAGAAAAATTTCGTGCCTTCATTAGATTACACAATCACCATCTGATGTAAACCAGATGCGCCACCAACCATGAAGCAAATACAAAGAGGAGGTGTTGTAATTAGATTTCACTATGTAACAACGCGTGACAATTTGCGGGGTGGGGGGATGTTAAGTCCCGCCCACTTTACACTATCTACATCTACCGATAAATAGTAAAACTACTCGAATCGTTCCAAATTGATGTTGCAAAGTAGTTTAGCTACCTTGACAATAGATGGCGGCCTGTTCACAAAATTATTATAAACTATAAAAATAATATTTTGGTCATTAAAATTTCTTATGTCTGAATGCAAAGCAAATTACAGCTCCTTTGTATGATTATTTTACCAATACTGAGCTCTACGTATCTTTATATTTTTAGTTCAAAGAGATTTGTCTAGAACTATTTTAATAAATTAGGTGTAAAATTACTTACAAATGAAATTTGATGCCATCCATAGCATCAGAGCGTCTATCTGAATAGTTTTTACACGATAAATATCAACACTTCATCATTTTGTTCTTAATACTACGAAAATACACTGATTTGCGATTTTCAACACATAAGCGCACAGGACAAATGCTGACAGTATACCAACTAAAGCCACACCCACTATGATGACGTCAGGACCTACTTAAAATCACAGTGCACAGTTGCTTATGCCGTTTCCTCTTTGTATTTGCTTCATGCCACCAACCAACAAACCGGTAACAGTCTCCTATCTTTGACGCTCTTACCCACAGAACACAACTATCTCATCTATGTTGTTACTGTAGAATGTAACTATTTATTATTATTTCACGAAGATTGAAGGGAATATATCGAGGATCTCTCAACAGAACTGATAAATATTCATACATATTAAGCAAAATGCATTGAGTTAATAAATAGGTACTACGTATACTTATTAACTTAATGGCATAATGTTACATTACTAGGGCAGGAGAGTTTAAATAAGTTATTTTTGTCTATAATACCAATTGAAATAAATACTAATTAATGATTCTGTGTGATAGACTTAAAAACGAGGATATCGGCAGTAGAATCAGAGTAACAGACATAGCCCAACGGATTAGGAAGCTGAAGTGGCTATGGGCCGGCCATATAGTTCGAGGCCGCGGAGGAAGGCATGCCTTGTGGCCTGGTGCGCCTTATCTGAGAAAGAAAAGGGGCTGGATAAGTCCTCCCTGAGGAGGAGCTGCCATGGGGCAGCCGACGCTGGTGGGATGGCGGATGTGTGTGACAGCGTGTTGCCGTGGTCCTGCCAATATATCTGCGGCGAAGGTGGAACACCATGAAGTTTTAGTTAGTGCGAGTCCGACATAACGCGTCCTTAGCGTAGCCATTTCCCCATGTAAAAAAGGATCGTCGTCCCACTAGATGGAATGACGACCTGGTAAGACATGTAGGAAGTGGATAGATGCAAGTGGCGCTGATGGTTCAGCAGTGGACTTGAAGAGGGTTGTAATGATGATGATGATGAAATGTCATTTGGCCACTGTTATTTTTACCAAAATAGCAATATATGTAGGTAAAACAGTGGTAGAGCCACGCGGCAACTTTTGCTGTCGCACGGATGGGCCGGCTCGAACCGGGGTGGTACCACGACCTCACAGAATACCAGCGTGAAGTAGAGGTTTACCTTTGTGTTTCGCTTGGTGAGTGCAGGTGGCCGGAGGCCCTTTTTACTGGAAATGAGGCATTCCATCTTAGTCCTCACGGGTGGCAACGCATATGCATTTTGATTCGCAAACGAGGATAAATGTAGATGTCTATGGGCCGCAGCAACCACTTACCATCAGGTGGACTGTGTGCTCGTTTGTCACCCTTATCTTATAAAAAAAAAAAAGGTAATATGAGCAACATTTTTACTCATATGAAATCCAGACGACTCGTGTGCATTGCAGCACCCGTGTCGTGGCTACACTATAATTTAGCACTGACTTCAAAATTAGAAATGATTAGTTCTTTGAAGTTGGTACTTTATATTAAAAACTAGCGATCGGCCCCGGCTTCGCACGGGTAATTTCTGGATCCTGATAACAGTGTCACTTAACGGGTCCAAATGAAAATTTAAACCATCCAGAGGCCCACTCAAACACAAAAAAATTCATCAGAATCGGTCGGGCCAGTAACGATTTTTAGCGAGACTAACGGACAGCAATTGGTTTTTATATGATGGTTCCTAAGTCATACCTATCAGTATTTTTTTTAAACTGGGTCTACTACTTATCAACTCAAGTAAGGAATCGCACCTCAGACGCTGGACGCAGGCCTATTATACATACAGGATTTACATACGTGGTAGAGCCATGCTGCAGCTATATTAATAGTATAGTTGCAGCACGAATGGGTCGGCTCGACCGGGAAAGGACCACGCTCTCACAGAATACCAGCGTAAATAGCAGCTTAACGCTGCTGTGTTTCGTATGGATAACCGGAGACCCATTTTACTGGAAACGAGGCATTCCATCTTAGTCCTCACGGGTGACAACGCATCTGCATCTTGATTCGTAATCGCGAATAGATGTATATGAGGTCACAGCAACCACTTACCATCAGGTGGACTGTGTGTTCGTTTGTCCACCTTACCCTGTAAAAAAAAATAGACAGGCAACAATGTTTTTGAAATTAAACGGCAATTAAGTCGGTTTTTCTGTGACAGTCGGGAGGAGAGAGGGTTCCCACAATATTTGTTTAAATTATCTTACCTATGGTGGTGAATGTCTTCCTGGCGTTAGTAACAGTAAGCCAGTTCCTCTTCACCATCTTGTCGCACATCCACCCGAATGTGATGGAGCTGAGCCACATCACGGCGTAAGGCATTGCGGCCAACGTGCCGGTACGGTGTATGTCAAACCTTAGCACGCCAGTCATGTATTTAGGCAAGTCGGTCACCATCGTGAAGTAGCCATAGTCATGGCCAATCTGTAAAGTATTTAGTATCTTTTCTTAATGAACGTTTATTTGAACATTCTATTATAAACTGTGCGGAACGTGTATTTCGCAAGTGTGATAAATCCATTATAGTCAAGGTTTTGTCAATGAATAACATAACGTGGTTGTAGCATGATTGGAATATGATTTTGAGTTAATACTTAATGAGGTATGTAATTGCCCTAAACTTATTTACTTTTATATCATGACAAATAATCTGTCATTGTCAGTTAATGTGCATATTTATCTATGATATAAACGTGTCGGAAGTCATCAGATAGGGAAAGATATATGGCAAGAACTTTTGGGATTTACAGACGATAATTCACATTCATAGAGTGCAGTAACCGTTACCAAATACTTATAAGGTGAGCCTACGTTAGCGTGTAAGTAACACATATAGAGTTATAGGACGTACTTTAGAGGGAACAAAATAAATATTGACGATTGACCAATAATTGTTTGTTTTATTTAATAATCCCTGGTACTTTTTGACAGAGTAGTACATGGAGCGATGGAGCTCCTCTGGGTATTTGCAGTTCGTAAGTTTCCTTGTAGTGTCACAAATCCCTCCTAGATACTACACTAGTACTATTCTGTCGTCAGTATGAGTATTTTACACCTAGCAAAATATATGTTGTAACTGATTGTTATACCGCCGAGTAGCGGAGCCACGCCACGCCTACGGGGCAAATTGAGTGGATGGATTTCTTCTTCAATTGTCTTTTTAAGTCCCCTGTTGTTCATACTTAGGCTTTACTAGGAATATTTCTCCATGATCACTATATCGAGTTTGTGAGTTTCTTTGGTTGGTTTGGTGAATTCAGACCCAGTAATCTCACTTATTAAATTTTTGCCTCATCAACAGTATGTGAAATAAGGTTCAGCGTTTTTGGATGGGTTTTTTGTAATCATTTGGTCGCCAGTGTCTCGACCATGAATTGCCAGCAGGGCTAGCATGGGCAGGAGACAATTTTATCCCCGGGGAAAGATGAAAATGTTTATCCACTCGCTTAGTTTTATCCACCCTTCGAGCATGGGCACACCGGTGGATATAATATCCACAGTAAATAGAATGGGAGATAGACTTAGACTTAGATAGATTTTTTGTATGAATATAAACTTAAACCCACGTCCAATGAACTAGAATAAAATTGTCCCTTTCAAATGTCAAAAAAATATAATTTTTTATCTTTCATTTGCCTCCATGCTACGGACGGCGGATATATGTCTACTCGTTATGTCAAACGGGGATATACTTCTCCCCGCTGCCGTGCTTTGGCATAAGGGCAAGATAATTTTATCTCTTGTCAGTGGATATAATCGAGGGATAAATTTTTTGTCCCCAGCCCATGCTAAACGTGCAGTGTGCACCACTTGCGTGTGATATTAGTGACGTGAACGAAATGAAATGAATACAAAAATTACCTGTGCACAGACTAGAGCCCAAAGTGGGACTGACGTAAATATGGATTTCCAGGGAATTGCTGAAGGTTGACTATTCTCACGTCTACCCAGCGCTTCCTCTAAATATTTCTTTTCTTTATCAGAAATGAAGGGGTGCGACTCAGGATCATTGTAGCACAATATTGCCTGAAAATAACTTTTATATAAAATATAAACAACAAATAACTATGTCTAGCTTGCATAGTTGTCATATTTAAAAAAGTTCTGGATTCGCTAACAAAGACTTACGGAAGAATAGCTTGTTAATAAATACAGGGTTATTTTGCAATTACCGACCAAATTTGTAGAGAAGGTTCAGAATAAGTAATATAGGCAAATGGTGAACGAAAAATTAATTTAAAAAAATCTCAAAAATTGTGTCCTTGTTATCTTTTAAATTCAAAATGCGGTAATGCATTATTTTCACTGATTTTACTGCTCACGCACACATTCATAAGGGCAAAATCGTCGTTGCCCATAAATTACATTTGTTACGGCCTACGGCTGTTCATTTAAAGGATCCAATCCTCTGGGGCCCATGAGCAGAAGACTTCCCGAGCAGACGTAGGTCGGGCCTTAATCGTGGCCACGTGGAATCTCTCTAATTACACTAAATATATGGGGGAGCGTTCTATACTACGGCCAGTCAACCGGCAGAGGAATTAGGCGAAGCTTACTTACCTATATCCAAGGCGACTGGTCCCTCCGGAGTCGGTCAGGTCACATGTGGTTGTGTAGTGAAAGGGAAATAAGTGATGTGATGTGTATCTGGGTGTGACTGATGGTGATTGAACCTAGAACTTGGCCGTTGGTAGCAGCCCGAGCGTCGACACCGCTCCAACTTGAGGGGGCCCTCCGAGGCATCCACAGTCACTTTCCTCTTTCTTCACGATGACAGTCAATTAACTCTATCGTACGATTTACTAACTTACAGAAGCCACTAACTATCGCTGGGTATAATGGTTACCGCACAAACGCACACGGAGTTTAAAGGGTCAAAGGTCACTACCGTTTCGCGTAGCAATAGTTAATTCTAGAATATCAGAGGCCGCACTATCTAATATTGCCGAATGCACTTATGCAGGTTTTGAGTCAGACACAATAAGTCCCGGGAAGCTCTCCAGTAGGAATGCGCGTCACAAATCCTAGACCGTATATTTACGGGCCGCACCTAATTATTCCGAGTTCCCTAACAGAATAGACCGCGTGCTCACGTCAGCACCGATTAAAGACGACTGACGCGCTTGCGACCCGCGCGCCACTGCGCTCGGAAGAACTTCAGACCGGAATCGCGCCAAGCCGAGTGACATCTGGTGTCGATTCCGACAACAGAGTTTTGCGCGAACAAACCCCCGTCCCGGACATAAGGATTTAGGTCCGCGAGCAAACCGGTCAGCGGGACAAGGTCGAGACTGCAAGTTGCAAGACCGAATCTACAACCAAACTAGGCCACCTTTGGCAATCCATTAGGTCTTGCAACCCTAATCAACGCCTCAAAAGATATCCCTAATGTGGCAAGCCGGAGGGTCAGCCTCCACTGGATGCCCCTCCTGGGCATCGCAGCACTTTAGTCCTGTACTGGACAGAAGTCCGACGACCTCTTTCAAACACCTATCTGTGCCCCTATGATTAGTTCCGCAATCCGACCGGATCAGCTCTGCAAACAGCGACGCTACACGAAGCTGCCCAGACAAATTTTGTGCCAGCAGTTGCTTCAGTGCAGAGCGCACCCACAAATTCCACATGAACGTCGTCTGTGGAGAGCCAAACGAAACGCACAGATAGTCCCTAGTATGAATTTTCAACAAGTAGGCCTAGCCAGGCCACCCACCATATTATCATTTACTAAAATAGTGCGGCAGCTGATTTCAATCTGATAATCTCCAAAACTAGCTAGCCTGTTAGGCAAGTAGTCCTATGCTCATATTTCAACTAATTTTTCAAAAGCATCAATGTTCAACTACAGAATTAATTCAACCAAATTAATCACCTATGCGCATAGGTCAACTTGCAAATTAAACAAAACAATAACGTAAGGGACAACCCTACTTCTTCGCAAAGCAAAATGATTAAACACTATCTATGTATATGTTACATAATTTTTCAAATAGCGCGCCATTCAATTTCCTTTCAGCAAACAGACGCAACAATCAAATACAGTGATTAAATATATGTACAAAACACATGCAGTAGCATTTAAAGGAGTAGATTAAATACAATTCTTTTAATTTAAACCGCTACAAATAGGAAAATTTCGCGGAAAGCCCAAAGCAATTTTTAATTTTAATTCAAGTATTTTTTGACTAAGTGCTCGACCAAACCAAATCTAATACCCCTTGACAGCGTGATTCAACGCTCCAGAGGGGCCCTAATCTTCCCACCACCAAGGGGAGGCCACATGGCGTGAACCCGAGATCGCTAACAGTCGCCACTCGGGTTGTACGCCTTCACTGAGGCCGTCGGCAACAGAATATTTTGACAAGTGGACTGTTGACGGCTTAAGGCTCAGTGGAGGTGGCCGAGATGGGAGCTAAGGCGGCAGCTAGCCAGGGCCGCCTCCATCAAATGGGGAACAGTGGTACACCAGTCGCGGCCACTCAACTAACGGGAGTGAGAAGGGTCCAGCGGACCGATGAGTGGCCGTGAAGTTCCTCTCCACACGCTTAGGGGGGGTGATGACACCCCCGCCCCTGGGGGAATTACCCCCCGACTGGTCGGGGAAGGGACCCCTTTCAAACTTAGGGGCCCGATGGCTGGCCGGCGGGCGCCGAGAGTCGCCCGGCAGAGGGCGTGGCTGAGTGCCCCCGCCCGTGGGGGTCGAGGGCCTGGCAGAGCCCCGAGAGGAGACGCCGTTCGCACTCAGGCACAAAACGGCATGATGATTGCCCTGGCAATGCAGACAGGGCCGCCGATGCGGACAGTCTCGCTGGAGGTGCCCTCCCAGACATGAACAGCACCAGCGGCGCTCCTTGGCGATAGTTCGCCTCGCCGAAACCGGCTTACCTAATAATTTCGGGCACGACGTTACCCGGTGATCAGATGCTCGACAATAGGAGCAGGGGGGGGTTGACGACGACTTGCCTGGTGGGTTCAGCCTCTCACTGGGCACGTCTCGTAAGTCGTCAACGGTGCCCGCCGCGTTCTCGATCTGCCGGCACTGCTCCTCCAAAAACCGCAGCAGGTCATAGAAGGGCGGAATATAGGAGGCCTTGTCCCCGCCGTACCTCTCCTCAAAATGGATTCGAAGGTCGAGAGGTAGACGGGACAGCACGATGCGGAGCAACAAAAAGGCCCATTCGCCCACTGGTAATTCCAGCCGCCTCAACGTATTACAGGCCACTAAGACTGGATCCAACACGTCCGGACGTAGTCTGGCTCGGTCACTAAGCAGCGGGAGGCTTAAATGCTGCTTAACCTGTTCGTCCGCAATTCGCCGGACGTTGGCGTATCTTCTGGCTAGGAGGTCCCGAGCAGTCTGGTAGGCGTCGTCCGACAATCTCAAGTGGCCGGCGACGCCCAGGGCCTCCCCCTCCAGTGAGGCCAGGAGGTACGCCATCTTTTGGCTCGGGGTCAAGTCACTCCGGGCGTCCACTAGGCTGTCGAAAAGACCAACGTAGGTCAGCCATTCGGAAAGGACCCCGGAGAACTTTGGCAGGTCCAGAGTTGGGAGTCGTCCCAATAGCTCCAGCTGAAGCTGCTTCAGAGAGGACTCGGACAGGTCACTCATCCGAGCTTCACGCGCCTCCTCGGCATACCTGCCTTCAGCCTCGATCAACTCGTCCGTGAGCCACAAGAACTGCTCATAGTCCGTGAAGCAGGAGTCCAGGACTCCCTTCTCCACATCCGAATCCTCGAGCTCAGCGTAAGCCTCCTCCACTACGGCCCTTCGAGCATCCACCTGCTCGAACCGCTTCATCAAGTTATGGACCCTATCCGGTCGACCTATCAAAGCATGGGCGCTTGTGGCCCAGCGTAGCTCAGTCCGCAAACAACGGATCAGTAGCTTGGGCGATGTCATCACTATTAAATACAAATTACGACGCGGCTTGAGCACAGATTACAAAGATAACAAACAAAAAATACAACAAAAATTAACAGTTAATAAATGCAGTTCCTATCAAATCGCGTTGAATAGAAATTACACAAATACGAATTACTACGTATCAACCAAATACAAGTTAGCTCAAAAGAAAAGACACAATCAAATTAACAAATAACAAATACTAGTGCGATCGAATCAAGTTAAATTCAAGTTGCGCAAATACAAATTACTACTCTTTAGTTCAAATACAACTTACAGTATAAACGAAGATACACATCACGGTCGATCAACAAAAAATGCCTAGCTCGGAAATCGACCCTTCGATAAGTAATCCACTACAACTATCCGACAACGATAATTAACCGATTACGTAAAAATAACCATCTACCTACATGACGTATATCTCTAGAAAACTCCCGCTTGCGCAACCTAGGGCGCGGCTTTTCAAATCTACCTACTAACCAAAAAAAAAAGGCAAGCAACAAACAACAAAGGGAAATAATTCTATTATTACGTACAAAAAATATTTTTACGTATTACGGACGGGCGTGATTGTAGATACAAATTAAACCAATCAAACCAACGCTCCCTGCCACCAGAATTGTTTAATGTTTATCAAACACTATGGTCGGGATCGACCGGGAATCGAACCCGGAACCGCGCTCTGCTACCAGTTTGTTACGGCCTACGGCTGCTCCCTTAAAGGATCCAATCCTCTGGGGCCCATGAGCAGAAGACTTCCCGAGCAGACGTAGGTCGGGCCTTAATCGTGGCCACGTGGAATCTCTCTAATTACACTAAATATATGGGGGAGCGTTCTATACTACGGCCAGTCAACCGGCAGAGGAATTAGGCGAAGCTTACTTACCTATATCCAAGGCGACTGGTCCCTCCGGAGTCGGTCAGGTCACATGTGGTTGTGTAGTGAAAGGGAAATAAGTGATGTGATGTGTATCTGGGTGTGACTGATGGTGATTGAACCTAGACCTTGGCCGTCGGTAGCAGCCCGAGCGTCGACACCGCTCCAACTTGAGGGGGCCCTCCGAGGCATCCACAGTCACTTTCCTCTTTCTTCACGATGACAGTCAATTAACTCTATCGTACGATTTACTAACTTACAGAAGCCACTAACTATCGCTGGGTATAATGGTTACCGCACAAACGCACACGGAGTTTAAAGGGTCAAAGGTCACTACCGTTTCGCGTAGCAATAGTTAATTCTAGAATATCAGAGGCCGCACTATCTAATATTGCCGAATGCACTTATGCAGGTTTTGAGTCAGACACAATAAGTCCCGGGAAGCTCTCCAGTAGGAATGCGCGTCACAAATCCTAGACCGTATATTTACGGGCCGCACCTAATTATTCCGAGTTCCCTAACAGAATGGACCGCGTGCTCACGTCAGCACCGATTAAAGACGACTGACGCGCTTGCGACCCGCGCGCCACTGCGCTCGGAAGAACTTCAGACCGGAATCGCGCCGAGCCGAGTGACATCTGGTGTCGATTCCGACAACAGAGTTTTGCGCGAACAACATTCAATTTGGGATAATCTATAATATAAAAATGAATTGCTGAATGTGTTGCTAAGCGCAAATCTCGAGAGATTTCGCTAATTTTTTTTTGTATAATATTCCTTGAAGTACGAAGATGGTCCTTACGGAGAGAAAAATTTAAAAAATTGCCTGAAAACGTCTAAAAACAACACTTTTCTATATTCCCATACAAAAGATTCGTAATAATACTTAAAAGTTAATTTGAACTTTAATACCATACCATAAAGTTTAAGTGTTAGTGGAGGGGTTCCGGGAAGGCAAAACAATTGAGTGACGTTAGTATCGTATAAATATTAATGTCAATATTTGTCAATATTTATACACACTGGCAGATAGCTGATGTTATAAAGAGTAACTTGGGATGCTTTTCTTTTAGGGTTCAAAAGTATAAGCCTTATTTAATCGTATTTTCACAAACTGCAGTAACGGTATAATCATTATTTATATATTTGAACTTAAGTTTAAAATTTGGCTACTCTTTGAAAAATAACCCTGTATAATATCTACAAAAAAATTGTAATGAGTTAAATCATTATTATTAAGTTTGTAAATATGTAATCATAAACATTATTAAAAAGTGGTTTCTAAAAAAACATCACTAGGTACATGGTTTGTTAAAGTACAATGTATTTCTTTCAAACAATGTAAGTACTCATTTTCTATTTACTAATTTTTAAACGTTTCCAAAACAATAGGTGTGATTATAATGTAAATAACTTACCCATAGAATAAACCACAATATTCCTATCGCACCGAACAGATAGAAGACGGATTGCCAATCTCCAGATTCTTTCATGATGAGGCCAGAAATATATGTTCCCGCAATGTTACCGATTTGAGAGCCTCCAAATACGAGAGAACCCATCCTTCCTCTTTCAGATATTGGTGCCCATCGAGCTAACATGGTATTGAGAGCTGGAAAAGTTGTGCCCTATAAAGAAAAACATTTATTTGACAAATTTAGTTAAGCTATTATATTTCAGCACATTAGATTTAGACGATTGCTTAACTTTGTGGTTGCTGTATCTGGCTACTCCATCACAAGTCCTGAGTTCGAATCCTAAGAGCCAATATGCTTGTAAAAATATAAGCTGTTTTCGGGACTGTATGCATTATCTCTAAACTGCATATTTTTTTAAAAGGAACTGTAAGAAACGAGTTCGTAGTCTACCTGATGTAGGTGGTTACTCTGGCCCATGGACATATTCATCTTTCCTCGATTGCAAGTAAAAATTCTGATGTGTTGTCACTGAGGACTAAGATGGGTCGTAACGTCGTACTCGTCATAGGTTAAATTGAGCAGGAGGAACATCATCATATGTTCAGTCTAAATTATATACTGATTATATTAATTGTAAAGTTAGTCATAAAAATATTGTATAAAATGACTAAATATTATTTAGATTTTTGCTCACAATTATTTTATTTTATAATGTTAGGCTAACAAACGAACTTGCAGTCCACCTGATGGTACGGCTCAAATACCTCAGCTGCAAGAGGATGCTGTTGACGTGACACAGCCAATTTTCAATTTGCCGCCAAATCGTAAACAAATAACAAATTAATAAAATACATACACAATAATAATGGCAAAGAGTTCAATTTCCAAAATTTTAACTAATATTTTTAATTATATCGTTTACAAGTGGCCAGTTCTAAAAACTTTCAGTGTCGTCCTCGTAATGCTCGTCAATTGCAGCATTCAGAACAGATAATAAACCGAAAAGACTTTAAATTTACGATTGCTTAACTTTTATACCTCTCCTAATCCTTCCAAAACTCGAAGTATAATTAGACCCGTGGCTCCGCCAGTCTTCACCGTCCAGGGCGTCAGCATCGTGAACATAGCAGTGCTCAATACTCCGAAGCCGAGTGAATATTTGCCACCGAACCTCTCCGCAAGCAATCCACCAGGAAGGTGAGTCACTATGTATCCATAATAGAATGCGCTCAGAATGATTCCTTGAGTTTCTTCATCCCAATCGAAGCCGCTTATTTCCTAGAAAATTTGAATAATTATAGCATTATAGATGGAAAAGTAAAGTTATTAAGCCGCGTAATTATGACGGTTATTGCAAATTATGGCCGTGGGAGCTTAGAGACTTGGCGCTCGTCACGAGAGCATATCGAGTTCGATTTCCTCCCGTGGATACCCGCGTTCATGACGATGACGTGATCTAAAACATCGTGAAGGAACTTACTTGCATGTCTGACAAATATAAAAAAATATTTCGAGAAAATGACGTAAAGTCAGTCAACACACGTGCCCCAATAGGTGTGTGTTGGCCGACGCGGCGGACATATTCTTGCCCTAAAACCGTCTTAAAAGGAGAAGAGTCTATTTATTACCCAGTGGATGAACGTAATACGTTTGTTATTACAAATACTTTTACTGAAACATGCAACACAATCGAATACATACAACACTTGCTCGTGGAATGTTCTAAAAACCATCACAAGAGAGGAAATTACTGGTCGCCAAAACTGACATTAAAATGTATAACGTAGGGGAATATCAAAGTATACTCTCTGAACCACTGTCCGATGCTGCTCAAATGGTTTATCATTTATTAAGTATTGTATAAGTAATTAAATATTTTTTGTGCTATTTAGTTATAAGGTACAATGGGACTGACATGTTAATAATAACGAAAGTTCCTTAAATAAAAAAAGAGAAAAATACTTTTACTATTACAGTCATTGTTACTAATATGGGGGGGGGGGGGGGATACGTACTATAATAGCCACACTTGGCATTTTCTTACGCCGTTACTACACGGCACCTTGTAATATTTATCTATCAACTATGTCCAAGTTAAGTAACATAGTACAAAATGTTTATTTGCACGAATGTGATTCAAATGCTAATGCTATTATAACGAAAAGGAGAATAGTTTCCAGTTCCGCGTTAAAGTTGTCTTAACAATGCAATTATATTGTAAGACTCATCAATATGCATAGCTCATTCCATTAGAAATATCTTAAATCAATGCAAATATGTAGGCATATAAGATATAAGGTATTAAAAAATAAATAATAATTACATGTTTTTAGATTTAACACTGCAGTTTAAAGGGTTTTATCTTTTGGAGAAAAAATTGTACACAAATAAAACCTAACCTGACAATAGAGTAAAAATATATTTTTACAGGTATCTAAAGAAAACAGTGTAGTGGCGGTGTTAGAAAATCCACTACCCCATATCATCCCGTGGGTGTCGTAAGAGGTGACTGAGGGAAACAAATCATGATACGGGCAGCAGCGACTTCATAATAACGACTGGAAATAAAAAACTGCGGTTGCCAAACCGCTTGACAAGCGTGGAAACTATGGCTATATAATATCCCCTATAAGGCCGTCTATGGGGGAGGCCTATTTTTTATAGGAGAGGGGGCAAACGAGCATGCGGCTCACTTGATGGTAAGTGACTACCGCCGCCCATGAACAACTGCAACACCAGGGGAACCAGGGGAATTGCAGATACATTGCCGGCCTTTTAAAAAGGAGTAGGCTCTTTTCTTGAAGGTCCCTAAGTCGTATCGGTCCGGAAAAATTGCTGATGGTAATCGATTCCACAAGGAAGTTGTGCGAGGAAGAAAACATCTTCTAAATCGCACAGTGGTGGACCGCCAATCATCCAGATGGTGTGGATGGTATCGGGAGTTCTGCCGCGATGTGTGTTCGTGAAATTTGGCGGCTGGGATTAATCCGAACAAATTCTCAGAGCATTCTCCGTGGTAAATGCGAAAGAAAATGTAAAGGGATGCAACATCTCTTCGCAGTGCCAATGAATCGAGCCGATCGGAAAGGGCTCGGTCGTCGACGATTCGAGCCGCTCTGCGCTGGATGCGGTCAAGTGGAAGGGGCTGGCACTGGGGAGCCCCTGCCCTGAGATGGGAACAGTATTCCATGTGAGGCCGAATCTGCTCCTTGTAAAGTTGCAGGCGGTGTGCCGGCATGAAATACTGTCCCGCTCTGCTGAGCACGCCAAGCTTTTTAGAGGCCAATTTGGCCTTCTCTTCCAAGTGACCACGAAACTGCACGTCACTCGATATGTCGACTCCGAGGATTCCGATACTGGCTGAGGCAACAAGGGGAATGCCTTGAAACTGAGGAGATGCGACAAAGGGGTTCTTTTTAGCGGTAAACGCGCAAACTTGTGTCTTCTGGGGATTAAACTGGACTAGATTTAGTCGCCTCTAATCCGAGACTTTGTTCAGCAAAGACTCGACTTCAGACACAAGTTAGTTCCGGCCTATGTTCAGCAGTGGACTTTAATAGGCTGTAACGGTAACGGTAACCCCTTAATCCCGATTCTCTATTGAGCATCGGGATTAAGTTAATTTATTAATTACGTTTTGCAATAAGACCGTTAGTGTTGCAGATCGGTTTAAACTGTAACTGTGACTTGCCCAGTAATTGATATTAGCGTGAATATTACTCTTTACTCCGTATTCTAATTAAATAGTCATTATTAAAAGTCAGCTAACCATGTAGATAGAATACTATCCATCTCTCTCGAACTTTTTCTTATCTTGCCACCAAAGAAATATTATTTTATTTTAAATGACGCTCCATTTAATCAAGTTAATCATTAATATAATATGTTTATTGATAATTATATACTACGAAAGGAACTTCGTTCCAAACGAGTGTTCCACGACACTCACGCATGTTCTTTTATCAAGGTGTAACCTCCTCTATGTTTATATAGGAGATCTAAATAAATTTCGGTTTCTAGTCATCATCTAGCAAACGGACCGCGACAGATTTATATTCCTTTTAAACGGACCCGCAATTAAATTAGTTGGTGATCCTTGCTATATACTATACATTTTAAGCTGCTATTTTACGCTGGTATTGTGTGAGAGCGTGGTCCTTCCCCGGCCGAGCCGATCCTTTCGTGCTTAACTATACTACTAATATATAGCGGCAGCATGGCTCTACCACGTGTACATTTGACTATTCCTTACGAAGTATTCCGAAAAAAATTTTTAGAATACTTCGTAAGGAGAAAAAACTATATGAGAAAAAGAAATTACTTAAGCTTTCGGGGACTGAACCACATCTGTCTCTAGAGACAAATGATGGTTCACAGAGTCTAAACTCTCTGGAACTCGAACTAGACTCGGGCCGGCCAAATACAGCCATTACCGAAGAAAACATCGCCAAAATTAATTTATTAACTCATGACTTTTGATTTTGAGTCAAACCAAATGCGGACGTAACTAAAATAAATACCGCCAAAAAAAATTAAAATATAGTACTTAGAACTGCAGAAAAAATAGTGGCAGATATACCATTGTGATCTTTGTAAGTGATAGTAGTCTAATAGCCAAGGGTACGGACTATGGAATTTAAGGACATGGGTTCGAATGCGAAATTAGACTTCTGTGATTTTTTAGACCTCTCCTAACACAAACATTTTAAGTTTGATTGGAGTGATTAACGGAAACGATTAGTAGTGTATATAGCGCTGCTGGTATCCAATATAAATAGATTTAAAAAATACCTTTATCGCTAATTTATTTGTAGAACTCCTTAATCTTTAAAACACAATGCCGACCGATAAGAGAACAGCTTTTATCAGTCGGCAATGTTATCTTTATAAAAACTTACACTATCATCAGTCACATGCACTTCTACGTCCCCTGGACAGGAGCCCTCCTCGTAGGCAGTGGAGTGCGCGTGTCTCCGCACCATCTGGGTTATGGCGATGTTGAGGCACACACGCATTGTGTACGCGTTGGCCACCGCCAGGAAACCCATGATTGCCATCACCCATCTTTGCGGTATTATAAACACTGTAAACAAAATAAAGCATATGTTATTAATATTTCAAATTAATGAGTAATTTTTTTTATAGGAGAGGGGGCAAACGAGCATGCGGCTCAACTGACGGCAAGTGACTACCGCAGCCCATGAATAACTGCAACACCAGGGGAACCAGGGGAATTGCGAATTGAAAAAAGAAGTAGGCTCTTTTCTTGATGGACCCTAAGTCGTATCGGTCCGAAAAATTCGCTGCTGGTAATCGATTCCACAAGGAAGTTGTGCGAGGAAGAGAACATCTAAATCGCACAGTGGTGGACCGCCAATCATCCAGACTTCAGCCGCGATGTGCATACATTAACAAACATACACACATTACATACATAAACACTCACGCTTGCCACCTAGAGGGGTAGGCAGAGGCTACGGACTTTCATTTGACATCTACCACACCTCTCTTGTCTCCTCTTTATGATATACCTATGTATGCTCGTCCGTTAAGGGTACTTTTAATCTGCCCCATTTGCAATATATCGCCAATTTTGTCGAAAGCTTTCGTCTAGGGCGTCCCTTTCCGACTCTGTCGTTCACTTCTGCAACATAGATTCGCTTTGTCACTCTTTCCTCGGTCATTCTTTCTACATGACCAAACCACCGAAGCATTACTTTCTTAAACCTGGTCACAAAATCATTTTGATTACCACATTTTCCTCTTATTACACAATTTCTCACACTGTAATTCACATTTAGACCTAACATACTCCTTAATGTTCACATTTCCACAGCATTTATTCTACTCTCGTACAACTTCTGCCACAACCAACTTCAACTACCACACATTAAAATAGGGACTAACACAACATTGTGAATTGCCAATCGTACCTTTTTTTACTTATGACGTACTTTTATTACTTAGAATTACTTCTTAAAAAGGCATTAAATGGGGCTCAACACTAATCTCTACACTAGAGTGTAGAGCCCCATTTACTCTATGTCCTGCGTTCACTCGTCGTTCTATATCCTTATCATATCTATAATGAGTAGTTATTGTAAATATTTATGTTAATGTATTTTCTTAAAGTTGGTAGGACTCCTTTTCTACATTCTACATACTCGTAGGAATCGAACTGGGTAGATACCATCTTTTTATCTGTTTCTGCCGCCAAATAGCAGTGCTCGCACTATAATAATAATAATAATCTTTATTGAGATGATATGAGGTTACAAATCGTTTATGAAGCCTCTGAATCCTAAACTAGGTAAGAACCTGTATGTGAGGATTCAGCACCTTCTCCCATGTTTCTTAGCTATTGTAGGCTAGTAATCTTGAAGGATATATAGAGAGCCAGTATAGTTATAGGTTATAAGACAGGTAGTTCTTAGTATTCAGGTTGCAGGCATTCGTAAGCTGCAGCAGCCAATAACCATCAAATGAACCATAACTTCATTTGTAACTTTAGTTTTATTATTAATTTAAAATAAATTGTACAACCGACTTCAATAAAAATTATTAAGAATAACTCAAAAACTGTTGGTCAGACCTTGATCAAATTTAATATGGGACCACATGAGAACCACCAGCTTTCAAGTAAAAAAAGAATTATCGAAATCGGTTCACACAGTAAGAAGTTATGAGGCACATAAAAAAACATACAGTCGATTTGAGTACCGTCTCCTTTTTGAAGTCGAAGTATTTTTTAAGCAGTTCGAAATATTTTTAGTAAAAAGAAATGTTTAAAGAAATAAATGAAGTTTACGAGGGCTCTGAACACTCATCTACCAAAGAGTACCTGGAATACGGGCCCCGCTCGGGCCAGGCAAATATGAAAGATACGTTACCAAGGCAAGTCCTTACCAAATTACTACATAAGGACTCCCTAAAGACAATTTTCCCTGAGTGGAATATGAATTAGGCAATATTATCCAGAATCAAAACATAAGTCGGTGCAGCAGCAGCAACAAAAAAGAATAAAAATTCACCTGACCAGTTTAATTGCAAAGTCGACTGTTACATTTTCAATTGAATACCTTCTTAAAAATACTGCCATGATTAATAATAATTATGTTGCCTTTCAAAAAGTTTTTGTCGTGAAGAAGAGGCAAATTAATAAACGAATTTGGTTTTTTTTTTGCAAGGCAAATGCACCAGCTCAGAAGGCATGACTTTTGAGACCAGCTTTCAGAGACTAGTTTAGATAAGTAAATTATTCTTAATTTGCATCCCAGTTTGTAATTTAAAAAAATCCGGCCAAGTGCATTTCCGGTCACGCCCAATGTAGAGACAGTGTTCAGTTGCCCGTCACAATACGTGAACTTAGAAGGCACCTTCTTGATACTACGAGCATATTACGTGAGTTCGCGATTTGATCGCGACTAAAAATGGCCCCAAATAGGACGGTGGTAACTGAAGGACATATTTTCCAAGCAGGCATATAGTGATATTCAAAAAATATTAAAAAATACTTTTCGATTTTGAAAATAATACCATTTACATCAAATCACTCACATAACAAGGCCGTACAAGATGATCCTAGTCTCAAATCCATCTATTAGTTCGCGGCAGTGCAACCCTAAGATAAACATGACCGTAACGAACGTAATAGAGAACCACGAATGAAACTGTAGGCCTATAATAGCTACGCTAACTCGCAAAGGAAATCGTAAAGCTATAGCAATAATGCATTAATTCGTCTTCTTAAAAAAAATTACGAAGTTATAATGCAGCTAGTTTTATGTCATTTTCTATGGAGTCGTAACGAAATTTTAGTTTTATGTCATTTTCTATGGAATCGTAACGAAATTTTTACTATTATAATCCAAGTACATTTCATTAGTTGGTTTATATATATGTACTACTATTGTGCATACTTTACACATTTCCAATAACAGCTGTTTAGTTGGTAGAGAAGGGGCACATGACTAATAAATAATACCACTTTAAAGCTAAATATTTTTTAATGTTGTTCGATAACCCCAACATTACGACCTAATCAACGACACTCAACATGATGTAATAGATGGGTAAAAAAAAACGTATCACCTCTATGGTAGGTATACCCAAAATAAAAATGTTCTACAAGACTTTATTTCACAACTTTGTAATGTCTATAACTATGCCAAATTATATCTTTGTACCACCTAGCGTCTCTGAGTAAATCCGCGGACAGACATGGCGAAACTATTAAGGGTTCCTTGTTGTTTAGCTACGGAACCCTAAAAATGGGCCTGCAAAACCGGAGATTCGAATTAAAAGTTCATTGAGAGCAACGGTAGAAGGGCATTTTAAGGGAAAGACGTGACTTATTTTTACTTAGCTTACAAGACATTTTTATCAGGGATTGAAAAATAATTTGTTTAGAATTTTACATAAGGCGATTCTTTTAAAAAGAGTCTCTGGTTCTACACACTCACCAAACGAAACACAGCAGCATTAAGCTGCTATTGCGAGGTAAGCTGTAAGAGCGTGGTCCTTCCCCAGTCGAACTGACACATTCGCGCTGCAAACAAAATATAGTTGCAGCATGGCTTTACCACGTATAAAAAATAAAACTATTCAATTGCTTTCTTTCCCAAACATTAGAAAGCACAAGCAGAGATTTAGGTCGTCTGTTGGCAACACTCGTTGCAATAATTATCAAATGAGCTAATGACGTTATTGAGATAGCGTCATATTTTTTCTAAATAAAACAGAAATGTCTCACACAAGTAGAAATTAAATAGCATTTAAGTTCCATGGTTTGAATGCAACCTGTGTCTAGTCCCCACATTAATGGCTATTGAAACATTTTACCGCAAGGGTTCAACCTGTGGACCCGAAACGCCGCAGACAAATTCTTAGTCAGTACGCGAGATTTTCGTTTTTCTGAAACGTTTGAAAGGTTTTCATTTTTGCCATACTGTTTAAATATATATTTTATTGTTTTTATAATGAAGGTGATTGTACTCTTTGTTATTTTTTATTATTTACTTGTCGAAATGAAAGACTAACGGCCTTACTCAAAAATACACGTAAATTTAGAAAAAAATGCTTAATTAAAGTACCAGCCGTGGTAGCTCTAAAGTCTAAGCGCCCACTGTAAATTTCACAGTGCGCGAGCAACCTGTGTTCGATCCCCCGCCGGCACCAATGAAATTGTTTATTTCAAGTGCCGATTTACCACGTGCATGTCTGAAAAATAAGAAAAAACAATATTTCAAAGACGTGTGAATTTCGTCAACACGCTATGGGCGAACATTTCCTTGCTCTAAAACCCTATCAGAAATGAGATGAGGCCTGTGCCCAGCGGGACGTATATAGTCTGTAACATGAAAAAAAGAGAGAGATACTTTAGTATCTCTCTCTTTTTTCACTAAATGACAGTAAAAAGAAAAATCGTATGGGCTGTAATGGATAGATAGATGAAAAATTTAGGATTTAAGTTTATTAACAAATTATTACTATTAAGGTAATAGGTACTTTGCGAATAAGTATTACTTTAATAGTAATACTTACTATTAAGCATTACTTAATAGTAATACTTACTATTAAGTATTACTTAATAGTAAATATAATTATATAATATACTAGCTGACCATGCAGACGTTGTTCTGCCCTCTCCGACGACCCTGTGTCCTATAAAAATACTTAAATTCGTAATAAAAAACATTGAGTGTCACTTATAGGGATAAAAACTATCCTATCTCTCAAGTTGGACCAAAATGCACACAGTGTGCCTAACTTTGTATGGATGCGGCTTAAAACATCTGGTGTTACCTTTTCAAGACTCATATGCTATCCTAACAATGAACATGAACGTAGTATATGGCAGAATTTGCCGTACTTGTATTGCTTGCCACGCGTAACAGATTTTTCAAATCTTTGATCCTGCCTTCCATTGCTGTTCTAGATTACATAAAATACCCAAATCTTAAATTTTTCCTGGCAACCCAATAGAAAATCCGCAAAAATGTTAATGAAACAATTTTCGTGCGGATAATACAGGAATCGTTTGTTATGGAATACAAAGTATCGCAACAAGAATAAGGAACTTTC